GAATTAATTATTATAGCGCGGTAAAATTTTAGAAATAACTCAAGATTTATTGTATCTGTCAAAGTAAAAATCTTGGTTTTTTTTTGTTTTTTTTTTAATTTAAATTTTGAATTATTTATTGTGACTCGATAAATTTTTAAAGTTACAGTGGGCGGTTAAAAGTGCAACATAATTAACATTTATTTTAGTAAAGAAAAAAGTAACTTTGAAAATAATTTAAATTTTAAAATTTTAAAATAATATTTTAAATTAATAAATAATATTTTAACAATTAAATAATAAATGTGAATTTTTATAATATTTTTAATGGTTTAAATTTTAATGAAAGTTTAAATTATATGAAAAGATGAAAATACCCCTGATTCCAGCATATGAACTGCCGGTCAACATCGAGTTGGATGGAAAAGTGGTCGAAACAGTGAAATGGGACCAAAAAGTGTGGAAACATATTGTTTGGGACTACGATATTGAAATGTTAATGTTAGGCACATAAAATCAAGTAAGCCCAAATGTAAAGGACCATTTGGACATTTTAGTCATCCGTGGAATGCGGATTGTTATCTCTACCAACATGTCGGGCATAAGGCCCGATCAGTCTCTTCTGGGTTTCGATGGTTGTGGACTAAGGCTATATTGGTAAGCCTTTCTTATGGATCCGCAAAGTTTTAATGGTAACTCAAAAAGATGCATTGAAATCGTGAAAGAGATTTTACTGAAAATTGAAAACGAAAAGAAATAGAATGCTTCCACACGGAGCCAATATTCTCTAACTATCGAGGATATACTCCCTTCGGTCTTTAATATAAGGTATTTTGATTTATCCTAAATTTTACTAGTGTGTATTTTTAATTAAAAAGAAAAACCTTAAACATATTTTCACATCCGTTGTGTTCTCTTGATTGTTAAGAAATATTTTTAATATTTTTTTGTCAATTAAAAATATGTATTATGTGAAATTTAGAACAAATCTGTCTTATATTAAGGACCGGATGGAGTATGTTTCAGCAAAAAAAAAAGCGCCTATTAGAAAAGGAAAAAACTAGAAAATCTAGAATAAATCAAAATGCTTTATATTAAGGACTGGATGGAGTATGTTTCAGCCAAAAAAAAAAAACGCCTATTAGGAGAGGAAAAAACTAGAAGACAGAGAAGGGTGTTGGGTTACGGCGTTACGGAACAAACAGCAAACCAGATCCTTGGGGTTTATCCGATACCATGCCGTCATAGGCTAGATCTCACCTGATGAGCTTTTGCAACAAGCCTTCTTACCATAAAATGCGTAAAACAGACCCATATTTATATTAATTTAAATCATATTTACTAATTGCAGACAAAAAAAATTAAAAAGAAGACAAAAAGACATTGGTTTCCGTGCAAGGGTAAGGTATTGTTTACCGTAATGTTCTTTGTCCTTACCATTGTAGTGCAGTTGTTTTGCTAGAAATATTCATGGTACTACACTAGTTGGATTAACAGCAGTCCGTCTTAATAGATTTGTTGTTCCGTATTTTAACCGTTGGATTTTTTAATTTAATATTTTTTTTATTTAATAGAATTGTCACTTAAGATATTTCGACTATTGTATTGAGTAGTTATGGTTTGGCTAATGTTCTGTGGTAAAAGTAGTGAAATATGAAAATTTTGCAAATTAGTAAAAGTGAAACTACTTTTTTTTTTGTATAGTTCCATACGTTTTCAACAAAACTACAAAAATAAGAATAAAATCCCTATTTAAACCCTTTTCATGCTAAACCGACATCAATTATATTTATGTGGATATAATTAATTAATTCAGTTTAAAGGAACATCACCTTATTATCTTTTATCATATCCTTTGCCCGATCAAGTTTTCAGCCGGATCGCGATCGACAAAGAGATAAGAATATAAGGGTTGGTGCCTGTGCGGCGGTGTCTTCCCCAGGGCTTCGGAGTGGGGCTGGTGGTATCAGTACACCGGCGACGATCGGAGAGGCTAACCTTGCTATACTGATTCAGCCATATTCTTAAAAGCCCAAATATATGCCCACATGTGGTTTCACCTCAAAACTGATTGATGATGAGGGGAGTACCACATGGGGTATATATGTTGGGTTCAAGTATTTTCTTCTATCCATGTGGGACAAGGGAACATGAGATCATTTTTTTTCTTTCATTCATTTAACACGCCCCTCTCAAATCCAATGGGCTTGGACGGGTAATTTTATATATTTTTCTGATTTTTTTCAGTCTTGCGATTGGTTATTTTTCCGGATTAACCATCGCATATGGTGCCAGTCAAAGTTCAAAGTCAAACTCTGAATTTCTTCTGTGGGTTAGTCAAAGCTTCAAGACCCAATCTGGGTCAGTCCACCTCGCCCCACAAGTCCCACAGGTCCGCGGATTAAAACCCGCTCTGATAACATCTTAAAAGCCCAAATATAGGCCCACATGTGGTTCCACCTCAAAACCAATTGGTGATGAGGGGAGTAGCACATGAGTATATATGTTAGGTTCAAGTGTTTTCTTTCATCATGTGCAACAAGGGAACATGAGGTCATTTTCCTTCTTTCATTCATTTAATACATATCATCCCGATTTCGTAGCAACTTTTCAAAAACACTTTCCAGGTGCCGAACCTTGGTAATTTACAATCCAAAAAGTGGAGATGGAAGGTAGCTCTTGAGAAAGCTCCGGAACATTTGCCCGAAGGTTCCTCCCAAGAAGTTGGGAAGTTCTTGCAAGGATCGGTTGTGTCATAGGTATATGGAACTGCTGGTGGACTGTCCTACGGAGAGACTAGAAGGATATATACAACCTTCCTAAACAAAGTGCTTTAGGTGAATCTGTCCTTTTCTTTCCGTTGAAACTTCCAGAGCCTTCAAACCTAATGCAGATGTGAAGCGGTGAGAAAGAAAATAGCCGATTCCACGGTATATATGGAAGTTTGAAAGACTTTGTGCAAGATGATTGCTCTGTTAACAATCGAGTATTGGTGAATTGTGCACCAGTTAATTAAACTAAGTGGTATCTATAAATGCAAACCGAGAATTTTTCTTTTTGAGGTCATCATAGGCTTCATAGCAGCAGTTGCCAAGTCGATGTCTTGTTAATTACTCCTTACCGCTCTTGTTATAAGTCATTTTGATCTGTTTTAGTTTGTTTTTTTAATTAAAATTTTTTTAAAAATATTTCCTACTAATTAAGAGAACACAATGGATGTGAAAATATAATTTTAAAGTGTGTTTTTTTTTTCCAATCGAAAAAATATATTAAGTAAAATATAGAATAAATTAAAATGACTTATAATAAAAATCAGAGAGAGTAGTTACTAAAGCCGTGCATGTTGGGTTGATGGATTCGAGAGTTCTTGTTAGTTTTTTTCACTTGAACGATGTTGCAATCTTACACACTTTTTGACTTTCAAAAAAATAAAATAATTCAGTTTAAAAAAAAAAAAACAAAGTGAACATACACTTTCTCATGTGAAAATATTCTTTTTCTAATTCATCCAAAAACGGATGTCCGACATTGTTATTACGCATTGTTCTGACTAATGCGTGTAAACGTTCATGTTATTACTGAAGACTGTATTATAGGACAGTTTCTGGTAATAAGATGACTATCAATTTGATCACCAATATGATTGGGGAAGAGAGATAGTTTGACTATCATAGGTTCGATTCACAAGTTGAAAACTGAAAGACCACTCCATGATTTTTTTTTTCCTTTTGTTTTTTTTTTGTTTTTTTTTCTTTTTTGGGTTTCATTTCTCCAGATTATAAAAATCATTAATGAGACTTAATTTTTTTATTTTGACATGTGTAATTTCATTATTTTTGTGATTATTGAGCTGCGTAAATAATTCCATGCTTTTTTTTTTTTTGAAGAGGAATTGCGTGCTTATAATTAATTTGCATGCAAAAGGGCATTCTCAAACAATTATTTGCCTATGAGTCTACATGCTATTTTTCTTATCATTTTAATATGGTTATTATTCAAAGAATTTTAAAATCATATATATAAATATATATAATCAAAAAACTCCATATGGACTAAAATGTGATTTGCCAATATTCAAGAGCATTCCTGAATTGCTTCCTGACCTTCTTGGCTACTTCTAAACAGAAGAAGTTGTTAATTGCAACGGATGGACTTTTTTTTTTTTTTTTGTGAAAAATAGCACATAGGCTTAGGTAATACATTGAGCAAAGGATGCTTCGTTCTCTAAGATTACATTACTATTACCGGGGTTACATCAAAAAAATATATTCCCCTATCAGGACTAAGTGCCTCTTTAGCCAATATGTCTGCACAATAGTTGTTATCTCTGGCTCTATGTGCAAACTGTAGTGCCCAGTCAGAGTTCAAAATATGTTGGATTTTCCTTAACTCCGGATCCAACTCAGATTGGCATTAAGGTTACGGAAAAGTTGAATAGCTTGCTCGCAATCTGATTCCACAATAATCTTTGGGAATCTCTGTTGTTTTGCCAATTCCAACCCTTGTAGAATGGTTGTAAGTTTAGCTGTCTCAACAGAACAAGCGCCAATTGAACTGTGAAAAGCTTTCATGAATTTACCCTAGTTGTTTCTAGCCATACCACCAGTTGCAGCTTTGTTTGTTGCTAAGCAAACTGCTCCATCACAGTTTATCTTTATGCAAGGGATGGACTTTTTATACAAAAGATACTTTCTGCTGCTTTTAGTCAAAAAAATTCGAGTTTTGGTTAGCCGCGCGCACTCATCAATCTTTTTCTCATGGTTCTTAATCGAGAATTTGTAGTCATATAATAGATCTCTCTTCATGGAGTTTCATTTAATTTAGAGATTATTAGTGATTTGTTTTAATCTCTTCTGAATCACAAAAAAAAAGAAAAAAAACAAAAATGAAACCAGTAAGACTTGTTATTGAATGTTATCATATACTATTGTTATTGTCTCAATTCGAGCCTAACATTCCCAAATTCAGAAGGGTCTCCAAATATTATTATTATCGAACTATGAAAATGAACCTCAAATAAATCAAGGACACTTGGAAACTTTACCGCCGCTACCGGGTCCTCCGTAGTAGAAAATCGGGTCATCAGCAACGAGTTGAAGATAAAAATCGTAACAGTCAAGTTGATCCGTATAAGGATCAGCCACATCTGGGTACTTCCACACCAGAGAATTTTCCAAGACCCGCATCCCCCGGATCGAACCCGCTATCCAGTCGAGCGGAGTAGAGTATTCTCCGCTTCCCATTGCGGTGGCTGTGTGCGGATGAGTTTCCAGCCTTGTGCTATACACATCGCCACCCCATTGAACCCCTATAGCTTGATACTTTAATTCTATGAAGAGATCTGGCGGCCAGTACCCTACTTTCTGGTTGTTTACGCTTACCCACCAGTTGTTCGTATCCACGTCCTGGAAAAAACATGATTTTTTCAGTACTGTTACAAGAATAATGATGCACACAGTGAAATTCGAAAGGGCGTGACGACGTGTGGTACGTATGGAAAAAGATACAAATGACTTTACGATGTGTCATACTTTGAAAGAGAAGTTAATATTAATTAATCGTCATTTTTATTTGTTATGACTAATTATTTTGCCGTCGCTAGCTGTGATTACTGCAGTTAGAAAGATGAAAAATCATATTTAATAAGAATGTAGAAGTTTTTCCACCTTATTAATTATTATTGTCATAAGTTCAGCTGGCATATTAGGAGTTTTGGAAACTAGATCGATTGCAGCTCCAAGTGCGATGTCCTTACTGACTTGTACAAAACCTGGACAAATGCTATCAAAGCAGCCCGTTTTTTGTCCACCATCTGCCTGAAACCACAATAAAATGTGAAATCCCAAAATCCATAAGCTCAAATGTTAACTCAGGTAAAGAATTACGATCTCCGTCCCACAAAAATAACCCACATTGAAATTTGAGATTTGTAATTTTTTAGTACAAAATTTAAAATTTAATGTGGACTATTTTTTGGGACAGAGAGAGTATATAGCAAGAGGACTTACCGTCCAATATGTGAAAAATCTTGTCTTCCTATCTCCGTAGACTTTTGGATTTACCTGCATTTTTTTTCCCCGATTTAACATAGTTAATTCAAGTATTCAACACATTGTAATTATTTTGTGACACAACAATTTCTTTATCTATAGAGGGACGCATAGTACATATACTCACCATCCATCCCGATTTAATTGCTTCAAAATCATCATGGCCTCCAGTTACAAGAGTAACGTCCGAGAGAGAGTACTCGTCGAACTTTTCTACTTCTGGGGTAAAGACAGCAATTCCTCCTTGCCCTCCTAAATATGCGTGGCCGACGGTAATCAGGATTGATTGCTGTTTATTTTCATGTAAATTGGAATGGCAAAGACACAATAAATTGAATCAATCAATGTCTAAAATTAGAGTGGTGAGCAAATTAATTAGAAGTGTGTGCATGTACATGGCAGCTCGCTATTTGTTATTTAACTATCTCCAATGTTTCAAATTTACCTTAATATATTTTAGATTTGATTATAAATTCTACACAATTATCAAAGGAGATTTGAAGAATGCATGGTTTAATTTTGCGTTTAAAAGGGGTGACTATAACACAATTTACAGATACATTCTGACAAGACATGATAATTATTTTTACTGCATTCGCATCATATTTAATTATGCGTAATCTAATGAAAAGATGTGACATGACATGACAACTCGAATTGGGTAGCAAACTTACCGCATGGTTTTTATTGAGCAAATTTACTGTCCCATTTTTGTTGAATTCGTCTTTGTTACGATTGAAAGAGCCTCTGAATCTCCTTGATGAGATTGGAAATGCTTTACTATTTGTTTGCATATTCCTTCGTATCGGAACAGTACCTTGAGGACAGCTTCCATTCTTATGCCATATCTGTTTTATCCCAGAAACTGGAATTTCTGATTTGGATGGTTTGTTCTTCTTCCCTTTTGCTCTATTTATCTTTCTGGTAGTTTGATCTATGGTTGGAACGAAGCTCGGTTCCATCTGGAATGAAATATATATATATATATATATATATATATGTTTAATTAATTAAGTCTCATCTATAGCTAAACATTTGAAAATTGACTGAAATTAAAGTCTAAATTTGTCCAATATCTTAATTCTTTTTGATCCGCTATACATTTTAATTGATAACTAATTGATCTTTGCGTAAGATTGAAACAAACCTGGATCTTGTGGTTTCTTAGGGCTGGATGACTGAGAGCTGGTTGCTTGTAGATGTCAACGCAATCAATTATATCCCCATCTTCACTCTAAAAAGAACAACCCAAGATGGAAAAACAATAAAACATCAATTTAATTTCTTCAATTTAGCTTATGTTGTGATTGGAGAATATCCATCTCATTTTGTTATATACTGCTTGCATCTTATTAGTGAAAACAATACTCATTTCACTGAAATTAAAAAATCTATCTACCCTTTTATCACTTTGTTCTGCAGTAATTTCTAATTATAACCGGAAATAGTATTAGAAATGTAATTATTAGAATAATATAAAAAAATCAAAATGAATTAGGTTTTGTAAATAAAGCGATGTCATTGTAAATGGAGAGTTCTATTATTATATTCTTAAACTTTTGCACCTGGATTGTTTTTATTACTGCACTGGGACGCTGAAGATTATCATCAACAGTATTTGTTGAACCTTGTTGAGAATCATTTGCTAAAACTGCAAGACCCATTAACAAGAACAGAGCCATTTCTACTAATAATAGAAATGCTATCAATTTGACCGCCATTGGTCTTGAAAGAAAACAATCTACTGGGTTTTATTCAACGTTGAAACCTGAATGTAGCTCGCTTTGTTGGTGTTATATATATATTACTAGTCTTCTGTAGACTTCATGGATTATCGAAATCCAGGATTAGTTAGTTAGCTTGTTTTTGTTTGATGTGTAAAATTATGAATGCTCATCAATAGGTCTAACCTCCACTTGTAAATTAAACTTAAATTAAATTAAATTTTGACTATCAAATTAAATTTTCTTCACCCCGGAGGAAGACCATTTAGTTTAATTAGTTAGTTTTTGTCTTTTTGTCTCTACTTGTAGAGGCGTGTTAAAGGCCGCCAGAAAAAAGATAAAAATTACCGTAAAAAAGACGATTTTGTGCTTTTCATTTGGATATAGACCGCATAGTAAAAGATATAGACCGCTATAAAAAAATACCATTCCACCCTTCTCATTTCTTCAGACCAAAATGAGTGATTCAGAGGTAATGAAAAAAATGATTAGACTTGTAGAATTTCAAGCCGAAATAGGCCGAGCCGGCAGACATACCAACCGAAATAGCCTGGGACGACGGTCGTGTCGTCCCGGCTTAGCCTAGACGGCATTTCTACCGATTTATAGAACCAGGGATGGCAGTGCCGCCGGCAGCTGTGGCGGCCATGGTAGTCATGGCCGCCGCCCACAGCATCCAGGGCAACACGGGACGCCGGGGCTGCCATCCCTTTATGAGCGAACTGGTGTGTCCACCGGCTCGCTTATCCCGGGCCGGTGTACCAGGCGGTCCGGGTAATTTTTTATTTTTTTAAATTTTAGTTTTATTGATTTATTTAGTTAATTTATCGTGTTTTATTAATTATCGCATCATAATTAAATTGAATATGATTCATTTAAGTTATTTATTCATGCAAATCTATTATTTATGCCATTTAAGTTTAGTTTTTTATTTAGTAAGAGTAATTAGGTATTTTACTAATAAGTGATTTAGAGTATATATTTGGAATTTGCAGGATATAGCTGAAAATGAAGATAACAGTGTTTCTTTTAATACAAATGAGAAATTCCAATCACTGGATGACGCTATTTTGCGCGTACAAGAGATTGCAATCAGCAATAATTTTGAATTAGTGAGAGATTCAAAGAAGGACAATGGTATTTGCTAAAATGCAGGAAAGGTGGACGGTACAGGGCAGAGAGGTACAGAGATGAAACCACTAACCGCCGACCAAATTCAAATACACAAGCGATTGGGTATAAATTTGAGGTGTTCATCAGAAGATATAAAGAATGGTCGAGCGATGTGTACAGAATCTGTCCAAAAACCGATGAAAATTCGAAGCAGAATCATCCAATGTTACAACATCCAGAGGGTCATCACCAGATGAGTAAGCTGAGCGACGGAGTAAAAAAGATGGTAGAAGACATGTCTGTGGCAGGAGCAAGGCCGATTTACATTCTAAAGGCACTTCAAAAGGAGTATCCAGATGACCATGTTACGAAGCGCCAAATTTACAACTATAGAAACAAACTGCGCAAGATGGGGTGTGTGGTACTTGATGGCACGGGTCTTGATGTTGCTAACATAACTTTTCGGTTGCCCCGGGAACACAACTACATAATTGTGACGGAGTCAGATCCGAGTATAATGGCCTTGACCCGGGTTTTCATGGCGCGCCCTAAATCAGTGAGGTTGTATAGAGCGTACTACTTAGTCGTCGGTATGGATAGCACCTACAAAACCAACAGGTACAGACTGCCTTTTTTGAAATTTATCGGGATGACTCCGTACAACAAGAACTTTTTGATTGCCTATGTTCTGTTGGATGCTGAGATTGCTGAGAGCTATCAATGGGCGTTGTTACAGTTGAGGCTATTACTTGGAGATAAAGAGCAGCCAAAGATTATGAGGCTAGAAGATCGGGAAATACTCATATATCCAGGCCAGCAATAGGGTCAAACAACCCTCCATCTGCTTGACACCACCTCTACTGGCAACCCGTAACCGGCGGTAAAGGTATGCTCGAGTCGCAGATGCCCAGGAACGACTTGAAACACCATCAAGGTCATCAAAACTCTCATGCAGCAACTGTGCATGTATTCTGCCGCCCCCACTCTTGTCAGCAAATAATGTGGCACTCAACATCACCCACAACCGAGCAGTGGCCTGTATGGACTCGGTCCATAACAAATGACTCTAACATAGCACCACTCTTATACTTCGGGGGTTTCATATCTTCTACAAATAAGTTCAAAAGACCCATACAGTGGTTCTTCACTGTTTCCCACTTGGGAACGGCCGTCACCATCTCTCCCTCAACAGGGATGGACAAAATGCACTGGACATCATGAAACATGATGGTCATCTCACCAAAAGGCATGTGGAACGAATTCGTGTCTGGCTGCCATCGTTCCACGAACGCACATGCTAGGCCGATATCATTATGCGAGAACATCAATCCTAGAAGATGAGACAACCTAGTCGCCTTAACCAGCGGCCTCACCCTTTCAAAACCTGGGGAACTCTTCCAGCCTGTCAACATCTGACAAACGAGGTCTCTGTTCTTTTACTTGAGACAACCTCGATCCATACCCTACCATAACAAAGAGGCAATGTGTCCATTGAAGCTGGGAATAACCGATCCATCTCCAGGCCCACTGGATACTGCATTCGTTACAATCCATGACCGATCGTCCGATTTTTTCGATCGGCTGCTACTCCCTGAAAAAAAGAAATGGGATGTAATTATTAGATTTAATTTATTAACTTCAACATCAAATAACTAATAATTATATGATTAATATTAACTTTAATTTTCACACAAAATTAATTCATACCTGATGCTATGGTAGCACCCTTACGAGAATCTGTCCCAGTCCCAGAGTCACTACGACCTCCAGGCAGGATAAAACGAAGTCGTGGAATTAGGGGGAAGGGGGTAATTCGCCACTCTGTGATTGTGAAACATTGTCGACATGCTCTTCTTGCTCAAACGAAGGTGTCTGCTGATATAAGGTGTGTCCAGCTCTGTGTGCATTACTGCTGGCACTCCCTTCTTTCTCCATCTCCTCAATCTCCACATGTTCATTTTCATTATGACCCGATGGCAGGAAATTTCGCGATTTCACATGCCGCTTACCCCATTCTTTATTGATCGGGCCAAGTGATTCCTGCATTTAATCAAGTTCATTACACAACCAAATAATAATATTAATACAAATTATTTCGTTCAACAATATTTAATTCACTAATAAATATATAATCATTAATTATAAAAGATATAAATTCATAGTAATCATATTAATAAACTAATTCCATTAATTATCAAATAAATTATATTTATACAATAATTAATCATTAAGTTATTTAATAACTAACTACATTAAACTAGATACTAATAAATAGTAATTAAAAATTAAATTAAACTAATTAAATTAAAAGAACTAAATAAAGTAAAAGAACTAAATTACACTAATTAAACTAAAAGAACTAAATTACACTAATTAAAAACTAAATTATAAAACAACAAAATATAATAAATAAATTAAATTACTAAACAAAAATATAATTAAAAAATAATAAATAATTAAATTACTATTTTTTTTAAAAAAAAAAGAAAAGAAAAATGCTTGGTCGGCGGCGGTGCCGGCCAGGAAATAACAAGACGACGGTGCTGCCGTCTTGTTTACAGGTAGACGACATCCCTGCCGTCCACCTTTCCGGTCGACGGCAGCTGGGTCGTCGACCGTGCCCCAGGACGGCACCTGGGTCGTCCCAATTTCCCAGGGACGAGACCACCATCGTCGATTTCTTCATGGACGCCGACGGTGGCCACTAAACTTGACGGCGTCCCTACCGTCAAGTTTTGATTTGGACGGTGTCCATACCATCCAAATCGGGGGTCGACGTCCCAGATGCCGATTTTGGCTTCCTGGGATGGCAAGCCGGTAGGCCTGCGGCTTTTCGGACGTCACCGCCTCCGGCTCACTCTTTTTCAGATTAAAAAAAAATAAAATAAATTTCAGATTCAAAAAATTAAAAAGTTGGAAGATTTCAGAAAACTTACTCGTTCAGTGGATGTTTCCCGCAACGGCGATCTCTTCCGGCCATCGATTTGAAGTCTACGAAGATTGAAAATTGGAGAGAGTGTTTGAGGTTGAAAGAAATTGGAAGATTGAAGTGTAGGGTTAAAAATTGAAGTTTTAAAGTATGAATTTGAAATTTAAAATATACGGATAAAATTAGAAGTTAACTTTCGGTCAATAGTGATTTTTATATTTTTCTTGGCAGGCTTTAAGCTTCTAGTACTTGTAATGTTTTTAGGATTATTACAATAAACTAACAGTAATAGTTCCGCTCCTACCTTAGTAAAAGGGGGGAAAAAAATCTCATTAAAAAGCCGAAGAAATTGATTAAAATCGGTTCTTATGTTTCTGTTCTCCAAGTACTAAAGCAATAGACATTTTCTCGCGTTTAAGAAAATACCGGAATTTATCGCGAAAAGACTTATCCACGTTTAATTTGACTTGGCAGATAAATTATCAACAAGGAAGATTTTACCTTTGAAATTTATGAAAAAAAGAACTTCCAAGAACATAAAGTTGTAAACAAACCACAGGAAGAAATTGCAAAAGTCGTCTGTTACATTTCACGGTCAGTAAATAATATATATGGAGGCATACTCCAGAATATACTAGTAGGCGATCTAGGAATGTTCTAATACATTTTACACATGTTTAGGCCTAGAAACGCGGGCAACCAAACGGGCCTACGCCCAATAAACATCTGGGACTAGCCCATAATTCTCTTCGCATTTTTCATTTCGCACCCCAAAAATACCCCTTGTATAAAATATCGAAAAGGAGCAGAAGAAGATCTCAGACTCTCAGTCGGTTATTGAGCTTTGATTTTATGCTGAGCAGTTAGTAGAGAGAGAGAGAGACGAGGAAGTGTGTGAAAATGGTGAACTACGTGTTGCGGATCACGGCGGAACTGGAGAACCTCATCGAACTTCAGCCTCAGGGCGGTTGTGACGATCCCAAATTCACCTACTACGTCAAGGTTGTCTTCTCCCTCCTCCGTCCGTGTATTCCATTCCTCATGCTCTCGGCTCTTTTTTGTTTCACTTTCAGCTTCTATTTTGTATTCTTGCCGATTTCTGCTGAGTTTTTCTCATTCGGTTGCTGAAATTGTTTTCCTTCGATTATCTCTAACTCTCAGTTCGTGATTTTGTTCTTTCGAGTTTGGACTGTGCCGTTCAATTTACAGTGCATTTAACGCTACAATTTGCTCGAATTCATGTAGTTAGATTCTTATTTTGTTTGGTTAGGTTTTTCTTCGGTTTTCCCCCTTCAATTTTGGGGTTCCGGTTTGTGTAGTTATTTTTCGGCAGATTTGAGCTCTACACTTTTGCTTTCTGCAAAATCGACTCGTATGGCGTCCATCAATTTTCTACTTGGTTGCATTATGAGTTCTTTGGTATCTCAAATTGTTAAGTAAATGACGCGCCTCAAATCATAGTGTCAGTTAATTTCCGTGGCCTCAATTCTCGTGTGGAGTTGATCTCCTTTTTAGACGTTTCTTCTCTTTTTGACAGCAATTGATATTTTTCCATACTATGTGGTGTTCATACTTTGTCTTGGTTAAGGGGACCGTCTTTTCAGCCATATCGAGGGGTATTCTATCCGTGCTGTAAATGTTCTTGTTGATCAGAAATTTCTTTTATGATTGAAAATTGTTTTAGCTTTTCTATACATCTAATTTAGCTTTGGTGGTTGATTTTCAGCTGAAATGTGGAAGTTGTGGAGAGGTTGGGGATAAAGAGGCATGTCTTACTGTGGAGGACACTGTCCCTCTTCCAACAGGCAAAGGCACCTGTCATTTTGTTAGGAAGGTAGGATCCTTTTTAAATGATGTTATTCTTGGACTCTATTATAGTGCTTTTTAAAAAATAACTTACAGGGTACTGGTTTTGTTGTCGGTCCATTTTTCTGAATGCTTTTATTATTGATATTCTATTTGGTATATTGGTTTGAAACTGCCTTCATTCTTGACGATGTTGAAATGTCCTGTGATATTTTCAGTGTAAGTTCTGTGGAAGGGAGGCAACAATGAGCATGATTACTGGCCATGGGTGTCCACTTTCACATGTTGAGAGTTAATTTGGCAAATATACTCCTTTGATGGTGTTTGACTGCCGAAATGATGAGCCTCTGGAATTTTTTTTTGGCAGAGGCTGGAAGGCTGAATCTGTAAGTAAATTTGATGTGGTTTTTGTACTAACTGTAGCTGTAGTAATCTGGTGCTGTCTGTGGTCTGTTGTATGCTGTAGTTGGTCTGTATCTTCTGATCAGCTAACAGTCAATATCTGGCTATATGTTTTCTCCATTCTAAGCGAATTACGTCTGCATTTTAAGCAACTGTCAGATGCTCATGGAATCTTTTTCTGTTACTACATCTCTTGATGTGATAATAAACCTGGGAACAGCGTCTACTTTGTTGGTGGTGTGTGAATTTATAGGAGGGGTCTTTGTCTTGGTGCTTTCTAGGTCACAACAGAATTTATTTTAGTAAAAATGAGAGTACAGTCTTGGGTTGAACTGATCTTTGGAATCCATCTTGAACAAGGCCACCTGCTAAACAAGTAATTTGAAGAGTAATTTCACTTTGATGGAACTTATTCATGTATATGCTAAATTAGTAGACTTTAGAATGAATTGAATGTTGCATTTGATGGCATTAATTACTCATTGGCTTATTGAAGACACTTTTAACGAACTTCATAATACTGCTGAGTCCATGTGGTGTTGAGGCTTTTATCTAGCAAGTGTAAACGAAGAGGGAGGAATGTATTTAGGGACGGAATTTTTGACATTTTAAATTTAGACCAAGTTGCTGTTCTTTTACCTGAATCTAATTAAGTTCGTTCTCTGTGGTATTTGTTTAAACAATTCATATGTTGCATCTTAAATCTCTTCGCTGCTGCTTGTCAGTAACAGCTAGTACTGTTTTGATGTACTGATTTAGGTATTCTATCGTCAAAGATCAGATATGTGATTTTTGCTTCTTTTCTTCTCTTTCAGAAATGATTTAGATGATTTTATTGAATTGGACTAGAACTTGTAATGGCAAGGTTTAACCTTGCTGTAAATTTGGTTATAGAGTAGAATATAAACAGCTGTGGGTTAGCTTGATGGTCATAAATAGCTATTCGTTTACATGAATCACGCTTACTTTGATTATCTTATCTTTTACTTTGAAGGGATCGAATCCCAGTGTGATACAGGGGTTTTCTTTTTTCCTTTTCTGTGTGTTTTGCTCTTTGAAAATTGTAAACCAACTTGGAAATACTCTTGCTTCATGAGGAGTTGGTGAATTTGAAGAAGATAAGTTATCCTCATATTGGTCTGCATCTACCCGTTTCTCAGATTAAGTAGCTTTTTGAAATAATGTAGTGGAAAGACATAGTTTGATTTTAACACATGCCTGCTGCCATAATGATTTTGCATTTTAGCATTTATATGTGCTCAACTGGCAAAGTGTTTCTCTGCCCTAATCTACCTGTTATTAATGAGTTACGCTGATTTTTCCTTCTTTTTTTTTTCGTGTCAGTATTCTCACAGTTGAAAGTTACACAACTAATGCGGCTCCCTTTTGTTTCCTTGGTTTGTAGATTGACAGGACAATATTTGAAGACATTGATTTGTCAGGAGGAGAGTATGTAGAATATGATGAGAAGGGAGAATGCCCAGTGGTGATTTCCAACCTTCGCGCCTCTTTCAGGATTTTGACTCTCAAGTACTATTAGTATCTGACCATCCGTCGCTGCTAATCAGGCTGGTAAATAAATAGGGGCTGATACAGATAACAAATTAGCTTTTGACCTGCGTTTTGTCTTCTAAAAGAACAGGGGTTTTGTGGATGAATCGAATTGTGATGTATGTTGTGGGCAAACCTATGTGCTAATTCACTATATGCTATTGTCTAAATGCGTATAAACTTGGCTCGAACACCTTTAATATCCTAATATCGCTTTCACTTTCCTGTTATTTGTCTTTTGGGACGATACATGGGGTAATGAAATTTGTGTTCATGTACTCGAGTTGTTCTCCTTTCCCAGACAGAGCTGAACTTTGCTAGCATGCAAACAGAGTTATTTTTTTCCTTTATTTGTAAACTGTTTGTTTTTTTATTAAAAAAAAAAAGAAAAAAAAAAGTTATTCTTGTGTAAACTTAGAGGTAACATAAAGGGAAAAAGAAAATTGGAGGTTGTAAGTCGTTAATTAATTTATTACTCCCTCTGGTTCTTATTATAAGGCATTTTGATTTTGATTTAGGTTTCACATAGAATGCTTTTTTAATTGGAAAAAAAAAATCTTAAAAATATATTTTCATATTCGTCGTATTCTCTTAAATATAAGAAAATATTTTTAAAGTTTTTATTTTAATAAAAAAATAGATTAAATTTAGGACAAACCTGAAACAAATCAAAATAGCTTATAATAAGTAACGAGGAGTAGATAATAACAAGACAGAACCATGATGATTGGTGGTATTTAGATTAAAGTAAAAGTAGATCAATGAATAATATTTTGCTGATGGATCCAAGGCACGTTAGTCACGATATATACCACAGCATACTGTTGACTTTCATGATCAGAAAATCAGTAGAAGTGGTAACGTGTAAGGAAGTCAGTAGGGGACATCCGGTAAAATTGGAACGTTGTAAGGAAGACTCGGCCATAAAATTAAAGAGATTCCTTCGTGCCTTTTTCATAACGACAAACTGATAAAGAAATGAAACAAAAGAAATGTTGTCGGAGGTTAATTTTTTTTTCTTTTACCGCACTATTTTACATTTTTATGAAATAGCTAGGACTTCAAAAAGATCATGTTTGTTGACCAGCTTGCTCAGTTCAGGTTTGTGAATTGGGATCAATACCCGAGTGAGATGAGAATTGACCCCGATGTTGAGCTGCATGCCCTTTCGTTCCCCAAGATTAATGATTTGATCCAAAAAGTCAAGGTACGTGTCAGATTGCGTTAGTTTAAGAAAGATGTAGAAAAGTAAAAAAAAAAAAAAAAAGTAAAAACCATATACTACTAATCATCATCATCATCATCATCATTAAATAAAATCTCCGCATGTGACGTGGGTGTTGGTAGCCAACCAAATACATTTCATCATTACCGTTTAACGTTACTCTCATTCTCTCTATTGCTCTTCAGATCTCTTCCTTGGATTTCATCACCTCTCGTTATTTCCAATTCACTTTCTTTCTTACATCAAAGTTTGATGGTGTGTGTTTTGAAGCTTTTTGCTCTAGCCAATTGCCACACTAACTATAATTTTTAATTGTTAGGCCATTGTGCCTCTTTGTTCATCTTCTGACGATTCAACTCTCCCATCTGCAGCTTTCGCGCGATTGATTTTAGATCCTAGCAAATCTATTTGCGACAAAAGTTCAATGCTTCTCCTTTCCTCCTAGCCCAGTTCTTTCGTAGGATGGGATCTGAAACCATCTTGAACCTTCCTAAAATGCCTTCCTTTTTTATTTACCTCTATTGTGAAGTCAGCCCAAATGGTTTGATCTCTAATTAGGTAGGCTGCTCTGGTTTGGTTCGTTTGACTTTTTTTTTTTTTTTTGACCCATTACATAGTTCTCTGCTACAAAAGCTTCAGATTTAGCTCCTTTGGTGATACAAGTTTAGTTGATCATCTCAAGTTTGAAAATGGCTGATTAATTGCTTTGTATACAAAGATGCAATTAAGACTCTCTGCTGTTGAGGATATTGAAATGTGTTCAGAAGCACCTTGAATTTGTGGAGCTTAGTATTTGTAATGTGCCTGGGTTTATAGCTTCACAGGCCATAGTCGCAGGTGGGTTAAAAAAGCACTAAATCAGAAACTGTTTGTGAAGTTGTTTTAAGCGATGGAGAACGGTAAAGAGGTTGCATTAGATGGAAACAGGACAAATCAGAAAGGGACTTTGCTTCCTGTAAGTATGCCAAAAAAGAAAGGGACTTTCCTTGAGAGGCTGCTTCAGTTACTAACGTTGTTTTTGGGATTCTGCTTTATTTTCTCTGTCGTAAGCGTATACATGATTAGGCATTATGGAGCTAATAATAGCTTAGTTGCTAACTTATATCCTAGTTTACAGCCTTGTGCTGATGAAAATCCAAGTTTAGATCGTTGGATTAAGCCCCCTTCCAATTTGTTGCATTCAATGTCTGATCAAGAATTGTTTTGGAGGGCAACAATGGCACCCAGAATCAAGAAATATCCTTTCGACCGGGTTCCCAAGATCGCATTTATGTTCTTGACTAAGGGGCCAATGCCATTAGCTCCTCTTTGGGAGAGATTTTTCAAGGGACATGATGGATTTTATTCAATATATGTTCATTCATTGCCCTCATTTCAGGCAGATTACCCTAAGACATCGGTTTTCTACAGGCGGCAAGTTCCTAGTCAGGTATTTCTGCTAATACTACTGAAAGTTCATTGATGCATAATAATTTAGATTCATGATCATGCAAAACTTAAGCTTAGGAACAGTTGGTGACTTGAGCCAACAATGTTGATTAGCTTTAGTCCCATTTAGCCAAACTTTCTGTTTCTGGCAATTTTTCAATCACTAGTTAAGTCATTCTCTTTGGCTTCCGATCACAATAGGTTTCTTGATCATCTGTTATAAAGTCATGTTTCAGGTTATCAATGCAACTTTGTTGAGAATCCAGTGAAAATATGTGGGAATTATTGGTAATAAACCTTATATTCATTTCATAAGATAGATGTATATTTTGTGAAATTGAGCGATGAAGATTGTTGTTACTCTGCTGCTGTATAATATTGTTTCTTGTAGTTGGGCTTCTTGGGATTGTCATAGATTTGTTTAGGCAACATGCTATATCTTGGGACTCAACCAAATGTCGATATGTAATACTTGCAATTGAGTTGCTGTTGATTTTTGGGATTTCATTTTGTAGATGACAGAATGGGGCGAGATTAGTCTGTGTGATGCGGAGAAAAGACTTCTATCAAACGCACTACTAGATATCAACAATGAATGGTTTGTTCTGCTATCTGAGTCATGTATACCACTCTATAATTTCAGTCTCGTCTACAAATACATAAGCAAATCAAGACACAGCTTCGTTAGTGTATTTGATGATCCTGGTCCAGATGGGAGAGGTCGCTATAATTCGAGGATGGCGCCAGAAGTTAACATTACCGAGTGGCAAAAGGGATCACAATGGTTTGAAGTAAACAGAAAGCTCGCGATTTCTATTGTCGCAGATACCAAATTTTATGCAAAATTCGCGGAGTTTTGTAGACAGCCATGCTATGGAGATGAACATTATATCCCAACCATGCTGACAATTCAAGCAGCTGACCAACTGGCAAATAGAAGCATTACTTGGGTGGACTGGTCCAAAAGAGGTGAAGCTCATCCTGCTACTTTTGGAGCTGCAGATGTCACTGAACAGTTGATGAAGGGATTTCTTGAGAATCAAAACTGTACATACAACGATGAACCTTCTTCGATTTGTTATCTTTTTGCTCGAAAATTTACTCCTCCCACGTTGGAACCTCTATTATTGTTGGCGCCTAAGTACCTGGGATATTAACAAAATGCTTGGAGAGATCCATATCTGACCATTGTCAGATCATACATAAGTAGGAATGAAGAGTTCAAGGTCTGCGCAAGTCGGTCATGGCGTAATGCGAGTTTTTGTTTACTGTGAATATAATATCTTTGGATTTCCTCTACTTAACATTATATAAGTATAGTTGACACAAAGATCGAAGATTCTTGCATTTTCAAATGATACAAAATGGCATACAGTGGAAAACAAGATATTCGAATAAGAATAAATATACTAGATCTTCAGTGGCAGTGGTTAAAGCAAAGATCATTACTAGACGTTTATAGAAAAAATGTACTATATCTTTGGATTACTGTTTTGCATTGGCTAAACAAGTTAGTCAATCAAGAAGTTTATAGAAAAAAACAATCTGATCAACTCCTATGAAATTACTACAAGTCTAAGTAAAACACAGTAAGACACGTTGGCTTCTTTTCTTTATTTTAAACATAGTAAGACACATTGGCACAGTAAGTCAAATGAGTGATAGCACATCGTTATTGAAAAAAAAAAAATAAACAAGTCACTATTTCTTTTCTTTATTTTAAAGATCTCTTAGTAGCCATTTATACATTTTCTTATTGTTTAGAGAGCATGTAGTGTAATTTTTTTCGAAAGACAATTTACATTTAATATTTGGGTCACGTTGATGATAATGTTAAATAAGGGACTACGTCTGCAATTCTCTCAAATCTTTTTCCATTTACCATTTTGCACCCTGAACTCAGAGCAATAATAAGAAATCGCAAAAAGGAGCAAAAACCAAAAAGATCAAAACGGTTATATCCTTATTGGGTGCGTTGCAGAATTGCAGCGTTGATTTTAAGCTGAGCAGTGCGACGACTAGAGAGAGAGGAAGCGTGCGAAAATGGTGTACTACGAGCTGCGGATCACGGCGGAACTGGAGAACCTCACCGAAGTTCAGCCTCAGGGCGGTTGTGACGATTCCAACTTCGTCTACTACGTCAAGGTTTGTTTTCTTCCCTAATTTCAATCTCCGTGTATTCCATTCCTCGTGCTCTAGGCTTTTCCTGTTTCAATTTTCCGCTTCTATGTTTGTTTCTTCCGACGTCTTTCAGTTTCTGGCATATTATCTCTACTTTTAGCTCGTGATTTTGTTTTCTGGACTGTGCTGTTAAATTCCCGATGCATTTAACGCCACAATGTCTCGAGTTTTACGGTTTACACTTTGTTTTTGCTTGTTTAGGTTTTCCTTTGGTTTCCCCCCCTTTAATTTTGGGGTTTCTCTTTAATTTTCTGAAGATTTGAGTTCGACACTTTTGTTTTCAGCAATTAATTATCTATGCTTATCAAATCGTATGGTGTTCATCAATTTTCTTATTAATTTCTTTGGTTGGATTATGAGTTCTTATTTGGACATCTTGAATTGTTAAGTGAATGACGCCCTCTGTAATCACAGTGTGGATTGATGTCCTCAGGCTTAGTTCTTTTGGAATTTATCATCTCATTTTATACATGTCCGCCATAGAAGGTTATTGTATTGTAACCATGCTGTAATTGTTCTTGTTGATTGAACATTTCTTCTACTTCTTCTTCATTTTTTTGTAGTAAATATGTAAAATGCTTTAGCATTTCTATATGTCTATTTTACATTTTTTTTTTTTTTTGAATTCCAGCTGAAATGTGGAAATTGTGGAGAGATTGGGGATAAAGAGACATGTCTTTCGATGGACGACGTTGTCCCTCATCCAACAGGCAAAGGCACCTGTCATCTTGTTAGGAAGGTAAGATCCAAGTTTAATGATGTTATATATCTAGAGAGGATAACAATGATAGTGGGATTCTTTTATACTGTTCTAAAAAATAGCTCCCAAGGAACCAGTTGTTTTGGGCTCCTTTTTTTTGTGAATGCTTTTAAGTTTGATTTCCCATTTGATATGTTGGTTTCAAACTGCCTTCGTTCGTGACGATGTTGATATGTGCCGTGGTATTTTCAGTGTAAGTTCTGTGGAAGGGAGGCAACAGTGAACATGCTTCCTGGCTATGGGCGTCCACTTTCACATATTGAGAGTCAATTTGGTAAATATGCTGCTCTGATGGTCTTTGACTGCCGAAATGTAGAGCCTGTGGAATTTTCTTTTGGCAGTGGGTGGAAGGCTGAATCTGTAAGTAGTTTATGTTGCAGCTTTGGCATTAATTGTAGCAGTAGTAATCTGGTTCTATCTATGGTCTGTTGTTTGCTAATGTTTACCTGTATAATGGCTAAACATAAATGCTTGGCTATTTGTTCCTTCCGGTATAAGCTAATATGTCTTGTTTTATGCAACTGACCTGCGTGTATGGAATGTTCTTTTTGTTTATACATCGCTTGATTTAATAATAAACCTGGGAATGTCTATGTTGCTGGTGGATTGTAAACTTATCGTGTGTGTTTTATCTTTTCTCTTTTTCCCTTTGGGGGGTGGGTGGGTTGGTGGGCGTTGCTTTTTGTATAGGTACTCAGTAAGTGTCTTTTCAAAGCTGTCGACTTAAGGATTAGCTGTATCATGGATCCAATCCAAGTTGAATAAGGCCACCTGCTAAGAAAGATAATAAATTTTAAAGAAGTGATTTTCCCTTTCATTACACGTATTCAGGTTATATCCTAAATTAGACTTCAAAATGAATAGAATGCTACCTCCTATGGCATTTATGACACATTCTCTTATTTAACGCACTCTTGAAAGCTTTTGTAATATTGCTGAATCCATATGGCGTTGCGACAAAAGAGGAAAGGGTGTGCATTTAGGGATAGAATTTATGACATTTGAAATCATGACAAGAAGCTGTTCAGTTGCCTAAATGTAAACCTCAGCAAGTTATGGATGATCGTTTGTTCAAACAATTCATCTACTGCATCTTAGACTCCTTAGCTGTTAGTTATCTTTAACTTGTAGTACTGTTTATTGTACTGATGATATATGTATTCTGTCATCAAATATCAGATAATGACCATGTATGATTCTTGCTTCTGTTTCTACTCTTTCAGAAAAGTTTTAGATTCTCTTATTGATTGGGAAAAGAACTTGTAAAAGTAAGGTCTACTTTGCTGTATTTATATTGATCCAATATGCGCAAGTGTAGGGTGTTTTGATGGACATAGATTGCTATTTGTTGGCACGAATCATATTTTGCTTTGATGATCTTTGTGCTGAAGGGATAAGTAGCCCATATTCTGTATGCAATGCCTCTTTTTCCTTTTTATTTTGTGTGTACTCTTTTGCTTCTTGAACATTGTTTTACCACCAACTTGGTGATACACTTTGCATCATGACATGGGGAGAATAACTACAGAGTGATGATCTAATGTTGTAGATGATAAGTGATCCTCAGGTTGGTCTGCATCAATGTACGTAGGATAGGATTTGGTGTGATTTATTCATGTGCCTGCTGCCAGAATTGTCTCCCATTTGTTTCTGTGCTCTAATCTATCTGTTTTTATTGAATTTACTAAATTGTGGAAACCTTGTTGCTTTGTTTGTAGCAGTCTCATTTGGAAAATTCACACAGCTGATGCTTTTCTTTGTTTCCTTGGTTTTGTAGATTGAAGGGACAAAATTTGAAGACATTGATTTGTCAGCTGGGGAGTATGCAGATTATGATGAGAAGGGAGAATGCCCAGTAATGATTTCCAACCTTCGTTCCACTTTCAGCATCGTGAACTTGAAGTAGAAGAAACCCAGTATGGCAAATCAGGCTGGTAAATAAAATAGGGTGATGCAGATTAGCTTTTTGCTTGTGATCTGGCTTCTAAAAGAGAAACTAGTGGAATGGTGGATGAATTTGCCTAATGAAGTATGTTGTGTTGAACATGTTATGCTGCTTCATTACGCTATTGTCTAAATGTTGATAAACTTGGCAGACTCCTATTAACATCCTAACTTCTCCTTTCAAATTCCTGTAATTTGTCTTTCTAGTTGTGGATGATGGATAATGAAATCTCTGTGTTCGAGTAGCATAATTTTACTTCAAAAATAGAATGGTAATATGCCGGAGACCGTCTGGTGAGTGTTCACCAGCACCATAGGTTGAGGGGAGGTTATTAGGTGCAACGATCTACTCTTTATGAAAGATGAGATGATGTGGATAGAGCAACCTTGGACACCGCATCCCTTCTTCGGCATCTTGAAAAAGCTTATAGAGAGGGACAAAGATTGATGCAATTAAAGTATGAAGAAAATGGCTTGCCACCTGAACAATGACATTTCTTAAATAAATGATTAAAAAGTTGTGGGAAAATGATGATGGATTTTTGGATCTGATTAGTTGGCGTAGCTTTGGAGGGTGGTGATGTGATTTGATTACATGTAAAAATGGTGCCTTCCAACGTGTGGATATTCCGCTTTCAGTTAAGACGTGCGTAATGGAAGAATCATGAGACTAATGAAGTTTTCTTTGTGTTGGTCACGTGGAAAGGGTGGATCAATTGGACTGTGAACCAAATTATATTATATCATCATCAGTTGAAAATCAGAGTTAGTTTAGCTATAAATCCGACAAACAGATGATGTGTGTGGCACTTAAATTATGGAATCATCCCACGCTTTTGTCATTGTTTCTGGCGACTAATGACTGATAACAGCCAAATGCAAACGTATAGATGCAGAGTTACGTGGAGAAGGCCAAATGTGGCTCTTTTGTCATCAGCGCCTGGATGATTCTTACATTTTAAATTTTTACATTAAGAATATTGAGTAAATACAGTATATTTTAAAATCAAGATTACAGTTTATATTTTGAACAGTAACAAAAATATTCTTATTTATTTTTTCTATTACGCACCGATATCCGAAATCATTGCTCTAATTAATTCGGATTCGAGACATCAAAACTCTTCCAATAAATACCCTTAAAATAATACTACATCTGTTCTCCCAAAAAATCACATTTCATAGAGTCTTGAGATTTGTATAATATAAATTTTGTTTTTTTGGGACGGAAAAAGTATTTTAGAATGAAATATAAGATTATTTGGTTAGATCTCTATGCTGTAAGGATATCTAATAATATTGTTTTACTTTTATTCATCTCAAAACGAAAGTTTTATGTTGTTAGAAAACGATGGAATTCCGTATTTGGCTATTTGCAGGTGAAACTGTATGCCTGGAAAAATGCCGAAATTCCGATGGGAGTTTTGTCCTCAGTTTCACGGGCGTGTGGATCTCAGGTCATGCTTTTGTTGTATTCTCAGAACAAACGTGACAACCAAAAAGGTCTCCTAATTGCTACTACAACATTTGTCAATGAACTCATTGTCGATGATACCAATACAAAAATATTAATCACAAAGATAAAATTCTCTTCTAACACCTCTGGTGATTGTACTTTTATTAGTCTAGTCTAGTTATTCAAATTTTTTACAAAAACAAAAACTATTAGAATATAAAAGAAAATGATAAATTAATAGAGTTATTACAGCAAACACTCACAAGTTTAATTTGTTACCGTCTATCTATTACTCTCTCCATCCCACAAAAATAATCCACATCAACACTCATATTATCCTTCTTGAATTACTGCAATCTAATCGAAAACTTGCACTTAATACTACTTACGCTCATCCTTCTACATCGTAAAAAAAGAAGAAAAAAACTTTGAACTGTACTCCAAAATTAATTTTTTTTTAAAAAAATAATGCAGACTATGGTACAAGATGTCAAGATAAATTACCTCTATTCAGGAAATGAACAGTGAAAAATCAGCTTTCTCACTTAGTTTAATTTTTTTAGAAATAAAATAATCTGACAGATTAAAATATAAACATAAGACTGAAAAGATATTAGTTTGGTAGGATACCAACACATACCCAAATCAAATTCATTCCCTAATGAGGCAGCACATACCCAAATAAAAAATTCTTCAATGTTTTTCTTTCTTTTTATTTTTTTCTTTTTTAAGAATAAAATTACATTTTGCTTGTAACAAATATAAAAATGTTGATAAAAAAATCATAATACGAGGAAAGAACAAGAAAAAGAAAACTATACAAAGAAAAAGAAAACTATAAAAATCATCAACAACATGGGTGCGTTTGGGCGTGGGTGGCTAACCAAAAACATTCCTTGTAGCTCTCATGTCAGCCAGATCTCTTCCTTGATTCTAATCACATTCAAACCATTTCGCTTTTCTTTCTTGCTCCATCATCTGTTTCAAGTGTTTTCTGTAGCTTTTTTTTTTTTTTGGTCCTTTGCCAGATTAACTAAATTTTAGCTTATTGGATTGGACCACTTTGTTCATCTTTAAAGTCTGTTTAGCTGCATTCTCTGCGTGGTTAATTTTTACGGGCTAGCTTTAAGGATCCGCAAGCAATAATTTTTACGCCTTTTATCCCCTCTTTCTTGTTAAGAGTATACTTTGGTTTGGATTTGGATTCAAAAACCCATCTTGAACCTTCCTGAATAGTAAAGTCCTTTCTCTTTCATTTTGTGAGTTAATTTTTTCCTAATTTAAACCCATCCCCACATGGTTAATCTCTCTAATTTGGTACGTTTTCTGGTTAGTTTCTTTTGAAGCTGCTCTGTTTTGGGTTTTTGTTGACTTTTGTTGGTACTCTGTTTTTTGATCCACTAAGAAGAGTTCTCTGCTACAGAAGATTCTGTTTTTTGCTTTTTTGGTGATACCATTTTTGGCGATCGATTAAAGTTCGAAACTTGCTGATTTGCTTGTAAGTTGAGATGCAATCGAGACTCTCATTTCAGGGTTCGGTAGTAAAAAAGTAACTGCTCTTGAGGTTTTTTTTTTGGAGTGTTTCAATTTGTGGAGTGTTTGGTTTTGCAAATATGCCCGGAGAAAAAGATTGCCGGAATTGCTGGTGAGGTTTAGATTCAGGCGAATTTGATCGATGGAGAACGGTAAAGATGTTGCAGCTGTTGGAAATAGGACGAATCAAAGTAGGGCTTTGCCTAAGAGGCTGATTCAGTTACTTTTGTTGTTTTTGGGGTTGTGCTTCATTTTCTCGGTTGTGAGCGTATACATGATTAGGCTTTATGGGGCTAAGAGTATAGTTGCCACCTTAAATCCTAGTTTACAGGCTTGTGCTGGTGAGAAACCCTTTAGTTTAGATCGTTGGATTAAGCCCCCTTCCGATTTGCTTCATTCGATGGCTGATCAGGAGTTGTTTTGGAGGGCAACAATGGCACCCCAAATCAAGAAGTATCCATTTGACAGGGTTCCCAAGATTGCCTTTATGTTCTTGTCTAAGGGGCCATTGCCATTAGCACCTCTTTGGGAGAGATTTTTCAAGGGCCACGATGGGCTTTATTCAATATATGTTCATTCAGTGCCCTCCTTTCAAGCAGATTTTCCTAAGTCATCTGTTTTCTATGGCCGGCAAGTTCCCAGTCAGGTATCCTCTCTCCAATACTGCAAAAATGCATCGATGCATACTTATTGTAGCCTCATTGTTTATGCTATGTTGCTTATTGTGGTTCGATGACATTGGTGATTTGAAATATTGCTTCGCTTTTGACCCATTCAGCTGAATTTTTTGTTTCTGGCTCCATTTTTTCACTATGTCCATTGTACGATTGGTTTTGTATTGGCATTTGGATTATCCTGAAATGGTGTGAATGTCAGTTTGTGCTTGCCTAGTGGTACTGAGTGTATGTACAATTTGCTTTTGTAAATTTAGTGTGCTGTCTCAATGATGCTGATTAGTTTTATGTCTAGGTGGAAGATTTGGAATGCTAAATTTGAGTAGAATTGATACACTACGGTTTTGTTAGGTATCGTTGCATCGCCATTCACTTTTGTGGTAATGATGTGATGTGTTTTTACACTTCTTTCATTGTGTACCAAAACATGGAACCTTGTATTTAGAGGTGATTTTAGATAGTTTTAGTTAAAGCATGCTGTGATGTATCCCTGGTACATGTTTTCTCCTGACTCTTTCAAAGAGCTGCATTCCAATTCAGACCAATAAACAAATTTTGATGACCCCGTCAAATGTGAAAGATTTATCAAAAAATGAGGTTTGGAATGTTAATGTGAGAGATGAAGAATCATATATCCCAGTTTCGTGAAATTGCTTATGATAATTTGTGAATGCATTATCTTTGGCTTCTGTGCACAATAGTCTTCTTCATAATTTGCTCCAATAATTACTTTCTTGGAAGTAGTGCTTCAGGTTATGAATGTAACTTCGATGTGTGAGGAAGTTATATATATTTCAGGTTATGAATATTAATTGGATAAGTAACTAGGGAGATAGGATATATCTTGGCGAATTCTTGGGAAGTTTGAAAATCCTATCTAATTTAAGAAGATGAATGTATGTTTTGAGATTGAAATATGAACATTGTTGTTGCTTGGATTTGGAAGAAAGGAAGTGATCACCACTGTTACTTCTTCTTCTTCTTCTTCTTCTTCTTCTTCTTCTTTTTTTTTTTTCGGGTGTATGATTTTGTCCAAGTTGCAATCTGTTATCTGTCGTTACAGCTACTTCATTGTATTTTTGTTTCTTCTTTTTATCTTTTAATGAAGTCCCATCCGGGGCAGTTAGTGCTATATATCCATCACAATGTAGAATCTTCTCTGTTGCACACAAATGTTTCGCAGCTGGAAGGTTGTCAACAATTTCATTTTTTCAAGAAATAAATATCAGTTTAATTTTTGATTGTCATCGATTTGTTTAAGCTACTAGCAAGGGTTTTATATCTTAGCACCGACTTTTTCCTTGGTGATTGATTCAATCCAATGTCGGTTATGGTTTTAATTGAGTCACTGATTTTGGGCTTTCATTTGTAGATGACAGAATGGGGCAAGATGAGTATCTGTGATGCTGAGAAAAGACTTGTAGCAAATGCATTGCTTGATATCAACAATGAGTGGTTTGTTCTGCTATCCGAGTCATGCATACCGCTCTATAATTTCAGCGTCATCTACCATTACATAAGCAAATCAAGATACAGCTTTGTTAGTGCATTTGATGATCCTGGTCCATTTGGGAGAGGTCGCTATAATTTGGGGATGGCACCAGAAGTTAATATTACCCAGTGGCGAAAAGGTTCACAATGGTTTGAAGTAAATAGAAAGCTTGCTCTTTCTCTAGTTGCAGATACCAAATTTTATGTAAAATTTGAGGAGTTTTGTAGACCGGCATGCTATGTGGATGAGCATTATTTCCCAACGATGTTAACAATTGAAGCAGGTGACCAACTGGCCAATAGAAGCCTTACTTGGGTGGACTGGTCAAGAGGTGGAGCTCATCCTGCAACTTTTGGAGCTGCAGATATTACTGAACAGTTCATGAAGAGACTTATTGAGGATCAGACCTGTATGTACAACAACCAGCCTTCTTCAATCTGTAACCTTTTTGCAAGAAAATTTGCCCCTAGCTCGCTGGAACCTCTATTCTTGTTGGCACCGAAGTACTTGGGATACTAAAAAAGGGCTTAGAGATCCATTTCTGAATACAGTTAGAAGGTTAGAAGATACGAAATACGGTGGAAGAAGGGTTCAAGTTCGTGCAGGTCAAGCCAAATTTTGTTGACTGTGCTTACATGTAGGCTACAAGTAAGATGAAGCTTTTCTTATCACTTGCGCATGTTTAGAACCCTTGTCACGACTAGAAGAGCTTATTTAGATGTAAAGATGGTATATGAAGGTTGATTCTAGTATTTATACAGGTTCATATTAAAGTTTAAATGCAATAAATTTAGGTCTTTCTCTCTGTAGTTCTGTTTTTTTATTTATTTTATTTTATTTCTTTCCTAGACGAAGGTCAGTAAGGTTTTTGAAATTTTTTCCCTTTACATTGCACATAATCCGCAAGAAGAGAAAACTGCTTCTCAAATTGCTGAATTTTCTTCGAGAATTTTTAGGCTTGCCCTCCTTGGGTGTGAATAAAGCTCACCGTTGACTGAAGCACTGAATCTGCAGGAAAGCGGAGCTTATCTGTTCTAGTTTCCATAGAATCCTGTTTTACAATCTTCGAAGGAACTGAAATAGGTTCCAAATACTTGTACCGCGACTTGTCTGTATCTTCTATTCATCCGCATCCTATGTTAGATGCTGCTATATCCTCGACCGTTCACCAGAACCACTTCACTGCCTTATTTCATCTGGTAGAGCAAAACATAATTGGTCTTGTGCTTCTTTGATCACGTCTGCGTAGTTGTAGTAATTACATTTCTGGATCACAGTATTATGAGCTTGCCAATTCAGTCAGTATAAAAAAATGACAGAATTAGTTATGCAATCCCTGCCTGAGCCCACTGAACCAGAAATCCAGAAAACAACATAAATTTAAATACAAAAGCTAGGAAGAAGCTTTCTGTATCCTTGTAGAATCCTCAGAGCTCAAATCAGAGGTGTGACACCAGTGACTTCTCTACTAAAAGGGCCAGCAGGCTAACTTCTGATCGCGCCTTGGAGATGATGTTCTTGCATGTTTCAATGCTAGAAAAACACAGAGTGTTAGTATAGGACTATCATAGTTTTAATTTCAAGCAGGGTGCATGCTTACGTCCATCTTCTGGTCAATCAGATAGTAGAAGAATACAAGTTTCCTGCAGAAGTTTATCGCACAAAGAGAAAATGAATGAGAATTTCAAGACTGAAAAATACTAAAAGAAAATCCAAATCTCCCCAATCACTTGCATTTAACAAGCAACTAAGATCATGTAAAGAAAAACAGACAAGAAAAAAGGGGTTCCAAGCACTATGAGAGCATGGCAGTATAAGACCAAAAGAGAACGGAAGGTTCCAAGCTCCACCTTAAGCCAGAAATGAACAGACACGAAGTACCACTCAGCAATTGTGAACCTTGACTAGGGAAATAGTCACTAGTGATGTCAATGCGACCATCCTACTAGAACTGCTTCATCTATAAGTTCGGTAAGAAGCTAAATGTACAGAAGCTATTCTCCTTTTCATTTTCTTAAACTCCATGATGGTTCTATTATTTACTTTCAAACAGTTCATCGGTGAAGTGCAATGTAAAAATTGTAGGATATAATGGGAAGGAAAGAAGAAAATATGTTTTATCATCCTACCTTTCTTGTAGAAGCCAACCAACCACTTAAATCTGCACTGTATAGGCAAGCAACACCTTAGTTCACTCTATTTCCCACAAGAAAGACATTTTTATTGTCTAATACAAGTATTCAACATCTCTGAGCTTTAGCATTTTCCATCCAACTACAACCCGGAACCTTGTCAAAACTCATTTCTTCAACAGCTTCTCTCAATTGTTTCGATTCATCCCACCTCCCAGAAGAGGCATAAATATTAGCAAGGAGGGAATAATATCCAGTGCTATCGGGTTCTAACTGGACACACTTTGCAGCTGCAATCTCGCCAAGTTCAAGATTGTTGTGCAAACTGCAAGCTAGAAGCAACGCTCCCCAAACCCCTGAATGAGGCTGCATTGGCATTTCCTTTATCAACTCATAAGCTTCTTCCAATCTACCAGCCTTGCCTAAAAGATCAACAATAATGGAGTAGTGATCAACAGAGGGAAAAAGTCCATACTTCTGCATTGAACAAAAGCAGCTATAGCCTTCTTCAACCAATCCAGCATGATTGTAGGCAGATAACACCCCAATGAATGTTGCTAAGTTAGGGGTGATTTCAGAATTGATCATGTTCTCAAACAACTTGACGGCATCACTTGCACGGCCATGTGTTCCACAACCCAAAATCATAGCAGTATAGGCAACTACATCCTTCTTCTGCAAGCCATGGAATAATTCACAAGCTTTGTTGATATCTCCACATTTTGTGTGCAAGTCAATCAAAGCTGTGGCTAGATAATCATCCATTCTAATCCCTAAATCACCCATGCATGACTCTATTTCACTCCCCCGTTTTGCATCTCCCAGTTGAGAGCAAGCCGAAATAGCACTTGCCAAAGTAATTTTATCAGGCCGAATGTTCAAATTCGGTTGAAACATCTCATCATACAGATGAAGAGCCTCTTTCGGCCAACCATTTTGCGCATAACAAGCTATCATTGCATTATACAAAAGCCGGTCCCTTTTTTCCTCCTGATAAAAAATCTTCTCAGCAGACTCAACATCAGCGCATTTTGAATACGCAGATATCAACGTGATACAAGAAATGCTGTCTCTCTGAGGCATTGTTTCCAAGAAACCGTGCGCTACCTCAATCTTCCCAGCGTCAACGTAACCGCGGATCATTACATTCCAAGAAGCCGAATTCTTCTCTGGCATCTCCCTAAACACAGAATACGCCCGACTCATCTCACATGCCCTGCAATAACCTAACAACATCGTATTCCACGATATAGTATCCCTCTCAGGCATTTCATCAAACACCTTTTGTGCCATTACCAGCTCCCCAGATTTCACATAACCAGAAAGCAAAGAATTCCAAGACACAACATTTTTCAACCCCATTTCATCAAACACCTTACGTGCCGTCCTCATATCACCCATTTTGGAATAAAAATCCATTAGGGCTGTCTGCACATAAACAACTTTAGAGAAACCAAACTTATGGACATGAGAATGAACCGAAACCCCGCCACTTTTACAACCCATCTTGCCATAAGATTTCAGAGCAGATGCTATCGAAAACGTATTAGGAATCAGCCCAGAACCCTGAAGTTGTACGTATAAAAGGACGGCGTCCTGGGACTGGCCTTGCTGGGAGAGGAACCTTATGGCAAATCCCAGTGGGATTACATCTTTACATCGCAAATGTCTGAGGATTAATTCAACATACTGGGTTACTTTATTCTGATGATAATTGCCAGCAGAGATAATGATTTGACGAACCAAAATCGGCTCGAGATGGTGAAAACCAGTAATAAGGATTAAGCCATGAATTTGCTTTGCAAGTTTGATGTCCAAGAATCCACCCAATAACGTTTTGAGTTGGGGGATCTGCATTTCCTAATGGTAATGATTATAAAATCACGGCATGACTTTTTAATGCCTGTAGCTTTGAGCAAAGAATATTTGCTAGTTTGCATGTAATTAAACGATGGATTCAGGAACGTGCGAGTTTCTACACATGTTTTTTTTTTTTTTTTTTTTAATGGTGATAAATAGCATCATACATTTACATTTTATCTCAGGCTTACCGCTATAAAAGTTACTCTAGAAAATGATTATTCTGTTTTAATAAGAACAAAGGTCCATCTCCATAAGGCCATTAACCACAGTGTTAGACATGGAATGTCAAATTAGAGACTCAATCCATTCTAATAATAATTCATCGGAGCATCAAGACCGGTATGCTCTATTTATTATAATGTAACCACTGGTCTACATATTTATAGTATTCCTCCGATCCTTAATATAAGTTATTTTGATTTATCTTAAATTTGACCTAATACTTATTTTTAGTTAAAAAAAAATCTCAAAAATATTTTTTCATATTCGTTGTGTTCTTTATGAAATAATTTTAAGATTTTTTTGTCAATTAAAAATCCGTACGAGGTGGAACCTAGGACAAATTAAAATGCCTTATAATAAGGACCGGGAGGAGTATATAATAACATTGTGGAAACTGTGAGTTCAGCTTCTTAAGATCTGTGTACCTCGTGTTAGAGAAGCTAGAGCTTCAAGTTTACCAAAGATTGTTGAAGAAGATGTAAGTTACTGATATTTACACCTTGTTTTTCTCCATTTCAATCTTCAAGAGGAATTGTGATTGATTATAAATTTCTCTGTACCTTTAGAGTCACTTAATCCAAAAGGAGAAGGATCCGAATAAGGCCCATCAGATAAAGCTAGATGTCATTGTTAAAGCAATGAAATGGCTTGAAATGGATATGGACATATATAGATGAGGTAAATTATTGTTTACCTGCCTACCTGCCTTGTTGCACATTTTTTAATTTTCCAGTCATTCGTTTCTCTTTATCTCAGTATCTCATTCATCATGTACTTGGGGCAACCATTACTCTTGTGGCAGGTGGAATACATTATGTCCATTCTAATCTACAAAAATCTTGTCAAGGGGTACTTTGCTCTTATGGTTTTAAGCAAACAGGATCCTTTTCCGAAATTAAACGGCAAGCCTGTTAGTTCTTAGAAGCAGGTCTAGTGGTCACTGAGAGAGCTGCTCCTATCTTCTGACCTGACTACCAGCTGTGAAAGTGTGGGTTTATGATGCGCACAAGGATTTATTCCATCTATATTTGCCCAGCGTCTATGTACCCTTCGGCGTTAGGATCTCTTTGATCTTTTTCAACCAAGTACGCTCTCCGGTCCTTAATATACGTACTACGTGAAACCTAAAAAAAATCAAAATGTTTTATATTAAGAACCGGACTAAATACAATAAACCTCATGATTCCAGTTGGCATTGAAAAAAGGTGCTGAAAATCAGAGACATCTTGAAAGAAGGAATGCATGAAGGGCACTGGGATGAACCAAAAGGGAAGAAGTACACTGCAAGAAGTGGTTACCAATGGATGAGAGGAGAAAGTGCTGAAATGGTTGAATCTCAGATAATTTGGAGCTCCCTCAGCCTTCCAAAATACTGTTTTATCAGTTGGCTAGCCTGAAAAAGACGACTCCTGACTGCAGGAAGGCTAATGAAACTGAATTTAAGTGTCTCTGATCCAACATGATGTTTATGGCTTCAACAAGCTGAGGCAGTGGATCATCTCTTTTTCAGGTGTTAATATTCACAAGAGATAATATCAGAGATGAGGAAATGAATGGATTTGCTCAGTAATATCAGAGAATTGAGCAAGTCTCAACTGCTGAGAATTTGGAGAGTTAAACCAGTGAGGAAGAAACTTTTATATGCAAGCTTGAATGCGGTGATCTATCACTCGTGGCAGGAAAGAAATGCAAGGAAACATGGGGTTCAGGCTATGCCAGCTGATGTCAGATTTGAGCAAATACAGAAAGAAATCAAATGGAGAGCTAGTAATCTGTGTAAAAAATAAAAAACCTAGTGATGTTAGGTTTTTGCAAAAGGTTGGAAGTATACAAAAAAAGAAAACTTGAAGTAAATATGTCTTGGTGAAGAAGTTAATACAAATTTTACTTTTTATCCAAAAAAACAAAAAAAAATATTACTGTTGTTGTTGTTGTTAGTATTATTTGGTTCAAGGAACTCACAGAGTAACTTGGTAAATTATATAGACGGAGCATGGAGAGTATAATGTTGAAGAAAGTAGTTTCATTAATGAAAAAGTAGTTTGGTTAAGTATGAGTCTGCCTAACTTAGTTTTGGCATATCCTAAATTGTCGCCGAAACGATTCATGCTAGTCTCTTCACAGGCCGGTGTCCTAGCCAATAGATGAAATAATATATGGGATAAGGACAAATACTCTTCTGAGTTTTGTCCTAAACCCTAATACCTCCGAATTTTCATTAAAGGACAACTACGCTTTAAGTTATATCCATAAGATCATTATACTCTCCCTTTGACACGCAAAAAGACTATAATGCCCTCAATATGCGTGGCGGTAGGGCCCATTTTTTCATTTTTTTTTCTTTTTTTGAAATTTTGTCTACTTTATTTAATTTAATTATTTTTACTCCAGTTTTTCTTTCTTTTTTAAAATTTTTCCTTTTTTATTTATTTTAATTATTTTTAGTTCAATTTCTTTCTTTTTATTTATTTTTTAATCAATTAATTAATTCCCATTGAGAGATATCTAGAGTTCAAAGAAAAATGAGAAAACAACAATAGCATGAAATATGATTTTACAAATCTAGAATTGATATGCTTAGATTTTACCTATTTATTATATCTTTTTTATGCGAGATTATTGTCTATATTTTGAGTATAAATGTGCTATTTATGTATTTTCTCTTTAATTGTAAAAATTGTACTCAAATGAAGAATTGTTGAAGTTTTAAGCTTAAATCAAGGTAAAAAGCAACTCATAGGAGCCAAATGAAGATAAGAACCAGTGATGAGGCAGAATTTGAAGTACGTAAAGAAGTGAAGGACCAAAGTTAGAAATATGGCCTCTTGTCTTTATTTGGGCCGAGAATATTAAGGGGAACTGGAGTAATTGATGGGCTGAAGGATTACTTTATTAGTGGGCTAATTGTGCTTTATAAAACTCAATAAATATAAGCCCAATTGTTAAAAGAGCTTTTCTAAAATTTGCTGACACCGTTTTCTTTTCCTTGGCCGAAAGGAAACCGAGAAAGAAGATTTGGCAGTGCTGCGGGAAGCTGGAATTTTGGAAGAAATGTAGTCCTAATTTAATTGGAAAAGAAGCAAACTTCATCTTCAAGAAATTGAAGTTCTGGAGGTCTATAAAAAAGGTTGCAAGGGTTTTATTTTATAGACATCACCGAACCTCCGCTGAAAATAAACCCACGCCGCTTGCATCACCTTCAGCTTCTAGCTGGCTGGTGTTTCATCATCCACGCACCATCAGAACCTTGTTTCCAGCAACCCACGCACGATTGCTAACATTATCAGGGGGCAGCTTGGACGTGAAGAAGAAAGAAGCAGCTGTGGACTTCCAAACTTTCAACTCGGCTTCGTTCTCTTCTCGGGTTTTTGAGTTTTAATTAAATTTCAGATTTGTGTGAATGATGTCTCTAAATATTATTGAATTATTTTTGATAATATTTAGTGGCTAACTTTCTTTAACCTAGGCTTTGGATTTAACCGCCGGATCTATGTGGTTAATTTAATTCATATTATTTGATTTTTTCATTAATTAATATCTGTTATTCTTATTTTAATTTGTATAAGTAATTGGTCACTATTTGCATGTCTGAAGATACTAATCAAAGTAACGAGAGTGGAAGATTAGTATTAGTTCCTAAGAATAATAGACTTAGGTTGTGAGCTACTAGAGTAAGATTATAACCTTTGCAACCTTTGATTCTTAAGATCTTAATGTGCTTTTGTTAATCCCTATTGTCACGAGAGTAGTTATAGGGTTAATCTAAGTAGGAGATTTATAGCGCGAGAGTGTGTAGTTCTTAACTAGCTGAATCGTTGTAAGATTAATGGAATTTTAAGTCAGATATTTATGAATTGAACCAAACTAAATATTCGGTAGCATTGTCCTAGGTTTCCCAACTCGGTTGTTTCAAACTTTTAAAGTAATTGCAATTTTAGATTTTTTTTTTTAGTTTTTATTTTAATTCAAAACTTGATATCATAATGAGTCTAAATAATAATAAGAAGTAGTTTATAACCGGTATTTAGTTTTCCTTTTCTGTGGGTACGATCCTATTTGCCACTGTACTAATGTTAAGTAAGTAATTTTATTTGGCTAGTGTGACGACGGCTTGTCAAGAATAAATTTAGACAAAGAGAAATATATTTTTTATTTTTTTTTGCATTAAAAGATGATAATAAAAAATTTAAAAGAAAGAAAAAAATAAAGTAAAAATAATTAAACTAAATAAAGTAGAAAAAATTTAAAAAGAAAGAAAAAAGGAGCTAAAAATAATTGAACTAAATAAAGTTGAAAAAATTTTAAAAAAGAAAAAAATGAAAAAAAGAAAAAAAACTGAAAAAAATGAGTCCCACACGTATTGAGAGCATTATAATTTTTCGCGTGTCAAAGGGGATGTAATGGTCTTATGGACATAACTAAGTGGATTATTTGTTCTTTATAAAAATTCGGGGGTTTTTAGGGTTTGAGACAAAACTTAAGGGTATTTGTCCTTATCCCATAATATATAGATACAAAAATGTTCAATGAATCATCATTGTTGGGGTAGTGTACATTGTGTTGTAAAATTTCGAAGGCACATAATAGTAGCTTTTTACGGGTTGAAGGATAAAAAGCAATATTCACATCAAAACTTGGTAAATTTGACAGGTATCAGTCCCCTGGAGATTGGCACTCTTGGTAGCCTCGAGGAGTTTGCCATTTCCCCGGAAACTTTAACCCGGCTTACTTCTCTTTCATTAAACGAGAATGTCCTCACAGGCACGCATTTTCTTGTTCTAAACGTTTTCTTCCTTTGGGATGGGTTCTAGCCTGTGTGCAAGACTTTAGTAGATATATTTGCAGTTAAGAGATCGATTCTCATGTGGGGAGGGGATCAGATTTATGGTTTAGGGGGAAACGAAAATCATTAATTCTTCATGTATTTTCTCTATTTAGATAACCTAAAAATTAGATTGAGTGTTTTATCTTTGAATTGTTAATGGAAATTACAAAATTTTGTGTTGACTTGACTTACCAATTTTAATTCATTAAATTTTGACTAATGGATGAATTCCAAGTAAAGTGAGATGTTAAAGTGAGTTGTGAAAACATGTGGGATAGGTTCGGAGCTAAACTTTCTACGATATGAAAATGAGAGAATTCAATGGTTACCAGTTCAAGTTGCAGCAGGCCCACTCATTTACATAATCGAGGAAAAGACTTTTTGGCTTCGAAAAATGAACATTTTGCTGGATTTATCAGCGAGAGACCGGCGTCTAAAAACATCAAATCCTGGGGAGGTCCATGGATCAATTAGTCTGCCCACTGCCCACTTCTCAGTAGTGGGTGTATTTTTCTTTTTTGTATTTTGCAATGATGGTTACAAGCACTTGCGCAAATTTGAAATTTTCTTAACTAGTGGAGTTGGCACAATGTTGTGAACAGGCTGCTCCTCTTTACAGTTAATCTGACTCGTTGTTTCCCATAGAGCCAGTTAACATTTAATTATGAATCCAATTCCTAAAAGAACAATGTTACTCCCTCGTCGAAATTACATTGAAAGTAAAAATTCAAAATGGACAATCACTTTAGGACCGAGAAAATATAAAAATTTAAGTTAAACGTGAATATGTACTGATTAGGGAAGAACTTGCCCCACAACCACAGTTGTGCTTGTAATTCTGCGCCGTGATCAGTTATCTGCCAAGGAAAGCAAATGGTATCAATGCGCAGTCTTCAACTAATCTTCAATGTGCAGTCGTTTGAGCCCTCATCAATTATGATGATGAAATCCGATTCATAAAAAGAAAAATGTAATAAAAGTTTAGGTTAAACGCGAATATGTGTAGACTGAGAAAAGAACTTGCCCCACAATCACTGTTTTGTTTGTAATTCTGCCGTGAGTTACCTGCCAAGGAAAGCAAGATATTGGTATCGATTCCAAGGCTTTCGTCATCTACAATATCAAGTCAATTGTAAATTAAGCAAGTCCATCCACTCAATGTGCAGTCTTCAACTAGTAGTCTTTTGGATAGTTTGATTCGGTGGGAGACTGCCAAGAAAAATTGACTCTCTCCCATTACATTGGATCAATTCAGTCCAATTATTTTAAAAGTAACCTTTTTTTTTTCCGTATGAAGTTTGTCCCAGCGAGAGTTCCAACAGGTGTGATGGTTACAACCGCTAACACGGCTTTGAAAATAATTCATTCATTACATTAATTTTCTTAACTTAAATAAAAATAAAATGATTCTAGCATTATGGAAAGTACGCGTGATTTGAATTAATTTTCTTAATGGAGTAGTATCTAGGAACATTCAAATTGTCTATATGTGTTCTGCAAAAACATACCTCTTTTTTTCACAATAAAATTCATCAAGATCTTCAAATTCACATTAATTCATAGTACTGATCTTGCGATGGATCGAACATACTCCGCATTGGTTGTGATGCATTGGGTAATGATGATTACTTGTTGCATGTCCATGAAACACACCGATATTGATACTGATCAATCAGCCCTCTTAGCCTTGAAATACCATATTACCTCTGACTCTCTCCAAATCCTGTATAAAAACTGGTCTTCTAATGCTCCATCCTCCGCTGTTTGTGATTGGGTTGGAGTTCAGTGCGGATCCCGACACCGTAGAGTCACTGCTTTAAATATTTCGGGCATGGGTCTTAGGGGCACAGTTCCTCCGCATTTGGGTAATCTCTCTTTTCTTGTTTCTCTCGATATGAGAAGCAATTACTTTTATGGAACTGTGCCTCGGGAACTGTCGCGTTTACCCAGATTAAGGTTTGTCAGGTTGAGCTACAACAACTTTAGTGGTTCAATTGCTCCTTTGTTTGGAACAAAACTTCAGTACTTGGATTTAAGTGATAATGATTTTGGTGGAATTATTCCTTCTTCTATCTCTAACTCGTCTAATTTAGAAGTTATGTTTCTTCAGCTCAATTCATTTACAGGAAATATTCCCAAAGAGATTGGAAATATCCAAACATTGACTGTTTTGGATCTCCAAGGGAATTATCTCGTTGGTTCAATTCCTTCTTCCATCTTCAACATCTCCATGTTGGAGGTGCTTGGTTTGACACAGAATAACTTGACAGGAAGTCTTCCAAATGATATTTGTCATCATCTTCCAAATCTCAAAGAGTTTTGGTTTGCTGCCAACCAATTAAGTGGTCAAATCCCTCCAAGTGTATCCCGTTGTTCGCAACTTCGGACACTACGATTGTCCTTTAACAATTTCAACGGATCGTTACCTAAAGAACTTGGCAACTTGGAGATGCTGGAAACATTATACGTCAATAAAAACAATCTACAAGGTACGATATTGTTGATTAAAGGTCTAGGTTTTGCTTTGCTTTCTTTTTATATATTTTAATATTGTTTCACCTTTTTTTACAGTAAAAATATATAATACTCCCTCCGTCCCATAATTATTGTCCAGTTTGAGTTTTCATTTTTAGTTCAAATTGTACTACAAATGAAATCTCAAACTGTACAACAATTTTAGGACGGGGGAAGTATCTTTTAAAAAAAACGCCCTAGTAAACTCCACTTAAATGTGGGTATAAAATACTTCCTCGTGGGAATTAAACTTAGGTCTACTAAGCACAACATCCTAAGTTTTAAATGATACAGGTACGATACCACGAGAGATCGGGAATCTTTTTAACCTTAGGGGGTTCGTTATATCCGGCAACAACATTTCAGGCCCTATTCCGAAGGAAATAGGAAATTTGACCATGCTCACCGCACTTGACTTGGGCTTCGGTCTCTTCACAGGTACATTCCATAGTTCATTAAACAAAATGTATTCCATAATAACTTCAAGTTTGAGCCTTTGAGGTGCCATGTTAATTAATCACCATATTTCCTCAATGCTAAAATGATTGTCCTTTTTATGCACTAAAAAAGTATTAAAAACATGATAATTATTTTAAGATGGAAAGAGTATTATTAATATTAATGTCCAAGGATCATTGATTATTTGATAGGGGCAATGCCCGAAGAAATATGCAACCTTCATAGGCTGGAGTACTTTTATGCGGACTTTAATGACTTAAACGGCCCCATACCAACAGGGATTTTCAATCTCTCAACATTGATTGAGCTTGTACTAAATTTTAATCACCTCATCGGAAATCTTCCATCAAAAATTGGTGATCAATTGCCTAATCTAAACTACCTTGACCTAAGCTGGAATAACTTCAGTGGAGTTATTCCAGTTTCAATTGGAAATTGTTCAAGACTATCCTTTCTACATCTTGGCCACAACCAGTTCATTAATACAATTCCCAAATCCCTTGGAAACCTTGAATATTTACATTTCCTTACTTCCCTGACAAACTGCAAGTCTTTGAAGGTGCTAATTGTGGCTGAAAATCCACTCAATGGGATCATTCCGAATACCATTGGTAATCTTTCTTCCTCCCTTCAAAAATTTTATGCATCGGTAGCAAACATCACAGGCCCAATACCTAGAGAAATTGGCAATCTAAGTAGCCTAATAACCGTTTCTCTTGAGGACAACCAGTTGAGTGGGGGTATTCCAAGTTCAATGCAGCAATTAAGAAATCTTCAACTATTGTCTCTTGATCAAAACAAAATAGGGGGGAATTTGGATTCCTTGTGCCAATTGCACAAATTATCTGGCCTCTTTCTGGATGAGAACCAAGTTTCTGGGACAATTCCAAACTGTTTTGGCAATATAACCTCTTTGAGGAATCTTTATCTACGTGAAAACTTACTTACCTCAACCATTCCGATGAGCCTTTGGAATCTCAAAGATCTCATTGTTTTCAACCTTGCATCAAATTCCTTCAATGGATCATTGCCTCCAGAGATTGGAAATTTAAAGGCTACAATAACCATTGACTTGTCAGGGAATCACATATCAGGGGCCATCCCCAACACATTGGGTGCTTTACTGAACTTACAAAACCTCTCCTTTGCAAACAACCAATTGGAAGGATCATTACCAGAGTCATTAGGTAACATGGTAAGTTTAACCTCCTTAAACTTATCGCATAATTATCTCTCCGGTTTGATCCCTAAGTCATTAGAGGCAATTAGCTCTCTCCAGGTATTTGATGTTTCATCTAACTATTTAGTTGGTGAAATTCCTTCCGGAGGATGCTTTAGAAACTTCACTAGTAAATCCTTCATCAGCAATGCTGCATTATGTGGAGATCCCAGATTCGAGGTTCCCCCATGCAAAATTAGTAAGAAACATAGATTATATGGGAAAAAGTTGGTTTCACTCATATTGATCCTCGCAGCGATTTTTATCTTGGTTATTGTTGCTTTGGCATGCATCTTTTTGGTGTATCTAAGAAAGATCAAGGTTCCAAGTCCACAAGATGTGCCTGTTGTGGCCTCAATGGAAAGAATTTCATACTATGAACTTCTACATGCAACAAATCAGTTAGGTGAGAGTAACTTGCTTGGCTCGGGGAGTTTTGGATCAGTTTATAAAGGGATTCTTAATGATGGAAAAGTTGTGGCTATCAAAGTATTTAACTTACAACTCGAAGGTTCATTGAGGCATTTTGATGCAGAGTGTAAAGTGTTATGCAACCTTCGCCATCGAAATCTTGTAAAAGTTATTAGCAGTTGTTCCAACCAAGATTTCAAGGCTTTGGTGCTTGTATACATGCCGAATGGGAGCCTTGAAACATGGTTGTATTCTCACCATCTTTTCTTGAATATGTCGAAAAGATTGAACATAATGATTGATGTGGCATACGCTTTGCAATATCTTCACCAAGAATATTTAACACCAGTCATTCATTGTGATTTGAAGCCGAGCAACATTCTTTTGGATGAAAACTTGGTTGGTCATGTAAGCGATTTTGGAATCACTAAATTTTTGAGGATGGATGAAAGCTCTGCATTGACAAAAACGCTTGCCACCATCGGTTACATTGCACCAGGTACTTTATATCTCGAACCTAAGCCTTTTTCATTCTATCATCTCACAAAACCTTTTGCACTTGTTCATTGTTTTTGTACTTAATTGTGGTAGAATATGGAAGGGAAGGATTGGTTTCGAAAGCTTGCGATGTCTTCAGCTACGGGATCCTTCTAATGGAAGTGTTTACTGCAAAAAGGCCGAATGATGAAAGTTTTGGAGAAAATCTAAGCTTAAAGAGTTGGGTGAGGGATTCGATGTCTGATTCCATTGTTGAAGTTATCGATCCAAAATTGTTTAGAGAAGAACGTTCCTATTCCCATGAGTTAATCCCGGGGTGTGTATCCATGATCATGGAAGTGGCCTTGAATTGTGTTTGTGAATCTCCGAAGGAAAGGCTTACCATAAGTGAAATTGTTGATTCACTCAAGAAGATAGAAAGAAGATATATTTCATTCCACAGACATGGAGGCATTCAATTGTAGTTCTCTTTTTCTTTTTCAAAAAATATGTTCATCTGGAATAACTTTAAGTCGAAACGAATGTCATCTTGCCGAGGTAAATGGATCTCAACTCCCATTGTTCCCAACCTGGATTCTTTCTGCCTGAGAATGATGAATGAGCAATAATGCATTGATTCCCTAAGTTTGTATATAGATTGTATTGTAATCACAGTACGTACTGAGGGAGCATTAAAGTAAAGTAAGAACAAACAAATAAAATAGGCCTGAAATTGACTCACAATCAAATAAAATGTAATTGCAAATAAATCACTAACTGTAACGTACATTCCAGCCGCAAGAATGAAGTCTTTTTGGTGTTTTTTTTTTTTTTTTGGCACAAAAGATGGTTAATTAACACCACATATATGTTAAATTATTTTACAATAATAAATATTTTTTGCGCTGTCTAATTAATAGAACGTTCGATGAAGGGAAATAATGCCAAAAATACAAAGTGGGGGGAGGTTTTGATGCTTGTAACAAGGCTACATTTACAAAGGGCACAACGATTTTCATGAGCCACACTAGCCTCTATGCATAATACATGAATGTAATGATAAAACGTGATGGCTTTAAAATTCATTAGAGATTTTCTTTTGAAATTTTCGTTTATAATAATACTGTATCTTCTTTGAATCTGCAATATTTTTCATTTACGCAGCCATTGTTGTAGTCGATCACTAGAGCTGTGGTGACCAAGACCATAAAAAGGCGCGACCTCTGTTATATTTAAGTTGGCACAATCTACGTATTATTATTCTTGCTGACCAGTTCCTGTGGGTTATTATACTCATCAGCCATGGAATTGTCAAACTTCGCGACGGATCAAGCAGCCCTTTTTACCAAGAAAGTTTGCATCACTACAAACACTAATCAAACCTTTTCTATTGAAACTTATTCTTGTAATTCTGCTTCTTCCTTTGCTTGTAATTGGATTGGAGTGCAAGGTTATGTGGCTTTCCCCATTGCGGAGTTTCTGAATTAAACATTGCAAACATGGGTCTGACAAAATTAGAAGTCCTGAATGTTACAACTTACAACTAACTTCACTAATCCCGGCAGAGATGGGAAATCTTCCAGGCCTGAAAAATTTTTTTTTTAATCATCATACGATGATTTCCAGGGCCAAATTTTGAGAATCTTCAGATATTGTACCTCGTTAGAAAAGTGTTCTCGAGGAGAAGGCCAAATAACGAATTGTTTAATGGAGATTTGAACTTGAAAACTGGGATGAACAATTAAAGCATTGCCAGATTCAGTCATTGGAGTAAAAGATGCCAAATTATTGACTCCAACAGAAGAACATTCTGTTGAAAAGCTGGAGTGTATATCATCACTTATATATGGAGTTAGATCTGAAATGCGTTTGTGAATTTCCTAAAGAAAGAGTTAGCATGACTGAAGTGCGTCCGTCCCTCAACAAAATCAAACTCAAACTTCTTCAATATATTATGGGACGCTAAGTTAAACCTGAAGGAGTTTGTTAGATGTGGATTTAATAAAATAACTAGATGCTTGGCCCAGACAAATGCCCGGGCGCCCCCTCTAATTTAATTTTGTGTTAATAGATAAATAAATTTTTGATTTGGAAAAAATAAAATAGCTACACATTTATTTTTTTCCTTTTTTAACCAAAAATAAAAATAAAAATAAAAAAATCATCTGCAAAAGGAGAAAAAATATTGAAAAGTACACCGATGCAGAAATCATACAAAAGAATGTGGCGTAATAAAAGAGATAAGTTTATGGACAAATTTAAATCATATCTTAATTTAATTGATAAATGATAAGTGTTAAGAGTTAAAATTATGTAGCTATTTTTGTAAATTAGATTTTGTTTTTCCGGATAAGAAGTTTTTTTTTTTTAAAAAAAAAGATGACATGTGGCAGAATGGTTAAAGCAATATGGTGCATTTGGAGCCAAAATTTTTTAATAAGTAATTGCCACATCAACATCATGTATTCTGCTTTAATAGGGTAAAAGGGATGATACTGAAAATGTGAGATGTATTATATAGTTCCGCAAAACTGTTAAAGATTAGGAGCAAAAGAGATAAGTCTTAACAATGAGTCTTAAAGATTACTATTTTATCTTTCATACTTAGATAAAATTAGTTACCTTATTATACTTATAAAGAAATGTATCTAAGCCTATAAAAAGGAACACCATGTACTTGATCCATGCTGGAATTTCACCTCTTTAGTTTATGTTCACTTTTATTTCTAATAATCTAATACCAATTTTTTTCTTGGTATCAGAGCAGGTTCTATCCTGTGTTTGATTTGTTTTTCTTTTATTATTTTTCTTCTTCATTTGAATAACACTACATCACTGTCCATCAATTATGGCTTCCGCATTTTTGTCCACTAACGTTTCATACCTCCACCAAAAAAAAAAAAAAAAATCCTTCCAAAAACCACCACCAAAACAAAAAGACCTCTTCTGAATCCATTCAAAAGTTTCAATTATGGCAAAAGTTCAAAAAATTCTTTGTACTTGTCATTAGTTTTGACACACATTTTCTTCTTAGAAGCACTAAAAATGCAGGTTTCTCAAGCAAGGATATTTACACAAAACAACTCCCGTATCTCCACAAAGATGACAACATGTTCATCGGAGATCACATTCACACTTTCAAAAGATCGTGTGACAGTCTTGCTACAAAAAAGATCTGACCGTCTCCTCACAAGTTTTGGTCCACAATTCAAGACCTCCACAACCAACTCAGCATTCACGTCTCAGAAATTACAACAATTGCAACAATAATATTTTCAGAATCAGCCTTTCAGCAATCACAACAGTTATACCCTCACAAGGGATTCCCTTTTACAACAAATTGCATCATGCTACAACAAACCGAGCCTTCGGACCTTCAACGCCGGCTCAGTTTGTGAGGGAATGTTAAAAGGAACAAAAGAGATAGGTCTTAACAATGAGTCTTAGAGATTATTATTTTATCTTTAATATTTAGATAAAATTAATTACCTTACTATACTTATCAAGAATGTATCTAAGCCTACAAAAAGGAACATGATGTAGTCTTTTACCTCTTTAGTTTATGTTCACTTTTATTTCTAATAATCTAATACCCATTTTCTTCTGAAACCGAAAACCAACCAAAAAAAAAAAAGAAGAAAGAAAATGTGAGATGTATTACGCATCTATCTATTTACTATATACATGCAAGGTCCAAGGAGAAGCTGTTTTTTTTCTTTGTAATTAAAAATACCAGGACCGTACCTAAAGATCATATCCTAACATTATTTCTATGAAAGCATAATTAAACAAGGTTCAAAGTAAAAGACTTATTATTATTATTATTATTATTATTATTAATTATTTTTATGTTAAGGTGTATAATCTTGTCCCACATTGCTACCGTGAAGAGAAATGACTCAGTATATAAGTACCAAAGGCCACCCACTCATTGTCAATTGGTTTTGAGATGGGAGTCCAAAGTACTTTTTTTTTTGACATGGTATCAGAGTGGTCTGGATATGTGGTGTTGTTCTGGGCCGGAGGTGACATGTGGTGACTTTATATTCTTCCACTTGAATGTTCACTCGTGGGCTTGTTGTGGACCGATCCAACGGTATAACTGGCTTTTCCCCCACTTGAACTTTGACTCGTGGGATTGTTGTAGACTGATCCAGCGATATAACCGGCTTTCTCCCACTTAAGTGTTGACTCGTGAGCTATTCTGTTCTTGTTCTGATCCAAGTCCATTGGGCAAAAAATTCAAAGAACTATTCGACTTGAGGGAGAGTGTTAAGGTGTATAATCTTGTCCCACATTGCCACCGTGAAAAGAAGTGACTCCGTATATAAGTTCCAAAGACCACCCTACTTATTGCCAATTGGTTTTGAGATGGGAATGCAAAATACATATATACTTTGACATATAATAATAATAATAATAATAATAATAATAATAATAATAATAATAATAATAATAATAATAATAATAATAATATTATTATTATTATTATTATTATTATTATTATAATGGACCATGAACAATGTGTGATTTGGAGGTATATGAGAATCAAGTGATTCTCATTCGAGCAGAGTATGGGAATTCGAGAGACAAAACTTTATCATTCAAGTATTATTATTGGTTCCAGCAGCTCATCTTCTTTTGCTCTGAGGGAGAGAGAGGTGGGAAGGAAGGGAGAAGGCTTAAGTCATTTTCTCAGAGGCTATCTCTGTTTCTTTATCTTCCAAATCCCATCTGCAAATGAGAATCTGAACATTTAAGTTAGATACATACGTAGTATTGTTCTGCAGAATAAGAAGATGGCTAATCAGTATAAAAAATTAAGTGTCCATCTTTTGTTAGTTTGTTTGCACTGTGACCAAGAAGAAGAGCATTATTCCATCTCTGAAGATGAACAAAGTAGCCATTGTGTGAATAAGTGTGATGAATATGTGTCTTTGCTTATGCAAGAAGAATCAATGGTTGTGGGGTGAGGAAGAGTTTGTGCATCTTGTTCAAAATGAACAAAGATGATGACTTTGGTTTTTTTTTTTTTTGGTATACTGTGAATTTCATTCCATTTTGAAGAACCAAATGTACAATGTATGCTCAAGCTATCAAAATACCTAGACTATCCAAAAATCAAATATCATCTCCACTACCATTTCTATACAAATGAACTATTCTCCATTTCACCTCTTGCTAGATTCTCTTTGCTCTTGCCTCAACCAACTCTTCTTTCTGCTGAAACAGCCTCATACTCCTTTCACTCCAAGTATGATACATTCAAGCAGGCAAATAATACTTTCCTTTTGACAGCCTAATAATTCCACATGTGCAGCAGTCTTGCAGCATTCAGGTTCGTGATTGCAGTTCTAACTCCTAACCACTGATTGATCAATGTCATCAATTCCTGAGTATATGAACATTTGAAGAACAAGTGACTAACTATTTTATCCTCTTCCTTACACAAAATACAATTCTGATCATTGACAGTAATCTTCATATTCCTCAGTCTGTCTTTAGTGAGTAGCCTCCCTCTTCATGCTAACCATGAGACAAAACCGTACTTTGGAATAGAGAACTTACTCTAATAGATTGCTGCTGGTTTGAACTTTTCTCTGCTCCCTCTGATCCATTTACAACCACTTCTTGTATCATCTGGTTTACCAGCATTTCCTATCCATTGTCCATTCACAACTATACCTTTTAGATCATCTTTAAGCTTTCATCAACTTCCTCCAATGCTAGCTACAGTCTTGTGGAGGATCATAATTCCAAATGCTTCTACCTTTTAAGTAGTAGATATGCATCCATCTGATCCAAAGACTGTCCTTTTTTAACTCCAAATCCCATAATTTCTTACCCAACAAAGCTTTGTTCCAAGCACCAGGCTCTTTGATATTCAGTCCTCCTCCTTCTATCCTTCTATAGCAGAGATCATTCCAGGCTACTAAAGGAACACATTTGTCAGATTCTTTTTTTCCCCATGAGAACTTCCAACAACAAGAAGTTATTTGTGCTATAACAGACCGTGGAATGAGGAAAATGCTTGCCCAATAGCTCGGGAGTGTCAAGAGAACAACATTGATTAATACTGTTCTTCCTGCATAAGAAAGGTGTCTAGATTCTCAACTTTTGATCCTGGCAGTTACCTTGTCAACCAAGTATTGGTAATCTGCTTTATTCCATGAAGTTGGAGCCACAGGAAGCCCTAAATACTTCATTGGAAAGGTCCCTACATCAAATTCCATCAACTATCTAACCATCATCTGTATCTTACCACCTGATCTACCAAAGAATAGATTAGACTTCCCTTCATTTATTCTAAGGCCAGTGGTGCTTGCAAAATGTTCCAAATTGGCTTTAACCTTCCTGATAGTTCATATCTCAGCTCCACAGAATATTAGTAAATCATCAGGAAAGCTTAATGATGTGACATTCACCTCCTCACAGTAGGGATGTTTAACAAAACCATCCTTATTTGCCTCCATTTTCAAACATCTTGTGAGATACTCCATTACCAATACAAATATATGACATAAGAAAATATTAATGATCAAATAAATAATTGTATCAAGAATACAGTTTGAAACTAAGTCTGGTTACATTAAACGTAAGTTAATATTAATTTTCAGATGATTCTGTTTGATATATTTTCCAAAAATTAAAAGATATTAGTTACCAAATAACTATATTACGAATACAATTTTAAACCAAGTCTACCTACATTACAAGTATGTTAATATTATTTTTTAGATGATTGGTATATTTTTCATAAATAAAAAAGACTACTTACCAATGAAGAGATTATTTACCAAATAATTATACAGTATAATTCAAAACTAGGTCTAGATACATTAAACATAAGTTGATAATATTTTTCTGATGATTCTATTTGATATATTTTCCAAAAATAAAAATAAATTAGATACCAATAACAAAAAAAAATATTTTTTACCAAAATAATTATACACCGAATACAATACGAAACTAAGTCTGGCTAAACTAAACGTATGTTTATATTATATTTCATATTATTCTATTTGATATATTTTTCAAAAATAAAAAGAGATTAGTTACTAAATAATTATACTACAAATACAATTCAAAACTAAGTCTGCATACATACAAGATAGGTTACTAATATTTTACAGATTATTCCATTTAATATATTTTTCAAAAAAAAAGGAGATTAATTTAAAAGAATAAAAGGAGATTAGTTACAAATAATTATATTATGAATACAATTTGAAAATCAATTTTGGATTCATTAAATGTAGATTAATATTATTTCTCAAAACATTTTATTTGATGTATTTCTAAAAATAAAAAGAGATAACTTACAAAAATAAAGAAATTAGTTAACGGATCATTATATTACGAATACAATTCAAAACTAAGTCTAGATACATTAAATGTATATTAGTATTATTTTAAATAATTCTGTTTGATATATTTTTCAAAAATAAAAAAGATAGTTGTAAAAAATATAAAGATTAGTTGCAAAATCATTATATTACGAATACAATTTGAAATCAAGTTTAGACACATCATACATATACTAATATTTTTTTTAAATAATTTTATTTGATATATTTTCTAAAAATAAAAAGATTTTAATTGCATAACTATGGAAAAAGTTATGAGTCCAGATAAATAAAATAGGTCTTGCACCCGCCAGACACAACCTATTTTGCTATTAAAAAAAATCTAAGGAAAAAGTTTGGAGTATGGATAAGTATTTCAAAATTATTTATTAGTTTTGTTTTTTGTCATGGTTTTTCTCCCCTATTTTTTGTGCTTTATTTACTGTTGTTGGAATTTTCTTTTCTTTTTTTTACTTTATGCCTAAAAAAAGATTATTTATAATATTTAATTCAATTACTATAAGTAAACAATATATGTTTTTCAGCCAATATATTTTAAGAATATACATGATTTAATTTCTTCTGTTGAAAATAACTTTTATATACTTAATTACATCCCTAAAAAACTGGGATAGTAGACAATTGATCATATTAATTCGTATTTAGAATTTTTTTTTGATATACTATCACTCCTAAACAAGAAGCATATTAGATAGTTGAACATATTAATTTGTATTTTAAAATACTCTATATGGCTAAGAAGTACTTGATCAAAGTGGTCACAGTATTGGACCAAGTTAACTATAATTCATGATTAAATCTGTGCATGGGCATGTAGTAATGATTGTTGGGAGATGTTTGTCTTCCAAAAGTGACCTATCCGATTCGAAAACGGATTAGCTAGAACAATGATTTCAAACACCAGATGTACTATATACCAAAAACGAAACAAAAATCATATAACACTCTTGAATTTGGACTCCGAATACCTAATAAACCAAAAAACGAAAAAGTAAAACATATGACTCTTTTCATAGAAAATAATGGTATATTAATGTTAATCAAAAATATAGTAAAAAAATCTGTACAACGTGCGGACATACTACTAATATTTTTAATTTGGGACAAAAAGAGTACATCTATTACGATGAATTTTTCACAATTAGCAAAGCATGAGCTGTGGGAAGCTCGGGGGTGTCTGGTTTCTGTAGCATTTGTGAAAAAAAAAAAAAAGCCTTCAAGACGACAATGGGGAAATTTCAAATTGTCACCTCATTATATTAACAATGGTGTCTGGCGATTACGGTTAGCCGAGATGGCTTATTGACTTATTGCTACTGAAGTGCAAAGTCCTGTACTCTGTACCTAGACGACTAAATTAAGTAAGTTGAATTTTGGATCTGAATTATTACGTTGACTAACTATGTCTAGGCTTATGAGATGAAGGCTGCTGGCACAAAGTAAACAAATTTGAAGTTTCTCCTTTCATTCATTCATTACCTTGACTTATGTAAAATGACACCGTCCTAATTTGATATGTCAACTCTAGGCACAACCAAATGTGTATACAAATATCTGCAAAATTATACTCCTCTTGATTAGCAAACGAATTCATCAATACCTTGAGAATCCATATTTGAAACAATGGATCGAAAATTCTTTGAACTCATTTTGATACATTGTGTAACGATGATTACTTGTTGCATGGCCCTGATACAAACCAACATTGATACTGATCAATCAGCTCTCTTAGCCTTGAAAAACCACATTACCTCTGACCCTCACCAAATCTTATCTAAAAACTGGTTGTCTAATGCTCCATCCTCCTCTGTTTGTGATTGGATTGGAGTTCAGTGCGGCTCCCGCCACCGGAGAGTCATTGCTTTAAATGTTTCCGGCATGGATCTTACGGGCACCATTCCACCACATTTGGGTAATCTCTCATTTCTTACTGCTCTCGATATGACAGATAACTATTTTCACGGAACTCTGCCTCCAGAATCGTCCCGATTACGTAGAATAAGGTTTATCATGTTGGACAATAACAACTTCAGCGGACCAGTTCCTACATGGTTCGCACCAAACCTTCAAATCTTGTCTTTGGGGTTCAACTATTTTGGTGGATCTATCCCGTCCTCCATATCCCATCTTTCAAATTTAGAGATTTTGAATCTTCAAAGCAATGCTCTTACTGGAAATATTCCTGGAGAGATGGGGAATCTCCAAAGGCTAACAGTTTTGAACCTTGAAGATAATTATCTTGTTGGATCCATCCCTTCTTCCATCTTCAACATCTCTACGTTGGAGCAGGTTGGTTTGACATTCAATAACTTGACTGGAAGTCTTCCGGTTGATATTTGTCACAATGATCTCCCAAATCTCACAGAGATTCATTTCGCTTATAACCAGTTCAATGGAACGATCCCTCCAAGTATATCGCATTGTTTCCAACTTCAGATCCTGTCATTGTCATATAACAATTTCAGTGGATTCATCCCAAAAGAACTCAGCAACTTGGACATGCTGGAAGAATTATACATGGGAGGCAACAATTTACAAGGTACGGTATGTTGATTAATGTTCTTGCCACCGTACTTATTAATTCTCCAATGGTTTGCACAGGAGTATTTAACATAAATCATTGCATTTATTGCGGCAATTGTCACTGGTGCCTTTTTTTAGTGGAATTTTTTATTTTTTTTTGCATAAAAACTCTTCACAACTGATGTAGGTGAGATCCCCAGAGAGATTGGCAATCTTCGTAATCTTGAACGGCTTGGCATAGAACGAAACCGAGTTTCAGGCTTAATTCCAAAAGAAATAGGAAATCTGACAAACCTCACTTACCTTAATTTGGGCAGTAATTCCCTCACGGGAATAATACCTGAAGAGGTTGGAAATCTCCAGAAGATGGCAGAGCTGAGTTTTGAAAATAATTATCTTGTTGGTTCCATTCCCTCCTCCATCTTCAACATTCCTACGTTGGAGATTGTTCATTTGACGTACAATAACTTGACAGGATTTCTTCCGAATGATATTTGCCACCACCTTCCAAATCTTAAAGAGATTGATTTATCTGGCAACCAATTAAGTGGCCAAATTCCTCCAAGTCTGTGCTTTTGTTCTCAACTTCAGATACTTTCATTGTCATACAACACATTTAATGGATCCATACCAAAACAAATTGGCAACTTGCAGATGCTGAAATCATTAGACCTTGGAAGCAATCATCATTTAACAGGTACAACGTTGGTACTTTCTCGCGTGATTTAATTTATTTCCGTGAATGAATTTTATTTTTTCACGTGTCTGGATGGTTATGGTTTTTTTTTTCTTCTTTTTCTTTTTTAGTAAGTTGTTAAGATTTTCATATTAAATACCCCGGACAAATGATAGGTGTGATTCCCCGAGAGATTGGCAATCTTCATAATCTCCAAAATTTTTATGTAAACACCAACAAGATTTCGGGGTCCATTCCTAAGGAACTAGGAAACTTGACCATGCTTACCAGACTTAGATTGGGCGAAAATTACTTGACAGGTATACTCTCAATTTAATACTCACTTCGTCCCGAAATTATATATTCTCCAGTTTAGATTTTTATTTTTAATTCAAATTGAACTAAAATTAAAAATTCAAACAGAACAATAAATCCAAGTTGTTCAAGGGAAAAGAAGACATGAACAGTAATAATATTAAAGCATTAATCACTAATTCAATTAGGTGAGGTGCCTGAAGAAATATGCAACCTTCAAAAACTGGAACTACTTGAGGCTGGCTTCAACATGTTAAATGGCTGCTTACCAGCTGGGATATTCAACCTCTCAACTTTAATTGAGGTTATACTTCCAGTTAATCACATCACATGCAATCTTCCATCAAATATTGGTTATCAAATGCCTAATCTAGAACGTCTTGAACTTGGATCAAATAACATTAGTGGAGTTATACCAGTTTCCTTTGGAAATTGCTCTAAGTTGTTCGCTCTTACTATTGAAGCAAACCAATTCACTGGCTCAATTCCCAACTCCCTTGGAAACCTTGAGGGTCTAGTAATGCTATCTCTTTCGACTAACCATTTGAGCAATGATCCAACATCATTGGAGCTAGATTTCCTTACTTCTTTAACAAACTGCAAGTCTTTAAAGGTTCTAAATATAGATGAGAATGCACTAGACGGAATTCTCCCAAATTCCGTTGGGAATTTTTCCATTTCCTTTAAAGAATTCACAGCATCAGTGAATGAAATCAAAGGTCCAATACCCAATCTAATTGGCAATCTAAGTGGCCTATACCTAATTGACCTGAATGACAACCAACTCACTGGATCTATTCCGAGTACAATTCAGGAATTAAAAAACCTTCAAGAGCTGTCTCTTATGCAAAACAAACTAGGGGGAACTCTGGACAAATTTTGCGACATGCACAGTTTAGCTAACTTGTATCTAAGTGGGAACCAAATTTCGGGGCCAATTCCAGGTTGTTTCGGCAGTATGACTTCTCTAAGGAATCTTAACCTGAGTTACAACTTATTGACCTCAAGTATTCCTACAAACATTTGGAAGCTAAAAGATATAGTTGTTCTCGACCTTGCCTCCAACTCCTTCAACGGTTCACTGCATGTTGATATTGGAAACTTGAAGGCTCTTATCTCAATGGACCTGTCCATGAACCAAATTTCTGGGGCCATTCCGAGCACATTAGATGGATTGCAATACCTGCAAAACCTTTCTTTAGCAAACAACTTACTAGAAGGATCAATACCAGAATCATGTGGGAAAATGTGGAGTTTAACATCCATGAACTTGTCACATAATAACCTCTCAGGTTCGATCCCCAAATCATTGGAGAACCTTCTATCTCTCCATGTCTTTGATGTTTCATCTAATCATTTGGTGGGTGAAATCCCTTCTGAAGGACCCTTCAGAAAATTCACGAGTGAATACTTCTCTAACAATGATGCACTATGTGGAGATCCTAAATTCCAAGTTCCTCTATGCCCAAAAATTTCCTTACACAAGCCAAGAGTAAAAAAGGTGCGTATGTATATTATCATTCCAATTGGGATTGCTACTCTTGTAGTTTTGGCCTTAGCATTTGCATTAAGGAGATGTCGGAAGAAGTCTAAACCTTCTCGAGAAAGCACAATTGTGGTACCAACACAAGAAAGAATTTCATACTATGAAGTTCTTCAAGCAACTGGTAGACTTGATGAAAGCAATTTGCTCGGCTCAGGGACCTTTGGATCTGTTTATAAAGGGATTCTTGTAGATGGAAGGTTCATTGCAGTGAAAGTATTCAAGTTTCAAGTTGCAGAAGCATTCAAGAGTTTTGATGTTGAATGTGACATATTTAGGAATGTTCGCCATCGAAATATTGTTAAGGTCATCAGTAGCTGCTCTAACCATGATTTCAAGGCATTGGTACTTCAATACATGAGTAATGATAGTCTTGAGACGTGGTTGTATTCCCATAACCATTTCCTAACAATCATTCAGAGATTGGACATAATGATAGATGTGGCAAGTGCGTTACACTACCTTCATCACGAATACACAACAACGGTGATCCATTGTGATCTAAAACCAAGCAATGTCCTACTGGATGAAGACATGGTTGCCCATGTAAGTGATTTTGGCATCGCAAAAATGTCGTCCAAAGAGGAAAGTATGGCGTTAACCAAGACCTTTGCCACAATTGGCTACATAGCACCAGGTGACTAACTCATGGTCGCCATCTCTTAATTATTTTGTATTGTTACAACTTCATTTGTTAATCAGTATGCAGTGTGTTTATATTTGCCGTTCGATGTTTGTTGTAGAGTATGGAACCGAAGGATTGATATCAAGAAGATGCGACGTTTACAGCTACGGAATCATGCTCATGGAAGTGTTCACAAGAAAAAGGCCAAGTGATGAAATGTTCAGTGGGGATTTAAACTTGAAAACTTGGGTAAACAATGCAATGGTAGCTGATTCAATCCTTGCAGTCATAGATGCCAACTTATTAACTCCAACCGAAGAACATCTTGCTGAAAAGCTGGAGTGTTTATCATCAATCATGGAACTGGCATTGAAATGTGTTTGTGAATCTCCCAAAGACAGAGTTAGTATGATAGATGTGTTTCCATCCCTCAATAAAATGAAACTCAAACTTCTTCAAAATGTATAATCGGGCATGCTAAAAACAAGAAATATTGATGATGTAATTGATTCAGACAAGAAACTGAAATTCTGAAATTAATTTATTTTTGTCCAGATTTTCAAAGCACCATCTTGCACAGAATTAACACATTATTAATCTAGCTGGACTTCTTCGGGTGGTTTTACTTTTTGTGTGGGATATATGGAAATGGATCATGAGTTAATATTATCATGAAAATACTATCATTTGTTTTTCACTTATATACTAATTAACACATAATTAATCTTGCTCGGACAATGGCCCGATCTGTGACGACGCTAGTTATGTATATTATATTCATATGAAAAACTTTTTGTTGAAAATTTGTACTGTATGAAAAAGTAAAGTCTTGTTGGATGTCCACTCATTTTATATTTTAACTCATTTTACTTCTTAAATACAAAACCGAATGGAAAAGAAAATATCATCCAAACAACTTTCTGATTTACATTTTAAATTCTAAACTTTTTTTGTTAGTGTAATGACCATTTTAGAACTACAAATAGTTCAGTGACAAATTTGACAGGATTCCGTTGTTGAGTGATTGTTTTTGGAAAAGTTCTTCTTTGCAGTAACTATAATTGACAGTATTTAATTGTTTTTTTGCTCAAAATACCATCCAAAAAATATTTTCATTTCCCATTTAGTTTTCAACGTAAAACACTTTCTACTTTTAAGTGGCAGAATAAAATGTAAGATGACGTTCAAATAAGTACTAACTCTTCTTCTAATAACCGGCAAAAAGCAAGTTGATTTTGATAAACAAAACCAACCAGCTAGTTGCATTATTAAAAATAAGTGTGTTCATCACTTTCCTTCCATCTTTTGAGTTCCCAGTCAAAAAACAAAGCAGCCCCTTCCCAATGTTTTTTAATAGCATTTTGCCTTTGGGCATCCTTTTTCTTCCACACCAACACAACTCAAGTCAACTCTGGCATACCCGTTAAATCCTCGTACATGCCCTGTGGAAATTTCATTGTTCACATGGTACTGACCGACACCTTTCATTTCTGTAAAAAGAATCCAGCAATTTTGCATAAAACTAAATCCGTGTAAATCATTCAAGACGAGTCCATATCTTTTTGCTAAAGGTATAGTGGACCATATATATATATATATATATATATATATATATATATATATATATATATATGGAGATCCTGGTAATGGCCATATACATATAGAGCCTAGCCTAAAATTATTATTATTTCAGGCTAGTGTAAGAACCAAAGACGACTTTTCCACTCTACATAATGACATTTGGGATCAATTTGCGCACAAGGTCAAGTACTTACTACACTTGGTAACAACTAAAACGAGTTTCCGTGAATAAGTTAATAACAGTACTTACATATTGGAAATTTCTCGGATGTGAACTCTCTGGCCATACGTATACTCTGCAACATAAAATGAATCTTCTTTGCAAGCAAATTCATCAAGATTCTTTGTGGTTGATCTTGCTATGGACCAAAGAGACTTTGCACTTGTTTTGGTGAATGGTCTAGTACTGATGAGTACTTACTGCTTGGCCATGAAACAAACCAACATTGATACAGATCACTCAGCTCTTCTAGCCTTGAAAAACCACATCACCTCTGACCCTCACCAAATTTTGTCCAAAAACTGGTCATCTTCTTCTCTGTCTTCCTCTGTTTGTGGCTGGATTGGAGTCCGGTGCGGGCCATTCCACCGTAGAGTCACTGCTTTAGATATTTCAGGCATGAATCTCACGGGAACCGTTCCACCACATTTGGGTAATCTCTCCTTTCTTGTTTCTCTAGACATGGGAAATAACCATTTCCATGGAACTCTGCCTCGAGAGTTGTCGGGGTTACGAAGAATAAGGTTTATCAGGTTGGGCAGCAACAACTTCAGCGGAACAATCCCGACATGGTTTGGTCCAAAACTGCAAGTCCTCGCTTTGAATTATAACCATTTTGATGGAACTATCCCTTCTTCTATATCTAAACTGTCAAACTTACAAGTTCTGAATTTCAAACGTAATTCCCTCCAAGGAATGATTCCGCAAGAGATTGGAAATCTCCGAAAATTGACTATTGTAAACCTCAATTTCAACTCCCTTATTGGTCCCATACCCAACTCCATCTTCAACATCTCAACATTGGAGCATATTCATTTGACACAGAATAACATGACAGGAAGTCTTCCGGAAGACATTTGTCGCCATCTCCCAAATCTCATTGGGATTTATTTTTCTCACAACCATTTGAATGGCCTAATCCCTCCAAGCTTATCTAGTTGTTCGCAACTTCACATATTATCATTGTCCTACAACAATTTTAGTGGGTCCATACCAAAAGAACTAGGCAACTTGGAGATGCTGCAACACTTACACCTCGGATTCAACAATCTAGAAGGTACGATGTTAACCATATCATTCTACCATATATTCCATCATATGTAATTGCTTCCGTCATTTCCTAGATTCATACTACTACACCTTTTCAATTGGAACAAAGACTTGTTACTACTTAAAAGACACTTTAAAAATGATAGGTGGGGTTCCGGAAGAGATGGGCAATCTTCATAACCTGGAGCAGTTTACCATATACAACAACCAAATTTCAGGCTCGATCCCGAAGGGAATAGGGAATTGGACCAAGCTTGTAAACATTGGATTATCTGGTAATTTATTAACAGGTATGCATATATTCACCATTTGAGTTCAATCCATATCCATCTTTTATTCATAGTAATTTTGAGTTTTCTAATATCTAATCACTAACTTACCAAATATATTAGGTGCAATACCTGAGGAAATTGGCAATCTTCACGAATTGGAGTATCTTAATGCAGCATTCATGGCCTTAAATGGCACCATACCAGCTGGGATTTTCAATATCTCAACATTGATTTCCATATACATGGGAGTTAATCAGTTTACGGGCCAACTCCCATCCGATGCTTGTCATCAATCGCCATATTTAGAAGAAATTTATCTCAGCAGAAATAAAATTCATGGAGTAATACCACCTTCAATAGGGAACTGCTCTAGCCTCAACCGTATGTATCTTACGGTAAACCAAATGACCGGCGCGATTCCGACGTCGATTCAAAACCTGGGAAATTTACAACAGCTGTATCTTGGTCAGAACCATTTTACAGGCTCAATTCCAGCTTCAGTAGGGAACTGCTCCAGCCTTGTCGAATTAGATCTTTCAGTAAACCAACTGACTGGCTCGATTCCAAAGTCACTTCAAAACCTTGAGTTTCTTAAGCGGCTATTTCTTAGAAGTAACTATTTTACTGGTGTTCCATTTTCCGGAAGTTAGATTTCCTACTTCGATTCCTTGGTGAACCGAGAACCCGGCCGGCCGGAACTACTTGAAGCAATCATTTCGGAGTTTTTCCTTTTGGGGGTGGGGAATCATTTTTGAAGATGACTGAAATTTGTGTTTATGAAGATGCAAATAAAACATTCTGTATAAATTTACGGTAAAATTTTTACTTGTTCATAGAACTAAATTAACGTCTGCTGAGCCCGCCACCTATATACGTAGCTAAACCCGCAAAAAATAAAATACAACAAAATGAAAAAAAAAAAAATTACAGAAACAATTTTTGAACACCATAAGGACATGCTACATTTGAGAGATATGGTGAAGGATAGATAAGAATAAGAAAGAGATAACAATATTACAAAAATAAAATTTACGCTTGTTATGGTTATGCGCAATAGATTTTTCAGATGCTTCGATAACATGAGCCACACTATCATAAGATCAATCATTCAAATCAAAGGTGAAGGAGAAATCCTTACGAAGAAAAAAGGGAGAATAAATTATTAGAGAATAAAGCATAGACAAGAGTACTTAAAGGAGTTAAGCCAGCAAATAAAAAATTAAAAAAAGTTACAGCTCCGAAATTGTTAAAGGAGTTTATGAATTGATACTAGGATGCGTGTGTGATCATGGAATTGGTCTTCATCGTCTTTAAAAACTTACCAATTATGAAAGGCTCACTATAAGCTTAAGGTTTTACTCATGAAGTTCAAAGATATAGATATGTTGAATTTCGTGGAGTTCAACATATAAATTGTACTCTAGACACTATATTGTATATTGTGTAATAAGTCCAATAAAATATGCTGTGAAATTAATACGTAGTTGTTGTGGTTAATACATTTCTCAAGTTTGGCAGCATAGGACGTTACAAAATTTAATTTTGGTGCCTGATTGATTTTGGTATTGGATTTGTCAATATCATTCTTCTTACTTTTTCTCATTCTTTGTTTCTTCTTTCTTTTTTCTTCAATTATTTTTATTAAAAAAAGGAAATATTTGGTCCTTAACTTTCCACAATATATAGCCGAAAAATATGTGCATGTATCCCTTTTTTATTTATTTTTTTCTGGTGGTGGTGGTGCCGTGTTGTTAGGTGATGAAGAGATGGCTGGAGCTGGAGAAACATGTTTTTTAAATTTTTTACTTTTTGGAATATTTACTATTTTTTTAGTTAAAGCAGGGGCGGAGGCAGGTTATAGCCGCCCCAACTCAAAATTTTTAAAATATCCCTTATATAGTATTAAATTATAAAATGTACTACTAAATTTTAAAACATTTTCAGTCTTGCCCCAGCAAGATTTGCATATATCTTGTTTGCCCCACCTACTATTGGGGGCTTGGCTCCGCCTCTGAGTTAAAGTAATGGTAGTTTTAAACAATGATAATTCAAATTATATCTTGGAAATAATTTATTCAGGAATAAATTAAAGGAAATAGAAGAGGAGAAAGATGTTAATTTTTGAAGTAATTTTTAGAAAGGAATTGAAGTAAAATAAAGGGAAAAAAAATGAAATAATGTTCAAAGAATCCCAAAAAAAAAAAATCAGGATAATAATATAAGAAAGAGAGTTTCTTTTTGACAAAAATAACCTTTTAACAGTCAACGGATGGAAAAGTGAAAAAGAAGTAATAGGACTTGACAAATACAATATTGGTCAATTAGGATCAAATGACCCCAAGTTATAGGAATTTTAGGATAATTAAGGGTTATATAAATAGCAACGTATTGTAAATCAGAAACCCTTGCAAGGCATTTGTTGGCTTTCTTCTTGTTGTAAAAGTTTTCCTCAACTAGATAGGTTCTAGCCTGCGTGCTAAACTTCAGTAGATATGTTTAAGGTTAAGAGATCGCGGCTCTCTTTTGGGGTGGGAAATGAGATTTTGGGTTTAAAAAAAAAAAATAAAACAAAAAATAAAAATCATTCATCATCGATGTTCTCTATTTCATATGCAAGGACAACCTAGAAATTAGATCGATTTTTTGTCTTGGAATGGGAATTGCAAATCTGGTCCATATTTGTGTTGATGTCACTTAAAAAAAATTTTATTCATTAAGTTTTGAATATGATATGTTTGCTAGATTTATCAGCGAGGGACCGGCGTTTAAAAACATCAAATTCTGGGGACGATCCTCTCAAAAACTGGACTTCCATGGATCAGTGAGTCTTCCCAGTGCCCACTTCTATGTAGTGATCGTGGGTGTCTTTTCTTTCTTTTTTCTTTTCTCCCTTTTTTTTTTGTGATTTTTAGGTTTTCTATTTTACAGTGATGGTTACTAGCACTAACGCAATTTTGAAATTTTCTCAACCATTAGAGTTGGCCACAATTTTCTGAAGAGGCTGCGACTCCTTACAATTAATCTAACTCCATGTTTCCCATAGAGCCTTTAACAATTATTCCATATGTACCAAAAAAAATTTGTTTTGACTGAGTATTAAAACTTGTAATGTTTTTTAATACAAATCTCAAAATTTAATGTTGATTTTTTTTTTTTAACGACATAGTTAGTATGTGATATCCGTTTTGAGTATAACCGCCATTTTTTTCCAGGAAAGAACATACCCCAAATCACTGTTTTGTTTGTAATCCTGCTATGAGATATATGGCTAGCAAAGCAATCGATGTGGATTTGAAGGCTTCCTCGAAATGCAATATCAAGTCAATTGCAAACTAAGTAAGTCTGATTCAGTGGGAAAGATAGAAGTACTGCCAAAAAGACTTGACTCTCCCACTAATTCCATTGGATGGTTCTCCAAAAAAAATAAAAAAAAAATTAATTCCATTGGATCAATTCAGTGCAGTCCACTTATATGTTGGAATTCAATCCCAGCCAGAATTCCAACATGTTTGGTGGTTACTAGCGCTAACACACAGCTTGGAAAATTTTCCATTAAGTAATTCAGACATTGACTTTCTTAACTTTAGTGAAATTAAATGACACTTGCATTGTGGAAAGTACGCGTCATTTGAATTATCTAGCAACATTCAAATCTGTCCACTATATATTGCACAAAAACATACATATTTTACACCAGGAAAAAGGAAAATTGATCCACAACTTCAAATTCATATTCATAGTGCAATATGTATGATTGATCTTGCGATGGATCGAAAATACTCCGCACTGGTTGTGATGCACTGTGTAATGATGATTACTTATTGTATGGCCATGATACAAACCAACATTGATATCGATCAATCAGCTCTCTTAGCCTTGAAAACCCACATTACCTTTGATCCTCACCAAATCATGTCTAAAAATTGGTCTTCTAATGCTCCATCCTCCTCCGTTTGTGATTGGATTGGAGTTCAGTGCGGCTCCCGCCATCGTAGAGTCACTGCTTTAAATGTTTCTGGCATGGATCTTACGGGCACCATTCCTCCGCATTTGGGTAATCTCTCTTTTCTTGTTTCTCTCGATATGAGAAGCAATTACTTTCATGGAACTCTGCCCGGAGAACTGTCGCGTTTACACAGAATAAGGTCCATCAGGTTGAGCCACAACAACTTTAGTGGTTCGGTTACAACTTTGTTTGGAACTAAACTTCAGTACTTGGATTTAAGTCATAATGATTTTGGTGGAATTATTCCTTCTTCTATCTCTAACTTGTCTAATTTAGAAGTTCTTTCTCTTCAACTCAATTCTCTCACCGGAAATATTCCCGAAGAGATTGGAAATATTCAAACCTTGACTGTTTTGGATCTCCAAGGGAATTACCATGTTGGTTCAATTCCTTATTCCATCTTCAACATCTCCACGTTGGAGGTGCTTGCATTGAGCCAAAACAACTTGACAGGAAATCTTCCAGTTGATATTTGTCGCAACCTTCCAAATCTCAACGGGATTTATTTAGCTTACAATCAGATAAATGGCCCAATCCCTCCAAGTTTATCTCATTGTTCGCAACTTCAGATATTGGGATTGGCATACAACAATTTCAGTGGAACCATACCGAAAGAACTTGGCAACTTGGAGATGCTCCAATACATGCACCTTGGAAACAACAATTTACAAGGTATATAATGTTGAATAATATGCTTACAGTATATACTCATACTTACACCCATGGATCGTTACATTATAGAAAATTGAAAACCAACCAACTTTCTTCCAAGTGTCATAGTGTCGTATTGTTTGGTTCTTCTTGAAGTAGGAAATGAGTTTCACGTCAAAACTCTGTAAAATGACAGGTGTGATTCCTCGAGAGATCGGAAATCTTTATAACCTCAACCAGATTCATTTAACAAATAACAGAATTTCAGGCTCCATTCCAAAGGAATTAGGGAATTTGACGGAGCTCACTTGGCTTGGATTGGCCCAGAACTTCTTTATTACAGGTTTACTCATCATAATTATATATATAGTAAAGCAATTCACATTCGAACCTTCAATTCTTTTCATATTATTTTATACCATTCTTTTAATATTTATTTTATGTTTTACACCCCCGGTTGACATGCTTCGCTGAATGTTAAACTGGGGGGTGAAAGTGAATTAACATTGATATTCAAGCATTACTAATTGATAGGTGTTATACCTGAAGAAATATGCAACCTTCACAAATTGGAGTACTTCTATGTTGGCGTCAATGATTTAAGTGGTGCCATACCAATTGGGATATTCAATCTCTCAACATTGAAAGCGATTTCACTTGGAGCAAATCACCTCACAGGTTATCTTCCATCAACTATTGGTCATCAAATGCCTAACCTAGAATCACTTATACTTGATACAAATAATGTTATTGGAGTCATACCAATTTCAATCGGTAATTGCTCTAGGCTGACCATATTGTCACTTGATGGTAACCAATTCACTGGCTCCATTCCCAATTCCCTTGGAAACCTTGAACTTCTAGAGCGCCTCTCTCTTGGAGCTAACCACTTGAGCAGTAACACAAGATCATTGGAATTAGATTTCATTACCTCCTTAACAAAGTGCAAGTATTTGAAACTATTGGATTTGGGAGAGAATGACCTGAATGGGATTCTCCCGAATTCCATTGGAAATCTCTCCACTTACCTTTATGAGTTCGGAGCATCAATGAGCAATATTAAGGGCCCAATCCCAAATGCAATTGGCAACCTTAGTAGTCTGATTTTGATTTTTTTAGATGACAACCAGTTGACTGGACCTATTCCTAGTACAATAAATAAATTAAATAACCTTCAAGCTTTGTCTCTTATGCAAAACAAACTAGGGGGGACTCTCTATGAAGTATGCAACTTGTACACATTATCTGACTTGTATCTTAGTCAAAACCAAGTTTCGGGACCAATTCCAGATTGTTTCTATAATATGACTTCGTTGAGGAATCTTTATCTGGATAACAACTTATTGTCCTCGAGTATTCCGAATAGCATTTGGACGCTCAAAGATCTCATGGTTCTCGACCTTAACTCCAATTCCTTCAATGGATCACTGCCTGAGGAGATTGGAAACTTGAAGGCTATAATATCAATAGACTTGTCAATGAACCAGATACATGGGTCCATTCCTGGCTCACTAGGTAATTTACAGAACCTACAAGATCTTTCACTAGAGAGCAACCAACTCGAAGGATTCATACCAGATTCCTTGGGGAACATGTTGAGTTTAACATTCTTGAATTTGTCACATAATAACTTCATTGGCACAATCCCCAAGTCATTAGAGGCGCTGCGATCACTACAGGCCTTTGATGTTTCTTCTAATCATTTAACCGGTGAAATTCCTTCGGGAGGTCCTTTTAGAAACTTCACTAGTGAATCTTTTGTTAAAAATGATGCACTATGTGGAGATCCGAAATTTCAGGTCCCCCCATGCAGAATCAACAAAAACCATAGATTACATGTGAAAAAGTTGCTTTCGCTCACATTGATCCCTCTAGTGATAGTTGGTTTGGCTATCCTTGCTTTGGCATACATCATTTTGACATGTCAAAGAAAGAGCAAGGTTCCAGGTGATATAAATTTTCCCGTTGTGCCCGAAAATGAAAGAATTTCTTATTATGAACTTCTACAAGCGACAGACGGGTATAACGAGAGCAACCTTCTTGGCTCGGGGAGTTTTAGATCAGTTTACAAAGGGATTCTGAGAGATGGAAAACTTGTGGCTGTCAAAGTATTTAATTTACAGCTCGAACATTCTTTAAAAAGTTTTGATGTAGAATGCCAAGTGTTTTGCAATCTTCGCCATCGAAACTTGGTAAAAGTCATCACATGCTGCTCCAATAATGATTTTAAGGCTTTGGTGCTTGAATATTTGCCCAACGGAAGCCTTGAAACATGGTTGCACTCTGCTAATCTATTCTTGAATATGTTGCAAAGATTGAACATAATGATCGATGTGGCTGCTGCTTTGCATTATCTTCACCAAGAATATCTAACTCCAGTCATCCATTGTGATTTGAAACCAAGTAATATACTTATCGATGAGAAATTGGTTGGCTATGTCAGTGATTTTGGAATCGCTAAGTTTCTAGGGAATGATGAAAGCATTGCATTTACCAAAACCTTTGCGACGATTGGTTATATTGCTCCTGGTAAGTATCTTGATTCTGCTATCTTCATTTCGTTGGTTTGCAGTAAGCTAGTTGTCTCATGCACTTTTCGGTAACTGGGATTTTTTTTTCCCCTATAGAATTTGGAAGGGAAGGATTGGTATCAAAAGCATGTGATGTCTTTAGCTATGGAATTCTCTTGATGGAGGTGTTTACGGGAAGAAGGCCTAATGATGAAACTTTTGGAGAAAATCTAAGCCTGAAGAGTTGGATTAGTGATTGCATGCCTCATTCTATTGCTGGAATTATAGATCCAAGATTATTTGAGGAGCAAGATGAAAGTTGCCGTTCGAACGATTTAACGTTGAGGTGTGTATCAGCGATCATGGAATTGGCCTTAAATTGTGTTCTTGAATCCCCAAAGGAGAGGATTTCAGTGAGTGAAATATTGGAGTGTCTCAAGAAGATCAAAGACAGATATGTTGCAAATTATGGAACTTTTCTTTCCGGGGAGGAATAAATTTTGGCTCGGATTTGTCGAAGACCACTAGCCTAGGATTTTTTATTTTCCCTCTTTTTGTTTTGGCTATTTGTATTTCTTTTTCAATCAATTTTCGTCATAATACTTTCAATTTACCTTTTCATATTTATGAAATGACAGAAAACATGTTGAATGCAGTATACACCGCTAGTTAACATTTGGAACTGCACTTCTAAAATCCTTACTTGAGGTTTACATTCTGTATAGAGGTTTCGATTTCTTCTTTTTTTTTTTCCTAAGAAACATAGAGTTCATTTGATTCTTCATAATTTAAGAAATCAAAGTTTACAGAGCTTCATCTTGATCCATTTAAAACAAATACTCCCTCCATTTTTTATTACTATTTGTCGTTTTAAGTTTTAATAAATTTTTTTATATATATGTCGTTTTCACAAATCGATACATATTTGACATTTTTTTCCAACATTGCTCCTGCATTGAAAATCAAATAATGTTGATAATGAATTTTTATTGGTTTGTGATGAGTTCTATAAATCATAAATAATGATATTTTTGTATTTTAAATACATTAATAAATACTTTTTTGGTTTTGATAGTTTCTCTAAAAAGACATATAAAAAAAATTAGAGGGAGTAAGAAAACTGAAGGCCAGTCCATTTTCTCAAATATAGTGAGCCCAAATACAACATAACTTCGTAAGTTAATTATGGGGAGGGCACAGTTAACTCGGTCGTCGTTACCTTCCAAAATGTCCAGAACTCTTTCAAGCGATCATCGTATTATCATTTAATTTCTAGAACCAAAGTAAAAATCACATTGTGCTTCTGTATCTCAAGTAAATGCTGCCTACTTTGATTGAATTTTCCCCTCCCCTTCCCACAAAATTTCCTGCTGGAACCAATTATCGTTGCCTCAAACTAAGGTGAAGGAGTTTTATCCTTTTTAAGCAGGTTTCGAGTTCAGGTGAGTATTTAAATACATAATTGTTAGAAAAAATTTTATCTCGGAAAGAACCTGTTGAATTTGGTACATTTAAAACCATGGTCTATCGTACATCCACTCCCATTGATTTTTGTTTTTTAATGTGTCACATGCAAACTTTTTTACATGCAAACCTTTAGTGATATTTTTTAAGAAAATTAATTGCACAAGTCATTTGAGAGAACTTTTGTTTATCTTAGTTTCAAGCCTTCTACACTCTCCATATACTAATTTTAATTGTCTATAAGCAGAAGAGAGCGTGTAGTTTGTTACAAATTTTTTCCATTTGTTTAGTTCTATTAACTCACAACAATGAATCGATACAATGATAACAATACTTGTTCTGAGCTGATAAACTACAACACCAGAACCATCATATTTGAGATCACACTCAATCAGGTAACCAGTCAATTAGGATGTGTACGGATTGGGTCAAACTGGTTAATTCGGACCGTAGTTTGGATTTTGGATTGGTTTCAAAGTTTTATTTTGAAACCGATGGTTTCAAAATTTGGAAACCTGAAAGAACATTTTGGTTTACGATTTCATGTACAAAATCCGTAAATTAAATCGGACCGGACCGTTTAATAATAGCTACATATTTTAGAATTTCTACATATATAGAAATGTACAGTATTAGTCACAACTTGTGCCATAATAGACTTAATTAACTCAATATCATGTTTAATCAAAACTCCTAATTTCGATTCCCTTAAACGTCTTTTCTTGGATTTTTTTTTTACCTTTTTATTTATATTTTTCTTTTGAATTTCAAAAACTCACATTCTGCATTCCCCCTTTTTCTACACTATTTTTCTGCTATCTCTCAAAAGTTTTTCCAACATTTTCTTTTAATTTTTTGAAATAGTTTTTGGGCTTTAGAAAGTTGAAGCGTAACTATTTAAATTCATGTTTCTTAATTCAAAGTTGTCGACCGTTAGTTTTTTGCATGTGCTGAAATGAAATTGGTAGAAAAAGTTATGTTTTGTTGTTACAAATTAAAAAAAAAAATCTTTTATTTCTTTTTTTCCAAAGAAAAAAAAAACAAAAGGCTCAAGTTTTGGCTATTAAAGAAACAAAAAACTTAAAGCGTCCGTGAAACCGTGAAACCGCAAAACCAAACTGTTGATTATAGATTGGTTTGGTCTGGTTTCCAAATGCGAACGGTTTGGTTTTAGATTCAAAATTATTTAAATTGTTCTAGTGATTTAGTTTACGGTTTGGACTAAAACTGGACTACTCGGACAGTGCACACCCCTACAGTTAATAAAAACATTCAATCACAAAATGATTTCACTTTATCTCAAATATGACAACATCTAGAACACATACCCTGGGGCGATTAAGGCTAAGGATCACCTAGCCCATTTTACTACATCACTTCCTACAACACTATACAAATGAGTGACAAGTGTCTTCTTAATTAATGCTTCTACTTATTCACTAATAATTAATTAACTATAATTAACTCTTTGTAAATAGTAATTATCCATGTTAACAATTTTTACCATATAATCCTACATTCTATTGTACCATCCACTCCGCCTTCACCATAAAACTTTTAATATTTAACCTTAATAAATGATAAATAATTTTTCATATTTAATATATTTAAAATTAATTCAATTAATTACATTTCTTTTTTAATAGGTACTAAAACCCAAGCCAAGAAAAAAATAAAACCTTTTGAGAAAATTATTACACTAGGTTAACATGATTTTACTGGTTATCCTAACAAAACCTCTATCAAGACGGTCCTAAACATATTATTATTATTATTATTATTATTATTATTATTATTATTATTATTATTATTATTATTATGTCGACACATAAGAGAATTCAAAATATGGACTATGGCCTGCAGTGCATGCTTCTCATTTTCATTGATATTATTAATTCTTGAAAAATTGACAAAAAAAAGGTTAAATATTAAGGTTTTGTAATATGAGAAAAAATAAGTCTAGAGAATGAATTTTTGACTGGGGATTGAGCTTTATGATGATAGCGATAAAAATTGATGGATAGTTTCTTTTTTAAAGTTTCGTAAGATGTAGGATGTATGATATAGTAATTATATAGTAAAAATTGTTAACATGGGGTATTACTAATTAGAAAGAGCTAATTAGAGTGAACCAGTTATTATTGAATAAATAGAACTATAGAAGTATTAATTAATTAAGAGGACACTAGTCACTCATTTGTATAGTGTTGTAGGAAGTGGTACAGGAAAATGGACTAGGTGATCCTTAGCCGGCGATTAAGTAAACTTTCGGATCATATAACGTATTAACTATTTGAATGCCATTTAAACATTTAATCATAGGTGTAATGACTTTAAAATGTATATTCCTATGCTCCCAATTTTTTAAATAATTTTAGGAGTTCTACCAACTCAGAGTATCAAGCCTACTATTGCTTCTTTTTTTTTTTCGATAAACCAGCACGCCATGCTTCATTATATATATAAAGCACAAAAAGCGGCAGCAAATACACACATCAAACCTACACATAGTGGTTACCTTTGAAATTCCGTAGATACATCCATTCTTTCCCAATTTGACGAACTGATTTCTCATGTCCCATACTTTTAGCGAATAAAATGACAGCTTTCAATTGTCGGAATTTTTCGATGTGAACTCTATATGCACATTCACATAGTCTATATATCTTTATTCGGAAGGTTTTACTTCACGTAACAAATATAACCGACTTGAAACCACATTAATCGAAATAATAATTGATACGTACATTCAAACATTTAAAAACAACGAATTGAGAGAAGTGGGGAAGGAGTTAACCAAGTGGCCAGCCAAATTGACTTCTCCACTCCATTTTTCCGCATAAGTGCAGCCGTCATGATTACACAACTTACAAGACGCTGAAATCACTTTGAAACTTCTGCATCCATTTTAACTTTAGTGAATAAATTAATGACACTTGCATTGTGCTCTCTCATTATGTGAACTCTTTCTATGCACACTGAAATTAATGCCCATATTTACATTCTGCAAAAACTATATACCACTTCGAAGTTTCATACTTTAAGTTGCGATGGATCAAAAACACTGCAAAATTGTTTTGATGAATGCTCTACTATTACTGATGATTACTTATTGCTTGGCCATCAACCAAACCAACACTGAAACGGATCACTCAGCTCTTCTAGCCTTGAAAAGCCACATTACCTCAGACCCTCACCAAATTTTGTCCAAAAACTGGTCTTCTTCTTCTCCATCTTCCTCTGTTTGTGGCTGGATTGGAGTCCGGTGCAGCCCTCTTCACGGCAGAGTTACTTCTTTAAATGTTTCCGATATGGGTCTTACAGGCACCATTCCTCCACATTTGGGTAATCTCTCTTTTCTCGTTTCTCTTGACCTGAGTAAAAACTACTTCCATGGAAGTCTGCCTCAAGAATTGTCGCAATTACGCAGACTAAGATTTTTGAGGTTGAGCTACAACAATTTTAGTGGATCACTTCCTACTTCATTTCCCGACAAACTTCAAACCATGGCTTTGCATCATAACGACTTTGATGGAATTATTCCTTCTTCCATCTCTAACTTGCAAGATTTACAAGTTCTTGATCTTAATAGCAATTCTTTAACCGGAAACATTCCCGAAGAGATGGGAAACCTCCAAAGGTTGACATATCTAAATTTTCAGTATAATTTTCTTGTTGGCTCTATTCCTTCATCCATCTTCAACATCTCAACGTTGGAGACTCTTGCTTTGACATATAACAACTTGACCGGAATTCTTCCCAATGATATTTGTCGCCATCTTCCGAATCTCAAAGGGATTTATTTATCTGGCAACCAGCTAAGTGGTAATATCCCTCCAAGTTTATCCTATTGCTCGCAACTTCAGATACTGTCATTGTCCTACAATAATTTCACTGGGTTCATACCAAAGCAACTTGGCAACTTGGGGATGTTGGAATTATTGTACGTGGCCCACAACAATTTACAAGGTAGAGTATTCTTCATAATTATTATAATATCTTGTAATTACAATCTTCATTGATTTACACATTACAGATTAATCAATATGATGATCATATGAGAGTTGATTAATTATGCCACGTCGTCTTTGGCTCTTTGCTAAACAATCGTAACTAGTGCATATATAAGATGTTGGTTATTGCAGTTGTTCGCCAATTGGTTTTCAGCTGAATATTCAAAATCATGTTTAAGTCATTTTGTTGGAGGAATTGTAATTCACTTGAAAACTTTGTTCATTTTGATAGGTTTCATTCCCCAAGAGATTGGCAATCTTCGTAGCCTCAAGGAGTTTACCCTATCACATAACAAAATTTCAGGCTTCATTCCGAAGGAAATAGCAAACTTAACCTTGCTTACTTCTATTTCGTTAAACGAGAATCTCCTAACAGGTATGTTACTGATTTTGCTAATTAAGAAATTTGCACTTGCATGTACTTCTTTTTTTCCAATATAATTTCCATATTTGTTACTATAATTAATTATTTTACAAAATAGAATAATTATTACGGGAAGAAAGGAGTATTATTGTTTAACGGTGTTTTTATGCTTACCTACTCACAATGGCATGCTTATTCCAAGCCAATGAGAGGGGAAATTAATGTTATTAGTTTTAATATCCAAGCATTACTTATCGATAGCCTTCATTTCGTCATCAAACATGCATCTTTGATTTATGTAAACTAAAGAAACGATAGTTTGGCAAACATGACGTACCTTTTCTAGATGGAGGGAGTGAAGAAAGTCAATGTTTGGTGCATTTTTTAGTTTTTATTGAAACTGACTTCATGAACTTCCAGAGTTAATTGATCCTCAACTTACCAAAGAAAAAACTCCTGAAAATGTAGATATCTAGTCTTAATTTCCTGCTTAACTAATGGTTAATTTCGAACATTATCTATAACAAAACAAACAAACCTGTGAACAATAATTGGTCTTTGTACGTTTTTTCTTTATCCATTTGTCACTTTTGTTTTTCGTCCTTGGTTCATGCTCCCAATATCGTCATCTCAGTATCTCTCCAAGGACAAGATACTTTATTTATGAAGAATATGTGCTGTATCTTCATCTTCTTTTCTGCTTTTAATAATAACAGGTTGCTGCATCTCAAGATTCATTTTTCTGGAATCGTGTCAAAGATTTTGATTTCTTTTGGTCAATTTAGTCCGCCAAAGTTAAGGGCTTTTTCTTTTTTTTTTTTTTCTTTTTTATTGGAACACAAGAGAAAACAAAACCGTAGCATAAATCATGGCTGAGCCAGCTTGCTAGTTCTCCTTGGGCCTGTTCTTAGATCAAACCCCTTACATGCAGGCATTAAATTCAAATGTACAAGTACATTTAGCTACTGAAAAAACATTTTTTTGAAGAGAGCTACTAAAAACTTAACTAAAGAAGAAAAAAACAAAAATCAAGTGTGCGTGAATATTGTACAGAATCATCAGAATCCTGCATCTGAATCAATGCTGGTGCTGATGTGATTCATCTGTAAGCATATTGGCTAATACTTGCTAATTAAACCATGAAAACATCTTAATTAGATTATGTGACCTCTCTACCAATAACTAGTTATACTTTAGGTTGGACGTTCAAATGGTTGGAGATAGTTTTAATATATTACACGGACCTCGAGTTTTAAACCTGAAAATGTTGGTTGTCTTAAAATGATTACTTTCTGCAAAAAAAAAAAAATTTCCCCCAATGTTATTGAGGCAACAAAGTAAAGTTTGTATTTTGTATTAATGTCTAAACATCGGTCAATAATTGATAGGTGTAATACCTGAAGAAATCTCCAACCTTCACAACCTGGAGTACATTTATGCTTCCTTCAATGACCTATATGGCATCATACCAGCTGGAATTTTCAATATATCAACATTGAAAGGGATTGTATTAGCCGGAAATCGGCTCACAGGGATTCTTCCGTCAAATATTGGTTATCAACTGCCTAATCTAGAAACAATTTCACTGTACCAAAATAATCTCAGCGGAGTTATACCATCTTCCATTGGAAATTGCTCTAAACTGACCATTTTAAACCTTGCATTCAACAACATGGCTGGCGCGATTCCTAAATCCCTAGGGCGCCTTGAAGCTCTAGAGCGGCTCGTTCTTTCCTCTAATCAACTTACAAGTGATCCATCATCATTGGAGTTAGATTTCCTAACTTCTTTGACACAATGCAAGTTCTTGAATGATCTAGAACTAGATGGAAATCAACTCAACGGGGTCCTCCCGAGTTCTATTGGGAATCTTTCTTCCTCTCTTCAATATTTTTCCGCAGAAATGGCTAATATAAAAGGTCCTATACCGAGTGAAATAGGCAACCTCAGCAGCGCAATCTGGATTTCCTTGAATGATAACCAGTTGACTGGAGCTATTCCAAGTTCCATCCAAGAATTAAAGAATCTCCAGGTATTGTCTCTTCCGAAAAACAAAATAGGGGGAACTTTGGATGGATTATGCAACTTGCAAAGTTTAAATAAATTGTCATTAAGCGAGAACCAAGTTTCGGGGCCGATTCCAGATTGTTTTGGGAATATGTCTTCTCTGAGGAACCTTAGCCTAAGTAATAACTTGTTGAGCTCAAGTATTCCTAAAAGCATTTGGAAACTTAAAGATATTTTGGTTCTCGATCTTGCATCTAACTCCTTCAATGGATCACTGCCTATGGAGATTGGAAACTTGAAAGATACAATATCAATGGACTTGTCCATGAATCGGATATCTGGTGTCATTCCGAGCACATTGGATGGAATGAATAAGCTGCAAAACCTTTCTTTAGCAAGCAACTTCCTTGTGGGATCCATTCCAGAATCAGTTGGAAAAATATTGAGTTTAACATCCCTAAACTTGTCACATAATAACCTCTCAGGTTCGATCCCAAAGTCATTGGAGGCGATTCAATCTCTCCAGGTCTTTGATGTTTCATTTAATCATTTAGACGGTGAGATTCCTTCTGGTGGTCCTTTCAAAAAATTCACAAGTGAGTCATTTATCTCCAATGATGCATTGTGCGGAGATGCTAAGTTCGAGGTTCCTCCATGCCCAAAAGTTTCATCGCACAAACGACGAACACAAAGGTTGCTTGTTTATGTATGTATTCCACTTGGATTGGCTGCTATTATAGTTTTGGTCTTAACATTAGTAATGGGAAAGTATTGGAAGAAATCAAGAGCTTCAGGGGAAAAGTCAGATTTAATAGAGGTAACACAAGAAAGAATTTCATACTATGAGCTTCTTCAAGCAACTGGTGGACTTGATGAAAGCAACTTGCTCGGCTCGGGAAGTTTTGGGTCGGTTTATAAAGGGATTCTCAAAGATGGTAGGTCCATTGCAGTGAAAGTATTCCATTCTCAAGTTTCAAAGGCATTCGAGAGTTTTGACGTTGAATGTGAAGTATTCAGGAATGTTCGCCACAGAAATATTGTAAAGGTCATCAGCAGCTGCTCTAACCCTGATTTTCAGGCATTGGTACTTCAATACATGAGTAACGGCAGTCTTGAGGCATGGCTGTATTCGGATAACCATTTCTTAAGCATCAAACAAAGATTGAACATAATGATAGATGTGGCGAGTGCATTGCACTACCTTCATCATGAATACTCCACATCGGTGATTCATTGTGATCTAAAACCTAGCAATGTGCTGCTAGATGAAGACATGGTTGCCCATGTAAGCGATTTTGGAATTGCGAAAATGTTGTCCACGGAAGAAAGTATGGCGTTAACCAAGACCATTGCCACGATTGGCTACATTGCACCAGGTGATGAATTCGTCGATGGATTAACTTCTTATTTACTTGAACTATTACAATTTCCATTTTTAATTTGTGGTGTTTTCTCACGTTAGTCTCCTATTGATGTTTGTTACAGAGTATGGATCTGAAGGACTAATATCGAGGAGATGCGACATTTATAGCTACGGAATCATGCTAATGGAAGTGTTCACAAGGAAAAAGCCAAGTGATGAAATGTTCACTGGAGATTTCAACTTGAAAACTTGGGTAAACAATGCAATGTCAGCTGATTCAATCCTTGGGGTTATAGATACCAACTTATTGACCCGAACCGAAGAACATTTTGATGAAAAGCTGAAGTGTTTATTATCAATCATGGAGTTGGCGTTGAAATGTGTTTGTGTATCTCCAAAAGACAGAGTTAGTATGGCAGAAGTGCTTCCATCCCTTGAAAAAATCCGACTCAAACTTCTTGAATGCAACGGGAGACGATAAAGTCCAGAATAATTTGTTATTTAATTAGTTCAAGAAGAAAGTCTGAGACTTGATTAGTACATCCATTATTTTTTGGACAAAACATTTTCAAAGTACGATCTTATTATGGATATGTCAACATATATAGAGATGTTCTGGTACTTCAACATTTACCATCCTACTTGATTCCATGCACAGTTGGAAGATCCAACCATCTCATACATGAGATGGATCTTTTCATGAGGTTCCCAGACATTCCCTGAATTTTTGTTTCCGCAAGAAGAAGATAAAGATACAATTGAATGATAGAAATATAATTTAAGAACTAGATGCTTGGCTCGGGCGATGTCTGGCCGGGCCCTTGGGTTTTATTTTGTTATTAATAACAAATATACAAAAATATGTTATACTATAACAAAATATATATTTGTGTAAATTAAGAATTGATATGAAAATGTAAGGGTCGGAAGATTTTCAAATAAAATGAAGGACCAATAACGCAATATTACGGCTTATTATTTGTTTTCATCAGATCTGAAAATGGCTGTGGGAGAAGAAAATTTCGTAAGCATACTCACGCGCCTGCTTATAATAAATTAATTATGTAACTAAAAAAAGTACTATATCATATCGAAATACAAACATTTTACCATATGAATAAATAGTGATAATAGAAAAATACAAACATTAATGCATTTACAGAGCGATAATATCAGTTTCAGTTGGAACCAGTAAGCATATCGAATATAAAATATTGAGTTAATGAAGAAATCATATCGAAACAAAATATTGAAATTAATACATTTCATTGGCACAAATAATTAGGCTAATTGGCTACAATTGTTGCGGTAAGAACCAGACGATCTCCGTGTCTAGTGACATTGGACATCCAAAGCTGCATCTGTTTATTAAAATAGAGATTGTGCAGAAAATTCACCAATGAAAGCTTGAGCTCTAGTAATTTCCACGAAGCTATGATGCCGAGAGTATATACATTGAAAACAGACTTGGTGGTTAGGTTGCAAAAGTTCTAGATTCTGAAAGAAATATAGAAAAAGAGTCTAAGTTAAGCATTAAAAAAATGGAAAATTAATGGAACACATGCAATTACTTCTTGTAAAATGGTGACAATTGACTTTGCAATAAATCTAGTTTCTTCAAGATAGAATGACACATAAATCTTACAGACCTGGAAGTAAATGACAAACACATAAGTACATCATTGAAACCTATCCAATCAACTATTTCTGGCCAAAGAACTATCAAACGGGGATAAAAGATCTCATTATCAGAAACATGTCTTCCCTGAAAATGACATAAAATGCACACCAAGCATGCCATATGGTTATGCATCTTTCTAGCTTTCGCTCCATGTATTTTAACGATCTTACACTAACAGGCAAAAGAGTTTCATCCATACCAAAGAAAAACTGGAATGAAGGAAATATAGGAATTCAACATTACCTCTGATAAACTTTGGAGTCAAATCACCCAAAGCAAGGCACTGTAATCCACTGGAATCCTACACCTCAGCTGAATCTCCCCAGTAAAGTCAAATGTTCTGTGCAAAAGACGATTACGAACAAATATGAAACATACCATCAACCTGATGAAACAGTTGAACATACTCTATATTTCCACAAACCACATCTTTTAAGACTGCAAAAAAGAAACCGCGACAAATGAAACCAAAACCACATCTTTTAAGACTGAAAAAAATGCCACAACTGAAATTTAATTGCGCCACAAAGATTTAAACTAGATGCTAAACACATTTCCACAAAGAGGTAAAGTAGAAGCTAATTAGACAAATCTGTTTGCCGACACTGAATAAATTACGTATAATTTGAGGATTCTTAGCAAGCAAAACTATTAAACCTAAGAAAATGCAGTCAAATAAAGAAAATGATCTTTGTTAGATCAAAGATCCTTTATCTGATCACCATCTTATAGCTTACAGGTACTTTACTGGACAATCCAAATTGATTTTTCTTTTTCGTTAAAGAAAATTATCAAACAAACATGAAATAAATCTGTTTGCCTCCATTAATGCTTTGTATTCATCCAATATGAAGCAAACGAATTATGAAAGCAAATGGATAGTGCAATGGACTGAGACACTTACCGATTCTCAAAATCCTTGCTTCCTGACAATGATAGGAGTGAAGAGATCCAAAATCCTTGCCCCGAGTTGATAGAAGTGAAGAGATCCTTTGAGAGCCAAGCAAAAGGTGGATTTGTTTACTGGCAGCTATGGAGATATCACAGACCATATGCAAAACTTGTCCACCTCCAACAGCATAACCAGCAAGCTATTTTCAAACTAAACTTTATGCAAATGGTAGTGAAGAAAAAGAAGATAAATAGAACATCATAATCATCAGGGCAAAATTCAAGCTTACCATTGCAATGACGGGTTTTGGAAGTTGGCAAATTTGAACATGCAAGTCCAAAACGTTGAGTCGACCCGAATTGTCGTATTCGGCATAGCCATTTTTGCCTCTGAAGGATGGATCGCCACCACTACAGAATATCTTGGTACCCTGCATCCCATAAATTAATTATTTGTCAGTAACTTAAAATCAGAGAAATACAGTATTCCAAATAAAAAATATACAGAGAATCAACACCGTTCCGTTGGAAATGATCACTCCAATCTGGATGTCATCCCTGGCATCATTGAATGCCTTCATAAGCTCTTTCACTGTTTGTGGCTTGAAAGAATTCCTTCTTTCTGGTTTGTTAATCGTAATCTATCCAAATTGATTCAAAGTATACAAAATCAAAACAGAGCCATCCCAAAATCAACAGGGCCATTCCAAATTTGTGAGAAAAAAAAAACTCTCCAGAAAAGAAACGAACCTTGGTAATGTCTTCTCCGACGGCCTTTCCATAAATAATATCTTCAAACGTTTTCCTGGCCTCTTCAACAAACCCAAGAGTGAAATCGTGCTTACAAAACACATCAGAAAACTCTGATCAGATATAAAAAAATTATCTCTGTAAATAAAGTCCAATTCCTCTCAAAGATCAAAAAGTATGGCCATATATTATCAAGCGTGAAGAAAGCCATCAAACCTTGTAATTGAATTCAAAACTTGCTGATTGTTCATATACATTTTGATTTCACCTCCAATGGAATCGTTGGACAACAAAGCTTTCATCAAGTTCGCAATTGGCAGTCGATAATGCTTGGAATTCCAGAAACAGCCGTCATGTTTTTAACTCTATCTAGATTTATAAAATTTCTAACTCATTCGATCTGAGAAAAGAAGAATCTGTGTGAGAGATAAACTACTAAGAAAAAAGTAATTTGCAACCAAATCCGGTTTAAAAGAAAAACCTATAAACAGATCTAGAAGAAGACATCAACTAAGTATTTCAGGTATGGCCCGACGTCAAGTTAGAGATTTTTAGTGGCACTATTTTCATGGAAATTTACCAATGGCAAAGGTTCAGAATGGCACCAAATACCCATTATCCACATATGAAGTCCGCAACTGCGCAACGTACATTCCCTGAAAACCTTATATATCGAAACTTTATGACTTGCTAAAACTAAAGTTCCATTAAAGAGCGTTTCCAGGTGGTAGAACCTTCTCAGGGAATAAAAAATTAGACCCATTCATCGTTTGCAGAGATCCTTTTTCGGAAGGATAAATAAACCTTCCTCATTCGTCTGTTTTGAGTAAGGGGTACTGCATTGTATTGTCAATATTACTGATACGTGAACTGTGATATTACATATCTGTTTGGTTAGCACATATATATAGTCTTTTCCTCCATTCCAGAAATTATTGCCCAGTTTAAAGTTTTCATTTTTAGTTAAAATTTTACTTGTTGAAAATTTTAGTTTTTAAAATAAAATAATTAATTTTGAATTTGAGGATAATAATTAAACTGACAACCCTTCACTTGCATGGTGGTTATTTCCTACAAGCAAAGGATTGTGTACTTAATTTGTATCTTTTGTTTCTGCAAGTGTTGCCTATAAATAGGTGAACTAGTGCATGATTTCATTCTAATTTTTGCATTTCTAAATTCTTGAGAACATTTAATAATTATAAGTTACATGTTCTTGTGTTCTTTATGTCCTAGAGACAAATTGTCAACAAACCCGGTATTGCAACATGGAGAAAACAAATATTGTCTTAAGAATATTGTCTAACACGATTAGAACACATCCAAATCTTGTGATCCCCCATTATTATTACGTTCAAGTTTCTAACAATAAAATTTATAAATCTTTATCTTTATTCTTTAGTGTCTTTTATGTTATCTCTTTGATTATCACTCCCATATACTTTCATTACTAAATATGAAAATTAAAATGGAGATAATGTTGTACATATTAAGAAAAAACGTAATATAAAACTTTGCATCTAATCCCTTAATTAAATTCATCTCATGAGGTTTTTCCCCCTTGAAACAGTGTTATGATTTAATCACATGCTAATGGAACTGTTCACAAGAAGTCCAAGTGATGATATATTCAGTGGATATTGGTGAGTTCAACAGAAAACAAAGTCATTATCCTTATTCATAATTCTGGTCGATCTAGCTCTCTTTGTTTTCTTTTTTTTTTTTTTTTTTGTTTCCCCCTCGAAGTAATGAATTGTTCAGTCTATTTACATTAAAAAAAACTTATTTTCATCGCACTCATCAGAGCAACACTTTGAGCATGGAGGGAAAAATTATTGATTATTGTTGTTATATCCTAGTTTTTAATGCAGTAAGTATTAGCACCCCCTATTTAGAGGGGAAAGAAATAATTTCTATGAGAGTCATAACACTAAAATAGGGGGTGCTAATACTTACTGCACTAAAAACTAAAATGGCTCTATAATCTTACGTGATCTGCACACAGTAATTTCTCGCATAGAGGTGCCTGAGTCAAGTTAATCTCGCTATTATTATTATTTTTTTTTTGGTAAAAAAGGTCAATTAACCCTCTCTATTGAAAAATATCAAGCATACATAAATGTTGTCTTTCCGAAATAAATATGTTGCAATAAATAAAGCAGGAAAAAAAGGCATAAAGTCTTGACTTCCATGATCAGTTTAATCCACTTATTAGAGTTTTTTTTCTTTTCTTTTTTTTTGGTTTACCTTAGTAGTATTTTCACATGATTTATTCTCTGCATAAAAAGCCTAGTTCCCCAACACCCACCGTAGACCGATACTAACTCTAAGTTTGTTTTGCTAATGACATGGTGATGATACGTACAATTATCTTCTTACTCTTCGTCCGTCCCACCACACAAAAAAAAAAAAAAAAATCACATTGAATTTTAATATTTATATTAAAATAATATAAATGTGATCTAATTATTTTTTTGAGTTCTCCTCTCTCCCTTTCAGCCGCCCCTCCCCCCATAAACCCTAATTCTTCCCTTCCCCATCTCTCCTATAGAGAGTCTAGGGGAGATGGGGAAACAAATTCATTTCTTTATTTTCTTTTTTTAATTAAAATAAGTAGAGTTTTATCCACATATATTTTGTTTCGAGATTTGAATTTTGTTGATTTTGTTATTTAGCCGATTGTAATTTTCCTATTGATTTGTTCACAGGTGAATTGCAATTTATGGATTCAGATATTGATATTTGCACTGGCGCAGGATGGCTCATAGATCTAGATCCATCGCTCAAATTTCTGGCAAAAGATCAAGATTCAATTTCGAGGAGTTTCAGTCTTAGATCTGATAGTTAGATCTATGATTTTGTTGGGCTTAGAACATGATTTTAGCGACGTATTTTTTACCAAAATTTTAATTTGACACGTGATACGGTCACAAGATATCTCAAGGGCAGATCTAAACAGGTTTATCCCTCCGTGGATATAATTATATGCTTTACTAGTTTGATCTTATGATGTTATATCATCATCAATTGTATCTTACTCCTCTATTTCAATCCGTTCTGGACGGTTTTTTAAGATTGGGAGAATACTTTTCATCCCAAGGTTTGAGGCACACCATCTAAAATATCCCAAAATTTAAAAGCATGCTATTTTCATCCCAAACTTTTCAAAAATATGTAATATTAGGATATTTGTTAATTTTTTTCAAATTATTAACGGCGGTATTTCATTCAGTTTTTTTTCTCCCAATTTTTTTTAGTCAAAAAAGTTTCATGCTTGCGTTTGGTAAATTTGGTCCATGTCAAGCAAAAAAGTTGCATGCCCCTGCATCAATTACAACACCAATTTTTATAATGATGCTACATATTTAAAAAAATAAATGAAATATGGCTTACTTTCTAATTAGGACACACACAAAACCTCTCATTATTGTTATCAATCTAGAAGGTGAATCTTGGATTTTTTTTTTTCTTTTTCAAAGCAAGGGAAGAATGGATGATGTGAAAACCAAATTAGATTTAGCTATTTTCTTATAAGGTGGGAATTAGTGGAACGTGTTAAATGATTAAAAGAATTGGGGGGGAGGAGGAGAAACAGAATAAAGTACCACCACTAATTAATTAACTGGAGTTAAAAATTTAACGAATATCCTGATGTAACATGTTTTTAAAAAGTTTAGGATGTAAATGGCATGTTCTTAAACTTTAGGATGTTTTGGATAGTGTGCCCCAAACTTTGGGATGAAAGGACCCATTTTCCCTTTTAAGATTTAAATGAATTTCTTTTCTTCTCAAAAAAAGAATAATAATATAAATGTGAAATTTTTTTGGGGATAGATGGAGTACTTTAATGTACAAAATTAAGGGGAAAAAATTTTAACCATTAAAATAATAATATTTTCTATAATTTTTACATGTTCAGTTTAAATTCATTATCATTTATTTCGTACTCTAAAATAATTACTCTTTTTGGATTAGAGTAATATCAAAATCAGTATCATTATAGCATTGGCAACCTGACTTTGTACAAGACTTTGTGCATGGAGGCGCGGTAGGTGCCTAATCCTTTTTATTGAAATTTGAAAATACCAACCTTTAGAGTAGACATATACTATAAAGTCTTTCCGACGTAAAGTAAATGCAATTTAATAGAGCAGGGGGAAAAAAAATGTACTATAAACTCTTGACTTCTAAGACCAATTTAGTCCATTTATTTTGACGTGTGAGGTGTTCTCTGCATAAAAATCTATCTAGTCCCCAAACACCCATGGTAGACCGTTACTACGTACAGATTCTAAATATTGAAAATGATAGAACCCGCGACTAATTTACATGAATCCAATAATTAAATATGAAAACAAGTTGATATATTCGAAACTAAGTATGAAGAAAACGAATCTGTCGTAATCTCTCCGCTGTCGATTGTTGCCCTAAAGGCAAAAAGCATCAAGTCAATCCAACTAGTTGACTCATCGACGACTCTCAATCGTTGATAAAGTTAACAAGCAAAACTATCCTAATAACTATTTTAATCACATTTCACATGTTCATGTTCAGGTATAAGCTATCATAGTTAAATTAACTCCAAAATATACTCCCTTCGTCCCATAATTATTGTCCAGTTTGAGTTTTCATTTCTAGTTAAAATTGTACTAGAAGTGAAATCTCAAACTGGATAATAATTTTGGGACAGAGGAAGTATATATTTACCTCTCATCATTTGGACCCAAGTGCTTGTTGATTATTGGACGTAAAACATCTTACTAATTAGTTGCATAATGAAACCATTTCAGTATTTATTAGTGTATAATTAATTTAATTATGTCAGCAGATTTTCCTTAAAGTTAATGCACCATTTTTGCTTGAAGGATAACTTCAACTTTCCATCCGATTAAGCGTAGTGATCGTGCCAAAAGACTTGACTTCCAATTAAATCCATCGACCAAATCATTATTCTCTGAATGAAGAGAGTCATTAATTAGCCCTAGGGGCTACGACAAGAGTGAATATAAATCTATTGAGCTCTTCAAAGTCGTGCCATACATGTGTAATACGGGTTATCCGGCAATGGATCGCAAATACACTGCACTACTTCTTGTGTCGCATTGTGTGTTAATGATGCTCACTTCTTGCCTGGCTCTGAAACAAACCAACATTGATACTGATCGATCAGCCATTCTAACCTTGAAAGCCCACATCACCTCAGACCCTAACCAGATCTTGTCCAAAAACTGGTCTTCCACTGCGCCATCTTCCTCTGTTTGTGGCTGGATTGGAGTCCGGTGCGGCCACCGCCACCACAGAGTCACCGCTTTAGATATTTCAGGAATGAATCTTACGGGCACGATTCCTCCGCATTTGGGCAATCTCTCCTTTCTAGTTTCTCTCAATTTGACGAGTAACTATTTCCATGGAACAATTCCTACTTGGTTTGGGCCTAAACTTCATGTCTTGGATTTAGGTTACAACGATTTTGGTGGAATTGTCCCTTCTTCCATTTCTAATCTGTCAAATTTGAAATTTTTGTCTCTTGAATTCAATTCTCTCACAGGAATTATCCCTGAAGTGATTGGATATCTCACGAGGTTAACTGTTTTGGATCTTCAATCCAATTTTCTTGTTGGTTCCATTCCCTCCTCTATATTCAACATTTCAACGTTGGAGATTGTTCGTTTGAGATATAATAACTTGACAGGAAGTATTCCAAATGATTTTTGTCACCATCTTCCAAATCTCCAACAGATTTGGTTGGGTGCCAACAAATTAAGTGGCCAAATCCCCCCAAGTATATCCCGTTGTTCGAAACTTCAGACACTATCATTAGCCCACAACAATTTGAGCGGATCCATACCTAAAGAACTTGGCAACTTGGAGATGCTGGAAAAGTTATATCTTAGTCATAACAATCTACAAGGTACTGTTTTGTTGATTAAAAGGCCTAGGCTTTGCTGGTTTTCCTTTTATTTTGATATTGTTTCACTTTTTTTTACAATAAATGAAAAAAATATTATAAACCTTGTACATGATCAAGTATAATAATTAAGTTTTGAAATGATATAGGTACAATTCCACGAGAGATCGGGAATCTTTACAACCTCAGGGTGTTAATTACAGGCAGCAACAACATTTCAGGCTCCATTCCAAAGGAAATAGGAAACTTGACCATACTTACCACACTTGACGTTAGCGAGCTTCTCTTGACAGGTACATTCCATATATAGTTCAATAAACAAAAAAGTATTTCATAGTAACTTCAAGTTTGAGGTGCCATGTTAATCAATAAGCATGATTATTTTTTTTCTTCTCAATTAGAAAGAAACGAGATATATATACGTTACGTCACAAAATAATTATCATCTTCTTGTATTGAAAGAGTATAAAAATATGATAATTTTAAAAAAAATGGATGGAGTATTACATTAGTATTAATAATGTCCAAGCATCATTGATTATTTGATAGGGGCAATACCTGGAGAAATATGCCACCTTCAAAAGCTGGAGTACTTGTTTGCAGACTATAATGACTTGAATGGCCCCATACCAATAGGGATTTTCAATCTCTCAACATTGACTCAGGTTGCGCTTAATGTTAATCACCTCGCTGGAAATCTTCCATCGCATATTGGTGATCAATTGCCTAATATAAACATAATTGACCTTAGCGGCAATAATATCGGTGGAGTTATTCCAGTTTCAATTGGAAATTGCTCTAGCCTAACCTTTCTAAATCTTCTTGACAACCAGTTCACTGCTACAATTCCCAAATCCATTGGAAACCTTGAATATTTAGAAGTGCTACTTCTTAGTGGTAACAACTTGACCCGTGATCCATCATCATTGGAAATAGATTTTCTTACTTCTCTGGCAAATTGTAAGTCTTTGAAGAACCTACAGTTGGCTAGCAATCCACTGAATGGGATCCTTCCGAATTCCATTGGTAATCTTTCTGCCTCCCTTCAAATACTTAACTTGGGGGTAGCAAACATCATAGGCCCAATACCTAGCGAAATCGGCAATCTAAGTGGTCTAACGACCATTGGTCTAAACGGAAACCAGTTGATTGGGGATAGTCCAAGTTCAATCCAGCAATTAAGAAATCTTCAATATTTGTCTCTTGATCAAAACAAAATAAGGGGAACTTTGGATTCTTTGTGCAAATTGCACAAATATTTTTCTAGCCTCTTTCTGGAGGAGAACCAAATGTTTGGGCCAATTCCAGATTGTTTTGGCGATATCACCTCTCGGAGAAATCTTTATCTATGAAAACTTACTGACCTCAACCATTCCAATGAGCTTTTGGAAACTCAAAGATCTCATGATTCTCGACCTCGCATCCAATTCCTTCAATGGATCATTGCCTCGAGAGATTGGACATTTGAAGGCTGCAATAATTATAGACTTGTCAGGGAATCATATATCAGGGTCCATTCCCAACACATTGGGTGCTTTACAGAACTTACAAAACCTATCTATTACAAACAACCAATTGGAAGGATCGCTACCAGAGTCATTAGGCAACATGCTAAGTTTAATTTCCTTAAACTTGTCGCATAATTATCTCTCCGGTTTGATTCCAAAGTCGTTGGAGACGATTCGCTCTCTCCAGGTCTTCGATGTTTCATCTAACCGTTTAATTGGTGAAATTCCTTCCGGCGAATGCTTTAGAAACTTCACCGGTAAATCCTTCATCAATAATGTTGCACTATGCGGAGATCCCCACAGTGATTTTTATCTTGGTTATCGTTACTTTGTCATGCATCTGTTCGGGGTATCTAAGAAAGAGCAAGGTTCATAGTGCAATAAATGTGCCTGATGTGCCCTCAATAGAGAGAATTTCGTACTATGAACTTTTGCAGGCAACAAATCGGTATGGTGAGAGCAACTTTCTTGGCTCAGGGGCTTTTGGATCAGTTTATAAAGGGACTCTTAATGACGGAAAAATTGTGGCTGTCAAAGTATTTAATTTAGAACTTGAAGGTTCGTTGAAGCTTTTTGATGTAGAGTGTGAAGTTTTATGCAACCTTCGCCATCGAAATCTTGTAAAAGTTATCAGCAGTTGCTCCAACCTAGATTTCAAGGCTTTGGTGCTTGAATATATGTCGAATGGAAGCCTTGAGACATAGTTGCATTCGGACCATCTTTTCTTGAATATGTGGAACATAATGATTGATGTGGTATCCGCTTTGCAATATCTTCACCAAGAATATTTAACACCAGTCATTCATTGTGATTTGAAGCCGAGCAACATCCTTATGGATGAAAACTTGGTTGGTCATGTAAGCGATTTTGGAATCACTAAATTTTTGGGAACGGATGAGAGTACTGCATTGACAAAAACGCTTTCCACGATCGGTTACATTGCACCAGGTAATGTATCTTGAACCTTATTATCTTTTTTTTATCATTCTATCATCTCCGCTAAACTTTTTGCTCATGGTGATTGTTCTTTGTACGTAATTGCCGTAGAATATAGACGGGAAGGATTAGTTTCGAAAGCCTGTGATGTCTTTAGCTATGGAATCGTTCTAATGGAAGTTTTTACTGCAAAAAGGCCGAACGATGAAAGTTTTGGAGAGAATCTAAGCTTAAAGAGTTGGGTTAAGGATTCGATTTCTGATTCAATTTTTGAAGTTATTGATCCGAAACTGTTTAGAGAAGAAGATGAACGCTTCAATTCTCATGAATTAATCCCGAGGTGTGTATTAATGATCATGGAAGTGGCCCTGAATTGTGTTCGTGAATCTCCGAAGGAAAGGCTCACCATAAGTGAAATTGTTGATTCACTCAAGAAGATAGAAAGAAGATATACTTCATTTCACGGACAAGGAGGCACTCAATTGTAATTCTCTTTTTCCTTTTTTTTTTTTTTTTGTTTTCAGAAAATATGTTGATCTCGGATAAACTTTAAGTCGAAATGAATGTCAATTTGCCGTGGATAATGAATCTCATTTCTCATCGTTGCGAACAAGTACATTCTTTGTGGCCGATGCGATAGATGAATGAGCAATAATCAATTGATTCCCTAAATTTGTATACTTCTACTCAAAAAAAAGTTACCCAAAAAAAAAAAAAAAAAAAAGGTACGCACTAAGGGAGCGTTTGAAATAAAATAAGAACACTAACAAGTAAAAATGGTCAATGTTTGACTCACAATTAAATCAAATGTAATCACAATATCGCATATAAAACACAAGAATTGTGCGAAGGTACTTCTGGCCGGAAGAACGATGTCTTTTTGTTTTTGTTTTTGTGCACAGAAGATGGTTGATAAATTAACACTAAATATATATTAAAGCATGTTATTAGAATGAAAAATTATTTGTACCCGGTCTAATAAAACGTGCGATGAAGGGAAATATATAATGCCAAAAATACAAATGGGGAAGGTTTTTTATGTATGTAACAAGGCGCAACGATTTTCATCAGCCACACTAGCTAGCCTGTAGTCATGATGGAGGAAATTAACGATTTTGTGGCCTGTAAAGTTACATTGATTGATAGTGGAGGACACATGCGTAGAATATAACCAATTAATCATTAGTACTGTTTTACTAAACAAAATCATTAGTATCCCTTGATAGAGTAGTAATTATGGATAACCTAATTTGTCAAAGATATTTTGATCTTTTGGATAATCACGAGAATATAAAATAAACCAATTAGAGTAGAACTTCAATAAATTAATAGTGTTAGGAGCCCCAAATTTTATTAATTTAACGAATTATTAAATAATCGATAAATTAATAAATTATTAATTTTAAAAAAAAATCATTAAAAATCCTATTATACTACGTAATTTTCCATTGTTTCTTTACAATCTTAAACAAGTCAGGAATGTAACTCTTTTTAATAATAAACTCAAACCTAATAAGATAAATGTCAATCAGTTGGTGAATTATCCAAGTGAAAATGATGAATCCACAAAAGTCAAATCATTTGAGAATATTGTAACTAGTGCCCTTAAAGATAATTCAATTGGGAATGAAGGTGACGATGATTCACTGCCTTTGGCACTAGTCACACGAAAAGAAGCACTGAAATCAGCAAGAACTTTTCAGTATTCTTGTTGTAATTTGAGAATACAACACCAGAACTCTCAAGGGCAATGAAACAAGGATGAAATTTCATTGGATTTAAATTTCAAGAAAAAAAAATATCAATAAGCTCATATTTTACTAAATCTTCCTAGATATTAGTTTTTTTTTTGGCATTTAAGGTATTTATTAATTTACAGTATTGTTGGGACCTATAGATATATAAGGGATTTTCTGAAACATTATTACCTTATCATTTTATCGATTTTTGTCACATTTTGTACTGGACCCAAGTTGGGACCGGAGAAAATTATTAATTGCTAGAAATTATTAATTTATCGATTATTAATTTACCGACGTTTCACTGTAGTTGCTCTTTAGTCTCTAGGTCACGAAATTTGAATTTTCATTTTGGGACAGAAGAAAGTAAATTGCATCCCTTTAATGCTCTTTTTATCTCTGTCTATTTAGTTTTGATTTCAAAGGAATAAAGAAGGCATTGAGTACACATGGTTATGGTAAATTAACAAATACTCAAGAAATAAAATAATTGATTTTGATGTTTGATCTATATATTGATATTGATCTTTTTATATCGATCCTAATGAGGTATATCTATGTGATGCATCGTGGTCTAATTACGGCAAACAATAACTTGTCGCTAATTTAATTTCTCATTAGTGCCGGCCCAAGTCATGAAAAAGGCAGTCTAGTTGTATTCACGTTTTTGGCTTCCTTGTATAGTTCTCTGTTCCACAAAATCAACACTTTCTACTTAAATGTATTTGGTTACACAAACTGACATGGTACAGCCGCCAGCTTCAAACATTTACTCGTAGTACGGGAAAACAAAAACTAGTCATTTGCCGAAAACCAAAATGCTGGCGATGTAATCGAATTATTTGATATAGAATCTAACGTTGTTGAAATGTTATTTGATAAAGATACAACCTTATCATAAGAAGAGAAAGTACCTAATCACGATTAATAGCAATCTTATGCAATCCCAAAATTCTACTCAACGTCTCAACAAACTGTGATGTTAGCATTGGAAAAGTTTTTAGCCTTCCTCTCGGTAATCATTGCTGATTTTTTTTCTTCCTACGAGCATGAAAATAGTTTATACTATTGTGAATATAATGTCATAAATTTGTAATATTATATTTTTATTCAATTTTTCACTATATTGGTTTATACTAAAAAAGTATAATAAAATGAAATAGTTTTTGTATTATCAAATATTCACATGAATTATATGTTAATTCCAAAAATTTTATTATATCATAATATTATCACACTCAACACAATAATAGATAGTATAATAAAATAGTTATTTACTAATTTTTTTACCACCATTATGGATACTATAAGTATGAATATGGAATTTATTGAAATTTTGTTTTCCTCGGATTAGAATATATCTATGATGGAAAGTAAATATCTCTTTTTTCTTTTTAATCTCGAAATGAGAATGGTTAATTATTCAAGATTCTAACCATAACTCAGTTATGGTAATGAAGAGTAAGACTGTAACTCTTTTTTCTTTCCTTGGATTAGAATATATCTATGATGGAACGTAAAATGTCTTTTTTTTCTTTTTAATCTCGACATGAGAATGGTTAATGATTCAAGATACTAAAGATAACTCGGTGGTAATGAAGAGTAAGATTGTGACTGATGATAATTAATAACCGGTGATGGTGATTTAAGAAAGGAAGAGGTACGTACACTACAACAAAAATAGGCTATTAATACCTTTATGGTGGGATACTTTTCCTAAAATGTGTCTTATTATATGTGTATTAGGACATTTGCTAAGAAGTGTCTTATTGAAAATGAAAAAGTGAATTCATATTATGAAACACTATCATAAGTGTACTATTTGGGGTCATTGTGAACTATTACCTTACTTAATGGGTCACTTTAAAGTGTGTTAATGAGTGACAATCTATAATACACTTTCAATAAGTCATAAAATATTTGAAAGTGTATTATAGATTGTCACTCATTAACACACTTTAAAGTGACCCATTAAGTAAGGTAATAGTTCACAATGACCCCAAATAGTACACTTATGATAGTGTTTCATAATATGAATTCACTTTTTCATTTTCAATAAGACACTTCTTAGCAAATGTCCTAATACACATATAATAAGACACATTTTAGGAAAAGTGTCTCATCATAAAAGTATTAATAACCCATTTTTGTTATAGTGATAGTAGACTGTTTATAATTGTGATAATAAATGGTACCCAAAAAATAAAAGGGATGGGCTCATCATGCCTAGTCAAACCAAAAGGAAGCATCATCAACTCGAAAAAGGCCTGCCTCACTTGTGACGCAATTTAGAAATAAGACACATGTAATTCAAATCAAAAGTAAGCATCATCGACTCGAAGAAGGCCTGCCTCACTTCATCCTTTGTTGGTGCCATCAATTGTTCTCGATGCTCCTCCAAAAAAATCTATGCGCTGTATGGACTGTTGTTTAAAACCTGGTTTTATGTGCTGAAAATACTCTTCGAACGTGTTTGTTTTATGAAGTCTAAGTTCGCCTTACTTTGTTAATTTGGGTATTTACCAATTTGTTGATGAAACACAGCTAATACAAAAAGAAAAAAATATATATATATATATATATATATATATATATATCTAGCTAGGTCCAGTGTCTTAGTTTGGCTAGATTCAATGAGAGGTGAGCTAGTCTATAAATTAATTAATGATCAAATTTTGGGAGTGAAAGACAAAATACTGGACTAATTCAAATTTAGACTACATAAACTTCCAAACGAAGTGGATTGGTGTGCTTAATTTCCAAACCAAACTTTTGATGTGTGAGTCTGACCAATAACGTGGCTAGAAATATAAAGAATGATGATCTATACAGAGAAAATTTGATAAAGAAATTAACAGGGAATGATCCGCCTGAATAGTAACTATCCTCTAGGCTGTTGCTACTGGATCCTCTAACTTTTCTTCAAACCATCTCAAAATTATAATTTTGCCCTTATCTTTTTTTAATTAATTTAGTAAGATTTAATTAAAAATCACATTTTGTCAATATTAGTAAGATTTAATTTTTTTTAAAAAAAAAATAAGATAGCGAACAAATTGTAAACCACCCCTTAAAGGGTGGCGAGCAAACTACATGCAAACCACCTCTTGAAGAGTGATGAGCGAACCACAAGCCCGGTGGCTTAAGGGGTGACTCACAGTTCGCTCACCACCCTTCAAGGGGTAGCTTGTGGTTCGTTCGCCACCTTGAAAGGGTGGCTCGCGGTTCGCTTGTCACTCTTTTTTTAGTATTTATTTAGTTAATCCATTTTTATTAATTATTTATAATTTGTTGGGTTGTTAAATATTTTAAATAAATTATTTGAGATTTATGGAAAAATTTTGTTTATATTTAGGGTTTGGTAAAGAAATAAATTTTTACTTGTATATTTAGAGAATTTTAGTGAATGACGTAGTAATTTATCGTAACTAAATAGCCGTAGCTAATTTATTTTATTTTAATTTGTTAAAATTACATTGACTAACCTACACTAAACGTGGCAATATTAGTTTATTTTAATTTATCATAACTAAATTATTAATCTTAACTACACGTATCTCAATTAAGTACTTTTAATTTATCATAATTACTAATTAGTTGTAACTTGACTATTTTAACTTAATTTGTTAAAATTACATTAATTAATCTCAACTAAATGTGACATTATTATTTTATTTTAATTTATCATAACTAAATTAAATAATATTAATTTTCTTATTTAATATTACATTAATATAAAATTTATTATATATATATCTTACTATATTAGAAACAAAAATCACACTTAAAATACAGCACCATCATTTGACATGTGGCATTTCCACATCATATTTTTAAAATAAATTTTTATTTACACATCAGTTTCCTAGACTTAAAAACAAATGCAGTCCAAATCCACCACCACCTCCTATTTTCGCCAAAAAAAAAAAAAATACGACTTCATAAAAAACACAAATCCTCATCTCCATGTCCACGACAATCGACTCCCTAATCAATCTCTTCTCCACAATAAAAAAAAAAAAAACAAATTTCTCATCAATCATCAATTGAGAATACGTGGTGAAATATACTTCTTTCCAATTAGCATGTTCAATCTTTTCATTAGTGATGATCAACTACATCCTAATCAGATAAAATTTCGACTTCAAAAAATATTCTCTTTACCTCTTTATATAAACACAAAGGAAAAAAAAAATTCTCATTGATGTTACTTTCGGCCGTTGTAGTGGTGCCGTTACAGATATTAAAAATTAAATAATTTTATATCCACAGATCATTTGTACGGCTTTTATTATTTTTTGTTTTTTCCGTTCAAGAATAGTGTTATTTATATTATTTTTATGCATCCACCCGTTACAGCTACCGTAGCCATTGCCAGGTAATATGATGTGATTTCTTATATGGTTAGTTAGCTTAAAATTTTTGTATGATTTTAGTTCTGTTTGAATTGAATTGATCAATTGGGTTTTTGTCACAAAGTGTGATTTTTGTAATTTCTTTTTTATGTTTTATTCATTTAGAGTGGTTTTTCTTTTTTAAATTATGCAGTCTCAGTTTTTTTTCGTATATGGTCAGTTATTAATTGTATTTTTTCTTTGTTTATTTGCTTTTGATTTTGTTTCATACTCCGAGTTGAACAATTATTATTATTATTATTATTATTATTATTATTATTATTATTATTATTATTATTGCAAATGAAGCGCGTTTTTTTTTTTGTGTTCGGACTTTCAAGAATATACTTTTTTGGATTTGGTTTTTGGACTTTTTTAAATTACTCATCATATAAATAGTTTAGGTCGCTTCTTCTAACTAATTTATGGGGAAGCCTTTTATGAATTTGAGGTGGAGAGGGAAAGAATAGTGTTTCTACGTTTATTTGTGTTTTTATACATCATTTTTACCTATAGGAAAATTTTTTTTTCAATTTTTAATGGACTCTTTTACTTATTTTTTTTTTTATTTGCCATGGTGAGGTGAGTTCTTTTTTATTATAACTTGAAACTTATGCAAATTTGCATTAATTTTCATTCTCATATTTGTGATCAACCTGTTTCAACAATTAATCAGTTTCAAGATCATATTTTTGATATTTTACTAGCTATAAGCCTTTGGAAGAAACAGTTCCAACAATTAAACATATACCCTTCGGAGGAAGCTTACTACAAAGCTATTATAAATCTCCAAAACCAAGTATTGATTTGACACGACAAATGGAGAACATCAGTAAATAATCTTACTAATATTTAAATTTATTAGGATGCTTTTATATTTTGTCTAACATTTACTTCAAGAGATATACTTGATCAAGTTTATTTATATTTAATAAGTAACACTTATAGAACATTTCTAAAACGTACCGGGCCAAATACACTTTCTTTTTTTACCAAATACAAACATTTCTATGATTACACTTATAAAACATTTCTAAATTCTTCAAACATTTCTAAAATATATCGTGTCAAATGCAAAATATTTTTTTTTTCAAATACAAACATTTTTAAGATCTACAGATATATTGGGCCAGGGTCGCGCATTGCGCGACCAGACATCACTAGTATATATATATAGAAAACTAAAGCCTGGGGCGATTTGCACGCCCCAGGTTAGGCTTGGGCGCACCATTCACTGGCAATCCCTTTGATAAAAATAAAATAAAATTAAAAGGGGAAAGTCGTTGTTTGGGGCGCTCTGAAGTAAGGATCAGGTCATCCAGAAACTTGCCACACAACGCTTATGATTATGATGTATTTTTTTTTTATTAAAATCACTAATAAAATTTTCATACACAAATACTTATCTAAAAATAAATATATGGTACCATGAAATTCTCAAAACTACTATCTCCACTTTTATTTATAAGATGGAGGTAACAAACTTTACACAAACTAATAAAACTAACAAAAAAAAATTTTGTCTCAAAAATATCATAAATTCTCCAAATTGTCCTTGATAACATTAATGAAGTGATTAAATTAATTTTGAATTAGTTAGTTGTGAGGGTAAAGAGAAGAAAGAAAGTCATTAAATGCTTTTTTGGAAATATAAAATTACTTATAAAAAAGAATGAAAAAAGTATGTCCAAAACCTTTTATAAATAGGAATGGAGATAGTATTACTCGGTGTGTTTTAGAAAAAAAAAAATTTACTTATCATTTATGGCGAATAGTCGAATACCATTATACCAACTTAAGAGGAAGTCAAAAATTAGGACCTCGACAATATACAGGAAGCTTCATTATTTACTAACACCTTTCTAACATATAATAAAGTTAGGTATTAAATCAAAGAAAATATATAGACGTCCTTCGTTTACCAATACATCAGCGCACGATTATTAAGTCTTATTATTATATAACATAGTATGCCTGTGAAAGGTCCAGGAGTAGCTGCATATTTTGTTATTATTCAGAGTAGTTGAATTATTTATATCCTTTCTTCATGCATGCGCCAACATGAAGTCAAGTCAACCATCTATCCAAGCCAAACGGGTCAGCATGATGTTTAAGTAAAACGTTGATATCTTGGCCCACCAATATGAAAGAATATCGTACCTAAGATTGACTTCCATTACTCTATGTGATACATCAAGTTAGTCTGTCCACTCATTTATGAGTATTTTTGGTTCTGAACGAAGTCTAGCTTAGTCACTGAAATTTCTCCTTTCATTTATTTCCCTTTTTAAGTCTAGTGGGGAAAAAATGACGCTTTGTGGAAATTTCTCGCAGCGTGAACTCTAGGCGCGCATTCTAATGCCTATATATTCTGCTAAAAGAAATACCTTTTCTTTTGCTAAGAAATTCTTCAAGTTTATCAAAAGTCATAGTATAAGAATCCGGTAGATATTGCAATGGATCGAAAATGCTCGGCACTTGCTGTGATGCATTATGTAATGATGGTTACTTATTGCCTGGCCATGACACAAACTAACATTGATACTGATAAGTCAGCTCTCTTAGCCTTGAAAGCCCACATCACTTCAGACCCTCACCAGATCTTGTCCAAAAACTGGTCTTCTACTGCTCCATCTTCCTTTGTTTGTGGCTGGATTGGAATCCGGTGCGGCCACCGCCACCGGAGAGTTACTGCTTTAGATATTTCCGACATGGGTATTACGGGCACCATTCCTCCACATTTGGGTAATCTCTCTTTTCTCGTTTCTCTTAACATGAGTGGAAACTATTTCCATGGAAGTCTGCCTCGTGAATTGTCACAATTACGGAGAATAAGGTCTATCAGGTTAAGTAACAACAACTTCAGTGGCCAAGTTCCTACTTGGTTCGGACCGAAACTTCAAGTCTTGACTTTATTTGACAACAATCTTGATGGGGTTATTCCTTCTTCCATCTCTAATATGTCCACTTTAGAATTTCTAGGTTTGTCAGGCAACTCTCTTTCAGGAAACATTCCTGAAGAGATTGGAAATCTCAAAAGATTGACATTTCTAGGTTTGGAAAAGAATTCTCTCGTTGGTTTCATACCTTCTTCTATTTTCAACATCTCCACATTGGAGAGTATTGGTTTTACACAAAATAACTTGACAGGAAATCTTCCCGCCCATTTATGTGACCGTCTTCCAAATCTCCGGGGAATTTATTTTTCCTTCAATCATTTAAGTGGTCAAATCCCTTCAAGTTTATCCCGTTGTTCACAACTTCAAATGTTGTCGTTGTCATCCAACAATTTCAGTGGATTCATACCAAAAGAACTAGGCAACTTGGAGATGTTGGAATCAGTAGCCCTTGGATCCAACAATTTACAAGGTATGGTCTTGTTTAATTTCTTCGTTGGTGTCACATTTAAGATGATTCATTTCCTTGCCGCAAAATGTATCGTGCACTTGGAAACAATTTCGTTTTACTTTAATTCACTTTTCCTTGGGGTGTATGATCACTGTTAACATGCTTAATTTTAATGATAGGTTTGATCCCCAAAGAGGTGGGTAATCTTCAAAACCTCAGTGAGTTTTCTATAGCATACAACAGAATTTCAGGGTCTATCCCGCAAGAAATCGGGAATTTGACCAAGCTTATTCGTCTTGATTTGGGCAGTAACTTCTTACAAGGTACGGTCATACGTCTACTAGAGAATTCACACACGTCAATCTTCCCATACTGTTGATACTTATTCAGTCTCAAAATTATTTGTCCAGTTTGAATTATCATTTTTAGTTCAATTTGTAATGAAAATGAAAATCTAAACTACATAATAATTTCGAAACGGATGAAATGTGTGTTTGTTTCCGGAAAAATTGGTCGATCTACCCAAAGGTTGACATGCATAGTCAATTCTACCATATTCTTTTTTTGATTAGCTAATATTACTCTAAGCTATCAAACCGTTAGCCGATTTTGTCCAATTGGCCAATTTCCATTTAAATTAACGGAATTCTGTTAGTTTTAATTATAAAAATACCTTAATAGTTTTAAAAATTATAAAAACAACCCTAAAAATTTGTAAAAATAACCAAACAATCTTTTACACTTTTTATTTTATTTTTTTTCTGTTTTCTATTTATTTTTATTATTTCTCATAACTATAAAAATATATTATATGATCTTTTAAAAAAAAACTATTTATTTTTAAAAACTACTGTGCAAATTTATAGATATGTATATTTGTAACTCATGGTTGATTTACATAAACATATTAATTTTTTAATAATATAATTTGACAATAATGATATTAGTTTTTTTAATCCTTTTTTCAATTTAAAGAATAATATTTTTTGACTAAAAATTAATTTTTTACAAAAAAAAGTAAAACATTTAGCATAGATTAAAATTTAATATATTAGTACATTTTAATTTTCTACAAATTGAATAAACAAACTATAAATTGTATTATCCAATTCAAAAATTACTAAACTAAAATATAGTGTACAATCTAGTGTTTAGGGTGTTGAATTCATGATAATAGATATAAGATTAATTCTCACCAAGGATTTTTCACCGGAAGAGTGAGTTTATCCACATTTATGCATGGTTTACTAAAGGTGAGAGGGTTGACTTGGATGGTCAGGTGATTTAATATGAGAGATGATTATTACTATGTTCGAGGCTTCAATTCTCACTGGGACGATCTTTTTTTTTAAAGGTGGAGTCCAGTACTGGAGTAAATTTTTTTATTATTATTAAAAAAAGTTTCCTGCTAAAGTTAGATGCTAATATCTCAAAAAATTTATCACAAAATAATAAAAATAAATAGGAAACAAAAAAAATTAAATAAAAAGTGAAAAAGACTATTTGGTTATTTTTATAAATTTTTGGGGTCATTTTTATAATTTTTAAAACTATTAAGATATTTTTTATAATTCAAAATAACGAAATTCTGTTAATTTAAATGGAAAATGGCAAATTGGAAAAAATCAGCTAACAGTTGGATAGCTTAGGATAATATTGGCTAACCGAAAAAAAAATAAGGTGAAATTGACAACGCATGTCAACCTTTGGGTAAATCGGTCAATTTTTCCGTTTGTTTCCATTTTAATGAGGCAACCAACAGTATTCATGTTAATATTCAAACTATCACTAATTGATAGGTGCAATACCTGACAAACTCTCCAACCTTCACAACTTGGAGTATCTTTATGCCGGGTTCAATAATTTTTATGGCTCCATACCAGCTGGGATTTTCAACATCTCAACATTGAAAGAGGTTGAATTCGCAGGAAATCAACTCACAGGGATTCTTCCATTAAATATGGGTCATCAATTGCGCAATCTAGAAATACTTTCACTGTACGAAAATAATATCAGTGGAGTTATACCAGGTTCCATTGGAAATTGCTCTAAACTAACCCTTTTAGATCTTTCAGTAAACCAGATGACAGGCACAATTCCTGAATCCCTAGGAAACCTTGAGGCTATAGAACGCCTATTCCTTTCCGTTAATCAGCTCACAAGTGATCCAACATCATCAGGATTACATTTTCTAACATCCTTGACACAATGTAAATCTTTGACTGATTTAGAGCTAGATGCAAATCCGATCAATTGGATCCTCCCGAATTCTGTTGGGAATCTTTCTACCTCTCTTTTATATTTTTCAGCAGCATTTACAAATATGAGAGGTCCCATACCAAGTGACATTGGCAACCTAAGTAATCTAATCGCTATCCATCTAGGTGCCAACCAGTTGATTGGAGGTATTCCAAATTCCATCCAAGATTTGAAAAATATCCAGATATTATCACTAAGGAATAACAAACTAGGGGGAAATTTGGATATGTTATGCAACATGCACAATTTGGATGAATTGTCATTACGCAATAACCAAGTTTCGGGACCAATTCCAGATTGTTTTGGCAACATGACTTCTCTAACAAAAATTTTCCTAGATAACAACTTACTAAACTCAACTATTCCTAGCAATTTTTGGAAACTCAAAGATCTGATTTTTCTTGACCTTGCATCCAACTTCTTCAACGGATCATTACCTATGGAGATTGGAAACATGAAGGCAACAATATATATGGATTTTTCCATGAATCGATTATCAGGGGTGATTCCAACAACATTGGGTGGTTTGCAAAACCTTCAAAACCTATCCTTTGCAAATAACTTAATGGAAGGATCCATACCGGAATCAGTTAGAAATATGTTGAGTTTAACATCCCTAAACTTGTCGCATAATAACCTCTCAGGTCTTATACCGAAGTCATTGGAGGCGATTCAGTCTCTCCAGGTCTTTGATGTTTCATTTAATCATTTAGAAGGAGAGATCCCTTCTGGTGGTCCTTTCGAAAACTTCACAAGTGAATCATTTATCTCCAATGATGGATTGTGCGGAGATGCCAAGTTCGAGGTTCCTCCATGCCCAAAGATTTCATCTCACAAACGAAGACCAAAAAGGTTTCTTGTATACGTATGCATTTCACTTGGATGTACTGTTGTTATTGTTTTTGCCTTAGCATTATTACTCAGAAAATATTGGAAGAAATCAAGAGCTTCAGGGGAAAAGTCAAGTTTGATAGAGGTCACACAAGAAAGAATTTCATACTATGAACTTCTTCAAGCAACTGGTGGACTTGACGAAAGCAACTTGCTTGGTTCGGGAAGTTTTGGATCCGTTTATAAAGGGATTCTCAGAGATGGAAGGTCCATTGCAGTGAAAGTATTCCATTTTCAAATTGCAAAAGCATTTGAGAGTTTTGACGTCGAATGTGAAGTGTTCAGGAATGTTCGCCATAGAAACATAGTGAAGGTCATTGGTAGCTGCTCTAACCATGATTTTCAGGCACTGGTACTACAATACATGAGTAATGGCAACCTGGAGACATGGTTATATTCGAATAATCATTTCTTAAGCATCTTACAAAGATTGAACATAATGATAGACGTGGCGAGCGCATTGCACTACCTTCATCATGAATACACCACATTGGTGATTCATTGCGATCTGAAACCTAGCAATGTGTTGCTTGACGAAGACATGGTTGCTCATGTAAGCGATTTTGGAATCGCAAAAATGTTGTCAAAAGAGGAAAGTATGGCGCTAACCAAGACCTTTGCCACAATTGGCTACATTGCACCAGGTGACTAGTTATTATGGATGTCATTTCTTGATTACTTCTACTTTTATAACTTCACTTTTTTAATATATGGTGCTCTCATCACATTCATCTCCTACTGGTATTTGTTATAGAGTATGGATCTGAAGGGCGGATATCGAGGAGGTGCGATGTTTATAGCTATGGAATCATGCTAATGGAAGTGTTCACAAGGAAAAGACCAAATGATGAAATGTTCACCGAGAAATTGAACATTATAGCTTGGGTAAAAAATGCAGTGTCTGATTCAATCCTTGGAGTCATAGATGCCAACTTATTAACATCAACCGAAGAACATTTTGCTCAAAAGCTGGAGTGTATATCATCAATCATGGAGTTGGCATTGAAATGTGTTTGTGAAACTCCTAAAGACAGAGTTAGTATGGCAGAAGTGGTTCCATGTCTCAACAAAATCAAACTCAAATTTCTTCAATATTTGTAATAGGGGACGCTAAAAGTTGGAAGAATTGATTTATAATCTAATTGAAGAAGAAAAGTCTGAGACTAGATTACAGTATTTTTGAGACTAAAGATTTTCGCAGTAACACCATTATTATGGGCACTGTCAACGTAGATGATCTAGTACTTCAACTTTAGCATCCTTTCCTTAATTCCATGCATTGCGGGAAGATCTAACTTCTCAGTCCCTTTCATTTTGTACTACGTACCTTGAATGCACAGCGACCCTTTTGATTCCATCAATAAAAGATAGGTGTGCTGCTGTTTCAAATATTGGGTACGTACTGAATAGTGTATATATATATATATATATATATATATATATTTACTTAGGTGAAAATAAACTTCATTAAAATTATTGGAAATAGTGCAGCACCATTTGATACAAGAACAAACCGTCCAAAATGACGTACTCAAACCGTCCAAAATGACGTACTCAAACAGTCCTAATGACGTACTACTGGTACTAGTCACTGCACCAGTGACTAGACCAATACAACTACCAAAAGATTAACAATCCTATAATGGAATAATTCTATTGTTGAACGTATCACGGAACGAAATAAAATTCTGAACTCGAATATATCACTTATTCGCAGATTGAAGCACAGATTTATCATTATTAACGACGAACAGCACACACCAAATTTGGACTCGACCAACGGACTCGATTCCTTTGACGCACTAAATTCGCTCAGTAAAAAGTCAATTCAAGATCCATACTGAGAGTAAGCTATCCCACTTAATTGAATTAAAACAAAACAATAAAAAAATAACCAAATCTGATCTAGCATGGACTCTATCGAATTTGAGATGTAGCGGTGGCGCTTGGAGCTTCCAGCGTGGATCGGCTGGATGGGTTCCGAGGGGATAGGTGCTGAGTAGTATATTAATACCTCTTCTTTGCAAAAAAAATTTCAGTCTGCACATTCAAATGTCAATAAATTAAATAGGAAATTCAGGGAAAGTGGGGAAGTAGGTAGCTAGCCAAACCAAAGTACATAGGAAACGCGCTTGCCGAAGAATTGACTTTTCCACTCCAAATGTGAAGTCTTTCCTAAGTAAATAGAGTGCGGGGAAGATGCATGAAGTCTTGACTCCTAAGATCAATTAATTTATTTAGTCCACTTATTTTCAAGTGATAACACCCACCCCAAGACTATCACTCGTACATATTCCCTCCGATCTTTATTATAAAATATTTTAATTTCGTCCTAAGTATTATAAATGTAATGTCTTATAATAAAGACCAGAGGGAATATTATAAATTGAAGAGTTTAAAAAAAGCTATATTGAAAAGGGAATACAACCTGCGACTGATTTTCATGAATCCAATAATTAAATGTGAAAACGCCATGATATATTCGAAACTAAGCATGAACAAAACGAATTTGTTGAAATCTCTCCATTCATTTCGTTCCTTTAGTTGTTGTAAAATGACACCTTCTTGAAACCTCTGTGTTCATTAATTATTTATCAGTCGCTTTGTTGGATCATTGCCATAATTACAAAAGCATCAAGTCAATTAAACTAGTTTTTTTTTTTTAATAAACAAGTCAATTCAACTATTTAATCCATCGACAATTCTAAGTGACGGGTTTAGAGCTATGTTTTGAAAACTGGACCGGAGAGTAAATTGATAATCTTATTGGGTCGCTAATCTATTGGTTTGAATCGGTTCAACTCTTAAAAACCGGATGACATTACTATTATATATATAAATTAATTTTAAATATTTGTAATAACATAATACATTAATACTATGAAATTTGTGACAAATTAGTATTATGTTAAATTTCAGATCATTTCACTATCAATCTAAACTGAAGGGGTCATAACAAAATTTTATATACTTCAATTCAAACCCCTAACCTACCCGGGAAATAATATTAAGATCCTAGTTACATCTTGCAAGGTGTATCTAAGCAGTGCGTGAACTACACATGGGGGAAGAGAAATTAGAATAATTGAGTCCGAAAAAAAGGAGTCCACACACGCATTTATTATGCAAATCATCAGTTTAATTACGTGATCAAATGTTATCCCCTTTTTTTCCCCCAATTTTAATTACGTGAATTAATTCCTCCAAATTTTATCCCTTTTTTTTATCACATGTTTAATTTCAAATGTTATCTTTTTTAATGTTTATCATGTTAGCTTTTAATTGGGAATATAATTAGGAATATAATTGGGAATATAATTGGAACAGGTTCTTTTATAGGAATAGAGAAGATTGATTTTATTTTGGTAAAATTGAATATGGTTCGTCATCTAAACTTTTGAATATAATTTTATTGATGAATATACATGCATAAGGTAATGCATAATGTATGATTATTGATGAACAGGATGTTCATTATTATTTTTTGACCGATGGTGTATTATATTATTGCGATTTTACGATAAATATTTTTATGTTAACTAATGAATAACGAGTTGTTATTGATGAATAACAAAAGCTTTGCTAATTGGACGATATTTCAACTATGAGGAAGAGACTTTTGTTGTTTATAATTCTTTCACAAAGCGCATTAGATTTTTCAATAAACAAGTTCAAAGATTGGAAAATGTCCAAATCTGGTGTTGTATATTGGAAATAATTTGCATGTAGCAAACAAGGAGTAAAAAATTCAAGAGGTAGTTGCGATACAACAATGAATAATTATACCAAACTGATGAATACGACAATTTCAACAATGAATAATTATACTAAACTGATGAATAACCCTCTATATCAATATCTACACTTATTGTGGTTTGATTTTTTGCAGATTCAGATATCCTGCTTCTTTTGGCTTCTGAATGTTGTTCTTCGCTCATGCTTCTTTCAGATTGTGTCTGATATTCATCGCTCATGCTACAACATATTTACAAATTCTATGAATAACTTGTCAGATATGATGAATCCGACAATTTCAACAATGAATAATTATACCAAACAGATGAATAATACAAATATCTAGTAATTTGCCAAAAAAAATAATAATACTACATAGTGATGGCAAACGATGAATATGGTAATTTCAACAATGAATAATTGTACCAAACTGATTAATAATGCAAAAATCTAATAATTTACCAAAAAAATAATACTACATAATTATGGTAAACGATGAATCTGACAATTTCAACAATGAATAATTATATCAAAACTGATGAATAATACAAAGATCTACTACTTTACCAAAAAAAAAAAAACAATACTACATAGTTATGGTAAACAACGAATCATACAATTTTAACAATGAATAATTATACCAATCTGATGAATAATACACAAATCTACCACTTTATCAGAAAAACAACATCCAATAGAAGAACAAAATTCTAAAATTGATGAATCTGATAATTTCAATAGTTATGAAAACGATGAATATGATAATTTCAACAATGACTAATTATACCAAACTGATGAATAATTCTCAGATCTTCTAATTTTCCAAAAAAAAAAAAGGCAAATCGAAGAACATATCTCTAAAATTGATGAACAAACATCGTTAATTGAGTGAACATACCTTAAATCTACATAACCCAAACAAAAAAACCACACCAATGATTGAAGAGAGTAGTTATATTACCTTGCTTCCCCTTCATCCTCCAATTTGCTCATACTCGGTTCGGAATCCTCAGCCATAGGCATCTACATGAATATTTTAAGAAAAAACAACATTCATCAAACCAGAAACAAACAACAATGGATAAACACAGAAAAATCGATGAATTTGACCAGAATACACCTTAATCCTCATCTTCACCTTAATCCCGCTGACGGTAGCTTCTCTGAATGTATCGCCGCAGGATTGATTTTTTGGAGTTTCGGTTTTTTTTTTTTTTGATTTGGGGAGTAATGGAATAGATCGAATGGAATGTTGAATCATCAATAATGGCTGAAAATTAGGAGATAATGGTGGTTATCAAGATTTGAAAATCAAAAAGTCACACATAATGAGGGTAATAATGGGCGCGTGTAAACACTCGGATGGCATTATTGTAAATATTGAGAGTTCTTCTTTTTTTGGTCGCGTGAGTTTTACTTTAGGTAGACCTTGCTAGGTGTACCTAGGATCCCTATATTATAATTACCCATCCCCATTTCCTAACCGCCACACCCATTTTTCTTCTTTCTCTTCTCCAGTTCACATCTCCATTTTCATCAGCTATCTCATTTCTTCATTTTTCTCATCTTATACTAAATCTGCACATCCATTCAACTTTAATCTTGCTTTCTTTTCATTCTATACTGACTTTTCATATTTTTTTTTCCCTTAGCTTTATCCCACCAAACTAAAAGAGAATTAAGATTAATAGATTTCACTATTGAGAGATGTCAAGGATGAGAAAATGATATGGATGACAAAGGGATATAATGGAAGCATACGAATTGTACATAAAAATGAGTTGAGACTTGGAGACGGATCGGAGGCTCGTCAGACCTGTATTTTTTTGGGGAAAATAGTGAAACTCGCGGTCAGCCGGGTTTCTCCGGTTCCCGGTCGAACCGCGAATTTGACCGACTTTTTAACTAAGCGATTTTGTTGCAATCTCGGACCAGTACCATGTACGATTCTTGATTGAATCGGTTCGACCGCCTGATCCGATCCGATTTTAACAACATAAGTTTAGTGTGAGGCTATGGCCCTCAGAGTCCACGCTAAACTATTAGGGTGTGAATTAGAACCCAATTGATTAATTTATGTATTTTTTACTATGTAATTTGGAGTACCTGTTTTACAGGTTATTTTCTCTTAATTGTGTTTTAGGCCAATTATATATACAGTATATAGTCCAGTCCACCAACTAGAGTTACATACTAGGTTTGGTCAAATACAGTACTATAATAATATTATTAATGTATTCTATTATAGCTAAATACTCCATTTTTACCCTAAAAGAACTGTGGATACTTTTCATTTTTTAATGCTTAAGAAGATTATTACGATTAATTAAGGAGCAGAAAAGGTTAATTTTGAGTTTGGTTGATATAACAACTGTAGAAAGAAACTTTTTAACAATGAACATAGTAAATTACATGAGACAATGCGAAACTCTTGAATGAACCATGATATGTAAATTAACTTTTATATGGCAAAAAGAATTAATGTCGCAAAATTTGTCACCGAAATGATTATATATACAGACGGCGCAGCCCTCCAAAAGAGATGACCTTGTATGTTTTTAAACATTTTCTTATTAAGTTTGTTTTGCAAAGGACATGGTGATAATCTTTT